ACGAACATTTGGTTGATGGCAGCGGTCGAAGCATGCACAAAATACGAACCCTGCTGGATCCTGTGGAGATTGAATCGTCATTCTTTGCTGCAAAGCACGCCTCCTTTTCTTGTCTGTAATTGCACTTTTGTGGTTTGTTATTTGGCTCTCTTTATAAATATGGTTGGTTTCATTGAAAATAAATGCCTGTCTGGCATATAACCAAGCTAGTAGGAGGCCTACTCTTACCGAGAAGAGTGAGTAATGCTAGACTCTATGTCTAATTATACATTTATTCTGACGGCTCATGAGTTGGTAAATCATTGTGAACAAGCATATTTCCCACAGAAAGGTACTACAGTGGAAGCGAAAGTGAAGTGTCAGCACGTCTTACTTCACTGTACATCCTGATTGCTCTATTGCAATTATTTGTTTCTGAATGAAGAGTGGGATTAATACTTTATAGGTTCCTGAGTATTGCTAATGATAACAAGAAAAACGTAGTCGGCAGTAATCATTTAATTCTTCTTCCAATGCGTGAACAGACAGACAGCGCACGCAAAAGTCCGTATTACTTCGTTTACAAACCTTGTGGCGAATTTTGCATGCCACTATGTCTATTTTCCACTATTCAATTACATTATAAAGCTTTGGTGGACATAAAAATTTGACTTAGCAACTTAGGACTAACTACCAATTTTCTGTAAATTAGCTTTCTTGGCATCATTTGGCATTTTTTAGGTGTTTTATTCATTCGACGCTTGATAACTATTTCCATCTGTTAAGGATTAAAGAAGTCAAAGTACCTAATCATTGTGGTAAAGTGAATGATTACCGTGAACTGGTATTATCAGATAAATGTTGGTTTAATGGTGAATAATTAAATCGGTTTGAGGGTTTAAGGGTTAAAGCAATCACGTACTATCTTTCAAGTACGGCTTCACTTCGTAGGCTTGTGTGTGTTTTTAATCATAATCAAGACTATTTTACCACTGAATATTGTTTGATACTCACAAATCATTAAAAAGATGTGCACTTTGCTGTACTAATTTCTAGTAATTTGGTGCCAACTGGCAAATCTCATAACTCTTATAACTGGATAAAAATCCTTTTTATACACCTGTTCGGCTCAAGATCTTTTTGGGCTCTTCGAATTCATGGCCGATAGTGAAGACGGCCATACACATCAGCATCGCCGTTCCACTCAATGGGGTCACGATGTTGAAGCGAGCCAAACAGGGGTCCAGCACCAAGGAATCACTTGTCTTGTAGTTTCCAAGACCTCGTAATTTGTTAGAATCGAAAAACAAGTTTTACCAAGGTGGCATATTGGCCGGGACTCATTTTCATGTCGAAAGGTTCCATTCCTGCAGTCATTAGATTGCTACTAATATTTGACCAGATCCTGGAGCCCATTTTATTTTAGCTCCTCTTCTGGTCGTATAATATATTGGTAGACAGAAGTCAAAAATTTTATCACTTGAGCGGAGCTAGACGTTCGAATATACAACACGACTATTAAATACAGTAGAATGGAGACTAGGAGGAATGTGACAGTTCTGCTAACAACAGGGAAAAAGAGAACGTTGATTCTTTCTGTCAATGCCATTGTCTTTGTCACTTTTAAAACAAATGTCTGAGCAAAGCCTGCATTCCTTCGTTTCGTTTTCATCATAACTTCATACCAAATGGATTGGTCTGTGGCTCAAATTAACCCTATTCGAATCTGAAATAAGCGTACTCCGGCTCTGAAATGAAGGTCTATCCAGTGTCTAGTGGATATGTGCCAATGTTATTTCATGATTGCGCATGCTTTCATGAGTTTGCATTCAAACACTTGTGAGTGGCGCACTCTTTGGTGGAATGTAATGTTTGGGTAGACAACTAGCGGTCCTACTTCAAATAAAACGGCTACATCTACATTCTGTTGATTTGGCTACAATTGTAATCCATTTTCAAAGGTAGTGGAAAGAAGAAATATTAGCTCCAAAAAAGCAAATTATCCCACATCATGGAACTACTCAATAGAACCAGTGGTACCGAGTGGAAATGTCGAGGGTAAAATGCGTCGTTACAAGAAAATTTTGGAAATTTACCGTGAGTCCGTTAGGAGTGTTGATTCAACGTGCTAGACGACGAATGAGGTGTTGAATGTTTAAAAATCTGCCCTATTTTTATAGGTACTTAAACGAATCTGATGATACTTATTGCAAAAAACAAAATAGCATAATTTGATTGGGAACCCATTGTGTGCTGCCAACTCTCTTTATCATTTATTGTATGCTTCAAAATTGTCTCTACCGAATTTGCGACTTCCCATTGGATCCGAACCACCACTACTTATACCGATTTGGATTTCGTCACCTAAAAGTCTAATAAAAAGGTTTAAAATCAGTACCTAAGCATTTGTTAAGTTTATCTGTTGATACAGATTAAAGATGTGGAAGAAGGAAATAAGTATCTTGCAAATTTATTAAAAGATAAACGGTGCAAATGTGATGCTTTGTCCACTGGATGTGACTCTGTCTGCCGATTGTTTGTGATGTGCACATTACCCCGACCACTGACGCTGGACGCAAAAGGAGAGATATCCCATACGTATCACAAATAAAGGCGAATTTTTTTACGAGGTAACCACAAGGCAAATAAGTGTTTGTTTCAGTAATGCTTTGTGTGTATCACCGCCCATAACCATGTACGGTTGAACCGCCCTTACTGATCGCATAAGGATCACCGAAGCGCAATATTGTAGTCTTATTCATCCCTCTATGTTTGCAGCGGTTAACTTCCAAGCCGTGCAGAATAGACATTATTTATATTAGGTATGCAGAACTTGAGACGAGAGTGAAACGGTGAGACCTCGTTATTCGGAAGCATAGCACGAGTTCTATTAGCGATATGGGTCCGAAAGCGCGCTTATTAACCTTTATTACTTTGATTGGTTCGGATTTAGGTGAGTGAGTACCACTCATAATTTGTTTGATCTGTAAAAACCGAGAATATCCGATCCCCATCGAATTTAGGCCCTTTAAGTTCATGCAAAGCTTATTTAACTGTTAATTTACGCGGTGAGTTTAGTATAAATCTTGGCTTGAAATTGGAAACTTAGTGGAGCATATGATTTAAAATTATTTGCAGTTTCATCAACGTATATGACAAAAACCAAATTTGATTTACCACAATCAACCATAGTTCCCGTCCAATTGGAGCCCTTCTTATTTTCTTTCAAAATATGAGCAGTGACGTAAGCTATGTATCATTGTTTAGAAATAACAACCATGCTGAATGAATATTTTACTGGCACTGTTCATTTCCAACTCATATTCCTCTTTATTATTCCCAATTGTCATGCTAGCTAAGTAATGTTTGATGGCCAATCTAATAACTTCGTTTCCGGCTCGCATCCAAATACCAAAGTCATCTTTCATTAGGAATTTCTCTAATCTATCAAAAATTTGCAGGATAAGATTGATTAGATGATTCATTTATTGTTTTTGTGTGTATTTAAGAAAATCAGCTCCGCTAGGCTCATATTGTATGCAGTCGTAGCATTTGCCTCAAAAGAAATGGAGAAGTTCTGCTTCAAACCGGTGGGGGAAAGTGGACGTGATTTAGGTAAGATTGACAGATTAAGATAGATAAAATACATCTAGCCATGTTAAATTCTCTTAATTCGGTATTTTAGGAGAAAGTGCAGGAAATTACAACCTTAGTAGAACACATAACCCCAATTTATTTTAAAAACTTTAGTGGCTGCCTGAAAGCCTACAAACTCCCTAATATAGATTAGTTGTCATTCCTTTAGGAATTGAATACAAACAGTATATTTTTCTGTCGATCGTCGCAGACAGTACTTATCGGTGGAGATTTTATTGGAAACAGTGCATTTGGGAGAAATAGTATTGGCAGGCAAATGCTTGGGGACTTCATGTGGCTCTAAAAGATCTTAACTACAGCGAAAGACAATGCGGTTTATTTAAAACGCTCAGGTGTAAAATGACGCTGCTAACTCCTCAATTGAAAGTTCAACGTAATCATGATGAGTAGCCTACGGGATTTTGCAAATGTCACTTCAATTCACATCACCAGCATCTCCTTGCAAGCGAGGCGAGAATCAATTCCTTACTTCACAAATCTTGCCATAAACTGCATAACAACATCTTTTATGTGGCTTTAGGGCTGTTTTGTGGATGGTTAAGATTACGAGCAAATCACAATCTTCCGGTGCTGAGCTGGGTTTGGTCATCCAATCGACCGGATATTGCACCCAAAAATTGTAGATTTAGCTTTGATGCTTTCACTTCTGTTATAAAATATGGACAAGTGTGCAACTAGAACTATGAACAACATGGCTGTGCTTATGTTTATGGCTCCCTTTCTAAAATTAATAAGTAATTGTCAGGTTTCAATCCGTGCTATTTTCCCAAGAGTACGATTTTGACAAAATAAATAGCGTTTTAGGAGTCGAACGTTGGCCTTTTACCCATACCCATCCCATTTATACTTCCAGTCAGCATAATTTTGCTGTAAAAATAAGCGACCCTTTCAACCGAGTTTTGACCTCTCAAATAACTACTCCTTCATTTGCAATTGTGGATTAGGAGGCAACACGCAATCACTGCCATCAATATGAATTAAATCATAATTTCCGAGTTCGAATGTTCTAATATTAATGCCGTACTAAAGCAGTTTTTTAAATTATAATGTTTTGTCAAGTTGACTTTTCATAGCAGTTAAGCCTGGAAGTTGTCTTTGCTGACTATTTTCTACGATAATTACATTAACAGAATGTTAGGGTGAAATTCCAAGTTGAACAGGATTAGTGTCTTAATAACTAAACAACGGCTTTGTTGCATGAAAGATCACTTGCAACCCTTTTCGAACTAAACGCAAATGGGTGATATCATTCACCTATGTGACTTTAGTAGCCGAAATGCTCATGGGAAATGAAGGCTCTATTATAGAAAGATCTCAATGAAGTATCCAAATGGCTAGCGGTTTTAGCTACATTAATGTGAACAATCCCTTGGCATTTACACTAACACTTAAACTAACCTCCAGAAAGAGATAAGTTGGAAGCCTCGAGCAAGATGTATTGGTGGCAGTTAGTCTGCTGAGCAACGCGATCTCTACCAATTAACCATTGCATGCAGCAGATCCGAAGGACCACAACTCACGGCTAATGAACTTCAGTTGATGTCTACAGGGTCGTTTTTACACATTACGGGTAAAGTTAATAGGCATGCACTCTAATTAATGGCAGAATGTCTTACAGGAGTTACTTAGTTGGAGCCCTTGAAGATCAGAGGTGCCGAAAATATGGCTTACAGTATTAAGGTGTTCTCGAGATTGTGCGCACTTGCATCACAAAAAATACAAAAAAATATCAACTTCTAACTGTTTTCATTGCAATAAGCAGGCGGGAGGGAAGTCACACACTGATAGGGCTGCTTAAGTCACTGACCTCATGGTTAGGTTATATGCCTAGTTCGGTGACAGCTAGCAGATGACGATACAGCCCATTTCTCAACCCATGTCATCCCACTTAACTGGCTACTGGTAGTGAACATTTGGTTACATCCAGTGTACTTCTACGGTGCATAGGCGTACTAAGGAAAGGCATCATAATGTGTTCAAACTTTGAAAGAAAACTGAGGAAATGCTTCACCTTAGGCTGCAAACAAATAGGCGTCTCATATGCACTACAGGTGCATTGCAATGACAAGTATCATCAACCCAGTTTCTGGCAAGAGAATGACCAGATGTAACCTTATAAACCTAGATTACCCTCAGGATTTGGTCGCAAATCCCGCTAGCTTTAGTACAGGGACGTATTTCGCATAATAAGGACCGTTTTATCATCACATTTTCCTACTCTTTCAGGTACACTCTGACTTGCAACTAGTTCCAGTCCATCAAAACGAGCAGAGCTACTACAGAGAAACAGTGTCAGTTGGCTAAAATGACTTAGCCTACATGTTTAAAACGGTAATTAATTTTAGAAAAGTGTGACATATGAGGAAATTACCAAGAAGAAGAACACTGTTTGGTGCCTGGGACAGTGAGGAAGGCATTTAACATCTGTTCTACCTAGGATGCAGGGCTAGCAGCTCAAAAAGCCTCGTGTCTATGCGAACAGCATCATCCACGGTGGATTCCGGATTCACTCAGTGAGACTCAAAGTTAAAAATCTGTATCTGAACTGATAAAACAAAGGAGACCTCAAACAAAACAAGTTTTAGAGATATTATATTGGAAAATACCTCCGATGAAGGTGCAAATTACGAATCTTATATATCATCATAAACGATGATACAAGTGCTGTCCCAAGTAATTAGTAGCACATATATGGGCAAAAGTAAACTTTTCTTCGCCGTAATTGCAAGGTTCTTTCTAAATGTTGATTGGTGGACCAGTTTATTCATTTATGGAAAATCTGCTACCAACATCAAAATAAATCTATCTATAGGAATATGAAATTATAAACAAATTGCTCGGCACTTGCTCTCTTGCATTTTGAAGGGACCTCGCTACATAATATTTACTCCAAACACTGCTAATGTTTTATCGTGTTGCTGTAATCTCCCCATCAATTCAAATGGTGGCGTGCTGTGTTGCCCCGTTCCTACGTGAGTGCGAGTGATGATTTACCCAGCTCACCGAGTTGTGACGATGCCTGTTATGAAAGCTGATTCTATGACGAATGCACTCCTGATATTTTGCTCCATTACAGGTAGAAGCTATCGAGCCACCTTTGCTTGTTGAATCGTGGAGTTGTATGCGATTTTTGTACTACTGATGCTACCGATCCCGCGACTTTAGTCAGGGTAAGCCTTTTGATGAGCACTCAGCTCACTCTGAGACCTGAAGATAATGTTCTTATCTGAAACGCTGGCCTACATCAAGCTAGTTTTTTTTGTTTCCCACCCTAGAGCTGTTGCTGGTGCTACTGCGTGCTACCCCGCACAGGTTCTGCTGCACTAAAACCAGTAAAGAACGTCGGAGTTCGATACGGTTAAAAGTATTATTTCGTTTTGGTGGCAAGCTTCTTTTTCATTGTCGTTAATAAAGTGGTGGTTTTATTCGTACACTGTTCTTTACGGGTTTCCACCAGGCATTTGCTGTCGAAGTTGTTTAGCCCACCCGCTGTAAATGTGGATTCGTCACAGCTGGTTAAGTTGGGATTGTTCTGTTGGCCTTTACGTCTGCTTTCTTGTTTGTGATGCTTGCCTGTCGTTCATCGGATGGTCTTGTTAGTGCGGTTGCATCGGTTGTCCGTTGGGGGTTCTGCGGATGTCTCCTGGGAACCGTTGTATCTCGGTTGGGACAACCACGACCGGTCAGTGGCTCGGGTTCGATTGCGGTCTCCAGAGCTTTGTGATGAGGGTTTTCTTGTTGGAGGTCACACGTGGTACCTCGGAAATGTTCGGCCGCTGGCGCCAGCTGATGCTGTGCCCAATGATGACGGCGTCTGCGGCGGGATCGTCACCCCTTCCGGCGCCTTTCAGTGTGTGGTGGTTGTGGACACGGCGCCAAATCTGACCGGGTCGCGTAATCAGGTCACCACTGGGAGGTTCCTTGCTGGGCGCATTCTTGGCGGCTATTTTGCATGCCACTGAAAACGGTAGATCTGCGTAAGCAGGGCAGGAACCTGGCCTACTGCATTTTCATGAAAAGGATGGACTCACTGCGAACGGAGAGGTTGAGAATAACTTTCTTCGTTGACTGATGGGTTGGCGTAACGATGCCCGGTGTGGAGGGAGAACAGGTGAAACGTTCGCCTCCATTGGTGGCTGTCGCGGTAACGGCAAATCTCTGCACAGATGCCATGAAGCTGCGCGTCTGCTGCGATGTCTCGCACGGCTGATTGCTTTCGTTGTCCTCTCCATCGCCGCCGTCACTTCCACCCGACTTTTCCTGATAATTTTCGTTTGTGACGAGGTCCTGTAAAAACCTGATGTAGCCGATGGCCAGACGCAGAGTGTCCACCTTTGAGAGACGTTTCTCATAGGGTAGCGTGGGTATCCGGGCTCGGAGGCCTTTCAGATCATAAAAAGTTGTTAGATTTGCAAACTGCCCTGGACAAAACTGGCCCCGTCCGATGTCGACTGCTCAGGTTGATTTAAGTGGGGTTTTGTACTACTAACGTTTGCCAATGGCAGTCGGTGGTTATCCGATTTCGTCGTGTAGAGAATGCACGCTGATGCGTAGTGGCTGTAGGGAATTTTGGTTATAGCAGGCTGGGTGGTTTTCCGTGCAAAAGTAATCGCTCGATTTGTTTGTAGACACTTGCCGCGTTGAGTCCCGGACTTTGACTACTCGTGATTTGATGCAGTGATTGCTTTAAAGATTGGTCGATTAACCCGACAATATGGGGTTATCTGTCTCAAACCCAAGGAGAACATTCATTCCCCACACTCACCTTGTGGGCTGATGGGAACAGGGTTTGGGGATGCAGGCGCGAGAGAGACTGGGGAGCGGAGAGGATGGGGAGGCGGGTCTTAAGCTTTGCCATAAGATTTAAGTGTAGGAGCAGAAATATTGTGCCCAGTAGGGCAACTAAATTACAATGTATCAAATAATGTCACTTCGTCGGCTCTTAAGTGGAGCTAATGTATCAAACCTTCTATGCCTTTATTTGGCTTGTAAATCGATGTGTTCACCTATGCTCGTGCCTCACTTTCCATTAGTAGGATTATTTGATTAAAGCAATTATATTTTCTTATAATAAGCACAGTCCGAGTTTGTATGCTTTTTGGTTAGCTTACACTTGCCTTCAAATGCGTGGTTGATGGAGTGCATTCGTCGACGTTCGCGCATGTTTGCAGCCTGCCTCTGATTTGAATGACGAATCAGCATTGGTCGTGCATTGGTGAGAGCAGTCGGCTGGATAGCTGCCACGGTTTCCTGCTCTCCAAAGCTCCAATCGTCATTCTCCCCATGGAAGGCCCCCCTCTGTTGATTAATGCAGTAGGCCTCACTACCTTGGACCCACGTGTCACCATGATCGCTCCATGGCTGTGAATGCTCGTACTGGGCGGCAGAGTAGGGGTCGCCGGGCCAGTTGGTGGCAGAGCATTGTTGATGAACTGCTCCCCCACTATAATACTGCTGAGGCCAGCGTGGTGTTAGTAATAAACCACAAAGCCTTGACTCTCGAACTGCGGATTTTCCTTTGGTTGAAACCTCTCGAAAAGAATAAGCGTCCATCTGTATCGAGTTATTTTGTTGGGTAGATTGTGCGATTTTACACTGGCCTGTCCGGAGAAATATCAGTTGAAGAATATTATTGCCTTTTGAGATTAGTATCTGTATCTCGCAATCTGACACATCACTATGGTAACCTGGACATTTCACAAACTTATACCAGACATCATAATGGCACTGAATTAATTAAAACGGAAGTAATCGCTGGGGGTCAGGACTAAGATGAGGAAGTTAGGCTGTATTACATGGGTTTTTATGTGTTTGTTTTGAAAACGTTATGATTATTGAATGGGCTACCCACACATTACTCAATATGATTTCCTTAGCGGTTTTGTGTCCAATTCAATGAGTTCATGAGCACCCTAATCTTCAATGCTAATCTGATAACGTCCGAGCACTGATTATCAGCGTCGCCTTTATTCGATTACTTAATTTTGGTATTTGTAAACTTCACTTCGTTTAGTCGGTGGGAGTCATAATTTCTAAGGTAAAATCAAATACATTTAGCCTTTTTCCACCTTTAAAAGTTCCAGTTAACTGAACTTCAAAGCGTTTAATCACCTTTATTAACCAAGTTAACTATCATCTATTGGTGAATATATTATCTCGTGGCTTGTTCGTTAAAAATACTCATTTTGATTGAAGCCGCTTTCACTGCTTGCTATTCTTTCGATAAGGCTGTATATTCACTTATCTATCTACCTGGTATGTTAACCATTAGGGTGTTTTATAAAATGGTGTTGTTCACTAGATACAGCACCTGAAAATGATTGGCATTGTGTTTCACATCAGCAGACGACTTTCTCTCAAATCCACCGCCTCTTTGAGGTTTCTTCAGGACGCACATCTATGATCTGGAGTCACATTTTCTCTAGGGGGTGTTAGATTCCAAAAAGATATCCGTGAAATGGGTACTTCAATGAATGTAAAACTGCATCCCGCTGCTTGGTTTATTCCTCACTTTGCTTGCTTCTTGATTGTTTTCAAGGCAGAAATCTGTGTAGTCTTTTCAGCATTTCCGATAAGCTGAGTTCTTAAGGCGATTGGTATTGTATAATTACATTGGGTTTATAACCAAACCCAATAATATTTCAAATATCTTTTTTGATTTGTTCGGCATTGTTTTGGCTTTTAAATACAAGAATGAGGACAGATTTATTGTTTGATTTATAGCAGTTATTGTCTGTATGGTACTTATACTAACAGACAAATCCTGTTTTAACACCTCTTAACACATAAAACGTTCAGTAGTAAGGTAAATGTTAACTTGTGAAAATGGTATTTGAAGTATACCTCTTGTTCGATTACATCCGAAAACTTTGGAAACCATTCGGGTAATTTAATTGCTTATGCAAACGCTAACACAAAAATACGAGCCAATCTACGTTAAATCTGCGGCATCTTGAAGAAAATATTACTTTGTAGTTTTTAAGGTCATATATCTCATCTGAGCACCATAACACTACTAATCTGGCGGATAGCAAAGTGGTCATAAAAGCACAAATTGTATTTGCTCATCTGATACTATTTTTGCCCCCTTGGGTAAACAGATACGCTAAGGAGATCCAAAGAGAGGGGGGCGAAGAAGGGGAGGGGCGAGTGGAGTTGCTTAAGTAAACATAGTCTTGACAGTTCAGTTAGGTATCAGGCCTATTTTAGTGGGAAGGTAAACATACCTCTGGGGCAATTAAAACACCCACTAATGGGCAAATACGGAGAATACTTCTGCTCCCTTATGGAAATTCTTAATGCATCACTGAACTACGAAAGACACATCCATTTACAACCTACTAGAATGCCAAATTTGAATGTTTACTTAATGATTAGATCAACCTCTGTCGACGTGGTAAGGCAATTTTAATTTCTTTTTGTTCAACGATATCTTAGGTGGAACGTAAAAGCCTAACTCTGTTATAAAGAATCTGAGAAAATAAACTTACAAGGTTGCAGCCTTTCAAAGACTTTGCGGCAATTTATTGTCTCGTCAAACAAGAACAGATACTTAGTTTGTGAGCTCACCCATTCCATAGCCATCGCAGTTAACTCAAAATTGACTATGCTTAGAAATAAGGTTTCTACAATGTTGCAGAAGTTATTGAAGTGTGGTTTGCGTGAGTTTGAGAATTTCTGAAGAGTTCTGGAAGCAAAGGCTAGATCAGATACGCTGTGTGTTTAGCGAGGTGGGTCAGTCGAAACAGTGGTGTTTAGTATTAGTCGACCATAATTCTCTCCAAATTGTGTCATGACAGATTAATTGAAGGAAGGTAATTTGTGTTTATGATTATCAAAGTATTACACCTACCTTAACACCGGTCGAAATCAGATTGACGTTCTCATGATGCACTATTTTGTCAAAAGCCTCCCCCCTCTAGTTTCTGGTTGGTCAAATGAAGGGAGATAGGGGTGAGAAGGCCTGATGAACTGAACGTCCTCAACCAATTAGCATCAAGCGGACACTAGTAATGCCAGTAGGCCTTCTAATTGAGCTTTTTTATATGCAATCACAACAATCGGACGGTGACTGTTTAGTTTTTTCACGATATTAATAATGGCAATAGTAAAATTAAACGAATAACCGCAATGGTGTGGCCAATTAAATTTAGCCAAACTAAGCGTAAGATCTTGTTGGAGCAATATATAAATAACTGCAAATGGGCAAAAGTCCAGGTTGCGTCGAAGTATGATGCTAAATTTTTAACACTAAGCACTTAATACTAGAAAATATTTCATATATTTAAGCAAAACATGAACCAAAACAGTCGATAGTAAATTCTGACGAGAGCCTATTCCTGATTATAAATAATGCACAGGCACAGGGAGTTTAGGGAACTCATTGTAGTGTAAAGGACAGGGGACTAGTAGAATGTCTAAAAGCCAAATATAATGCAACTGAATGTAGCGCTGCAATGTCAGGCACAATTCCTTTAGAATAAGTGTCTCTACATTTGTGTCATGAGATCGAGTGCCAAACTCTACTACTTACCGATCCCGACTGCTTGAACACAAGTGCTCCTGCCGTGTTTTTGCCTAAGCGCCTGAAATGATTACCTAACAGGTGTAACCGATTAACAAACTCGAGTGAAACTTGGGAAGAAACTATCATTTTCTGTTCGCGAAACAGGTAACAGCACTCTAGTGAATACTCGAAGTTGGAAAAAGCCAGCGCTTCATGCACGGAAGTCTTACGAACATCAGCTTTTGCTATTTACTACCAGCAATTTGACGACTAAAACCTAGTCTCGCCCATTGAATGGCAAACTTGGGGACCTCCTTTATTTGGGTACCTGTTAGCTCATTTTCCAGTGGCAAAGTGGTATTGCAACAGGTTAGGCCAGAACTTTCTATTAATTTGGGCACGTTTGAAGATGGACCAGCAGAAGATGGTCGATGTGGCTAACTTTCACGGTCATTACCCACACATATATTCTCAGCTCATCGACATATTTTACGTACACAAGCCGCATCACTGCCGAACACCTAACCAGTCGCTCACACTTCGGAATGCCTGGGCCACACCAACTCCGAGAGTGACAAAGCTTGAGAACAACTCAACGCCTTTCTTAAGTCACTTTAAAATCCCCGCTGCAAAAGTAACTCCAACCCTCATTACCCACCCGACGGGTGTCTACTTCCGAACACAACACTCACTTTGAGCCTAAATTTGTGCAATTTACCCGTAGTCTTTAGCGGCACGTCCGCCGTGGGCATGGAATTCGGATGCTTGTCCTGAATTGACAGCGATCTACAGGCCACCTTGGACCTACCCACCAACCACTTCGGGATTCCCGAATGTCTGATAGTATCGGATGCAACAGCTCAGCGTCTCATTTGTGCTGGTAAAATTGGTAGTTGAGAATACGAGACATCGTACTCAATACCTGCCGTTGGTGATGAGTTTTGAAACAAAGCATGCCAATCAAAGCAAGTTAACCCGCAACCCTTCTCACGAGTAGACAGTGCAATGGGTGTGTAGATGACCGTACTTCAAAGTCAAAATGTCCCAAGGACCACTCATTCAAAACTTAAACGAAGAGATTTAGGAGCTCATACCGACAGTTGAAACATCGCCAACAGACACGGAATGTTACCAGACAGCGAGCCTAACTGCTTTGATTTTATAAAGTGGGAGTTCCGATGAAAACTACTGGCCTAGTATATTTTAAAGGAGCCCATAGTTACACTCAAAGGATAATTTTGAAATCAGGTCCAAGTTGTTCTTTGGGAGGCAACTTAACACGTTCAGGAGGAATAAGGTTAGGATCGACCAACGGAAGACCAAGTTTGCGACGCCTTTCTAGTTCGAGAAAAGCTTCACGCCTGGCCCAATCTCCTTCACTAAAATTGTGACAAGAAAGCATGATATACAGACGACCAAGTAAGTCTAATGGATACCAAATTCAATGTTCGACAAATAACCTTGCAAGAACCAAGCAGAAAATCAGGATAGAAACACCAAAAAAGGAGCAGCAAACAAATGCGCATCGCTCACATGCCACGGGGACGATACCAAAATTGAAAAGCCAGTCCGAATGTGAAGCACACCATTAGCAGGAATGCGGCGGTTTTGTACTTGGACGTATCATCTATTTTATCATAGTCGTTCCATCCATATGGAATCCAATCCTATAAACTAAGAAAACATTAGTATTCTGTGCCTTAAACATGTCCTTTGCTTCGGACTCAATCTTCATTTTAACATCTTCGGGGAGATCATTTCTTTGCAAAATGTGCTTGAATGAAGGATCAGACGACAGAAAGACCGTTGAAGTACTGATATTTCGCAGAGGAGCAGGCAATGAAGCTAGCCAATACAGAGATGAATGTCTTAGGAAACCGGTAAAAACCGATCGGATGTACATAGCCGACAAAAACGGTAGGACAGTAGAAGATGCACAAACCACAAATTACGCAACTTTTTTATTGGCTAACCATAACTCACTGATTTTAGAGGTTTTGTGACGCCGTCGCAGGTTTATAAATAATAAAATACATTAAACAAATAGCGGATATTATTATTTGTTGCTTGGTTTTTACTAGCATAGCCATTCTACCAAAAAAAGACATTTTTAGAACAAAAAATCGGACCAGATTACCTTTTATGATAAAAAAGTTAAATACACAAAAAACCATTTGTAGTACACAGGTTTGAAATTTTCACTGTGGTTAGTCGCTTACAGGAAATCATTCCAGATGCAACCTTGACATTAGTTGGTTGAATGCTCAGGCTTAGCCACTATTGCGCAATCGTATACTTTGCATCCTATTCCTATGATTTTTACTCGTAAAAGACACCGAACCTTTCATTCCATACTTCTTATTGATTGGTTTCTAATACATTAACGCTATGGATGAACTGGCCTTTTTCTTCTCTGATGATTTGTACTCCACTGAAGATATCCAGAAGTGTGGTTTCACCAAAACTGCGACACATCAAGATCACTCGAGAACCACACTGGGTGACCAACAACCTGGCGATATAGCTATAATTAAAAATAAATCAGAGCCTTCCTTTACCTCTCCTAGGATATTGAATGCATTTCTCCAATCAAGTAGTTTTTCTGGTACAAATAATTTGCCGTTGAATTTGCCCCCCGAACCAGAAGATGGTAATATTGAGTACAAGGTAAAGTGGGAGTCAGGCTACGTAATGCATGTATAATTTAGCTGAAATTAATAAGCCCTACTCCTGATCGGTTGGAACACCTTGTGACACAAATGAAGTGGCGTCTTAATGAGGGTGGCGGCCAGGCGATCTATCGACTTGGTGTAGATGATAATGGAGCCGTGACGGGATTGACTGCTAAGGAGATGTCTGCTTCTCTACTCACCTTGTACAAAATGTCGCAGAGGCTGGGAGTTCACATTCGAATTCTGCGGGAGTGCACAATATCCAATTTCTCCGACTCATCTGATCTTCAACACAGTCTAGCTGATGCCAGGCCCTCATTTAATCCTCAAAGAAAGGCGATCGAACTGCATGCAAAGTGGAAACTATTAATTAACCAGGGTGTGAGTTCTCCCTCTTTGCTTGAATTCTTCATTATCATTTATTCTGGCCAGTATACTTAATCTGCTATGTTCTAGATTCCCGATCTGCGTGTTGCTATGCTGGGCAGCGTAGATGTCGGGAAGTCTACCCTCCTTGGTGTTCTCACAGATGGCGAAATGGATGACGGTAGAGGCAGGGCTCGTCTCAATCTTTTTCGTCATCTTCACGAGGTTCAGTCTGGTCGCACAAGCAGTCTCAGTTCAGAATTAATCGGATTTGATGCTGCCGGTCATTTAATTAATCGTCGCCGTTCCCAAGGGCAGCTAAACAAACGCACCGTTGATGAAGTAAGTTTAATATCTCGGTTGAAAGTATTCAATGATAGGTAGGCGTTACGCGTGGGTGGAAGGCTCATTATCAATCATTATCAGCTCTGCATGACGGCATCTCCCAGAATCACATCCTGTTTGAATAACGCGTTTTGAATAAAGTTATTTCACTGTCTTCATCACCGATTGATTAGTTGCGATAAGCTGAAAATTTTATCCCTCTTTTATTCTGTAATTAATCACTGTTGAATTAGCTAGGGCTCTGACTCTTTTCATTTCTATGATTCTGCGAAAAGGTCAACACATTTTAGGTTCAGGTCGAATTCTGATAACTTGGAAAAACCGTCAGATTTCTCCTGAGTGACTGAAATACGGAATCGTTTATGATATTCACGCACTACCAATACAGTTATTTATATTGAGGTAATTCTCACGAGAACCTGTATTCGGTGTCGACGTTTTTGCGATCCTTAAAATCCACTTTCATTTAGGCCTCTTTTCGTCTTCTTGATGTATGGGCTATGCACTTAGCTTCTGCGTATCAATCAGGGATTTGTTAGAATTCATGTGCTTGGTTTTGTATGTCCGTATGCTTGCGTACCGGTTTGGTTAAGTGTTCCATTTCTATAAGGTAAATGCACTGATCTTGGTTCATAATTAGCTTACAGAAGTTAGCCTTAAATTTCGTAGCTGGCTTTCGAAGACCTGATTTTTAATTCAGAGACGATTCAAATTAGCTCCGGTGCCGTGCCAACACAGTACTCAGGAGCATTTATTGTTGATTTTACTAAATTTAACTAACTACCTGTTATCATGCTTGATACTGGATAGTCAATACCGATTTTGGTGTGCATATGTGACTTCTGCTCTTTTAGCGAACAAAAGCGCTATTTAAAGGTACCGTGGTCTATTTGTGCTTCTAATACATAAGTAGTACATAGGTTGCCTTGTGGTATTTGTAATTATTCGTGCTATAGTGTTTTCACTTGTGAAATTATGGCGCACATGGTCGCAAGATGGCATAAATTTGCATGCGGGAAATTAAAATGCTGTTTAATAGTTAAGTGGACACCAAAATTTGCAACGTTAAGGTAATTAATTTATCGCTTTGTATGTGTGGTGTGATTTTGTAATTCACCAAAGTTTCGGCACAGAACAGTCGCAAACGTCGAGACGGAACCCTGGTAGTTGACATCATTTTCCATCAACTACTGGTCATGAAGTGTCAACTTAAGTAAGGTTAAGTCGAATGTGGATGAGATCGAGGTGGGTCTTAACAGTGTTTCATAATCTACATGCCATTTTTGATGTTTGGTCAGATAACTGAAATGGAAGCAGGGTTTTCAGGTCGTCGTTATGTTGTTTATACTTGGGCAAACATGATTTGAATTGCATTCGTTTTTTAAAGTCTGCACGAATTCTTTCCCATGCCTAAAATCTACCATTTAATCAGTTATAATTTTGGCGCACATATACCTGTTAAGCTCGCTAGATTTTGCTGAGACATTATCAGAAACTGGGCACTTTTTGCGAGTACTGTTTTCCATAGCCATCCCGTTTTGCAGTTGCTGAACACCGCACTAGCTTTAGCTCTAGCGGTTTTATTTAATGATTCCCCCTTTGTTCACCATTTGACTTGAGAAAGTGCAAAAAGAATCACCGTTGTTTGAAGTGCATTTATAGAATGTATCTGTTATTACCAATGTTCAATACTTCTTGCAGATGACCACCTTTCTTTGACATCTAGTCAAAACACCAAGTTTGTCTATCCATTTCTCTCTATTTATTCCATTCATATCTGGTATTTTGAGAGGTGCCTTTTCTGCTTTTTCATGAGTCTTATCTATTGATCAGTTTTAGCTGGGCGATTTTTTCTCCCAGCAAGCCCACAGCTTTAACACCATATAATCAAATGCCAATTTTTTGCTACTATATTGATATTGCTACTTTTTTGATACTATCATTCAAAGTACATTTGTCTACATACCCTTCAAAGAATTTGTATTCATGCTTTGGAAAAATAATGATTGCATTTATTCACTGATTTAACCTGAGTATTTGAGGTACTCCTCGCACTAATGATGGTTCTTTTCTACCACCACCCTTGTTACTCTTAGCGTGACCCACAATTCATGTCCAGCATTGCTTCTACTCATGTTTATCAAACGCTCCCTACTTATATCTCACTTAGAAAGTTGTGAGAATGCGATATTCTCGTTTCCACTATTCATAACCGACCTTTGAGTTTTGATGGAAAAATCGCATTTAAGCTTTATGTAATGAAGAAATTTGAAGGGAATTTTACCTTCCATCAGATTTTGGAACCAAAAAAAAGTGGCAGTAATCAACTTTACGTGTTCAAACCTCTTTCTAAAAACTCCAATACATGGAAACACGGTTAAATGGATGTTGCCATAATGGGGGTGCAGAGCTTGTTTCCCATTTCTCCTCTCCGTTATCAGGTGATTCGCGACTCCAATCGCCTGATTACCTTCCTTGACTTGGCGGGTCACAGCAAGTACCAGCGAACCACTCTTTCTGGCCTTACCACCTTCCAACCGACCTTCTGCATCCTCGTGGTGTCTGCCACCACCGGTCTGACTGCGGATGGTCTCCGCCACGCCCGCACCTCCGCGGCCCTTGGTCTGCCCCTCGTTGTGGTCTTCTCCAAGGTAGACCTTACCTCAGAGGGACTGGCAGCTTTCCTGCAGTCCAAGGTCTCCGTTGCCTCTGCTGCACGTTTCATCACCACTGATGCCAGCGCCGGCGGTGTTGTGGACCCGTGCCCGATCCTCGCTGACATTCGAAGAAGTGTGCTACAGGAGCTCAGAACCATCAAATTTTACAGTAGTGATGGTGGTGAAGAGGGAAGCCTCACAACTTCCGAGTAAGTTGAGAATATATTTCGGTGTTTTGTAATGTACTTTACGGAGTATTTTATGCTCTTCGTTCTACGCGTTTTATTCTGTTTTATCAAGCTCCCCCATTTTTCCTCTATAACTTTGCAACTCCCCTATAGTAGGGAAAAAGGAATGTCCAGTTTTATACGTTCGTTTTGTTCTCATTCAATTAAGGTATTATGGAAGGTTAGCCTCGTCCCGGTGTCAGTTAATTTCGTGAAGTTTTACCTTCCTACCCTGCAGTGCTAGCATAGTCCCAATTATAGTGTTATACTTCTTTTATCACCATTTATCTCTGTTTTCTCGGATCTCTTGTGCGTGAACCCCAATTTGTATTATGTATTTTAATCCATTTCACCAAATTCCCTAATCGTCATGAAACTTCACTGGACACTTTCTGCCCAATATAGTTTTGATATCTGGACTAATGACGACTTCATTTTCTGCCTTTTTACAGTCTTATTTGTAGGATATGCCTATGCGAGCTATTAATAACCTTTTCTAATGGTGAAGTTAGCTCTTCCTGCTCTTGCAATACTAGCATGCCATCAATAAGTGATTGTTCAAGCGATTTCTGTGTCGATGGCAGACAAATGAAACCATTATGAACGCTATCCCCATGCACCGGCTGCTTCTAAGTTTATGCCAATTTTTTTATTGGGCAAACTTTCTTCAGTATTGATCTCAATGTGAAATAAAGTAAATAGAACCGACAAATTGACGAATTTCCCTCAGTTTTAATCATTGGAATTCTATGGCATTGTAGTCATTACGCATTTCTCGGTTGGGACGGTTATTGTTTAGTACTCCATTTCCATTACTCCTCAAGGGGAGGTTCTTTAAGTGCTTGGACAATATGATTCAAGTTAATAGACAATAAACTGCATTCACATTGGGCCCCCTTCAAGTTGTATGAAATGTTTGGATTTAGGCTCTTATTGGTAGTACTCCTACATTTCGACCTCTTAAGGATGTACTTTTTAAAAACAAAAATTACCAAAAAATGGAGAATCTTCTTCGGGCCTATGTGCTTATATTAGCTGGGGGCTTTGGGCTATGATTGCTTAGTGCTTGATTCTCACGAATTTAGGTGTTTCGTCGAAGATCCGCCAGTTTTCGCAGTGTCTAGTGTCTCCGGTTACGGAGTGGGCAATCTTCTGAATTTCCTTGCCGAGGTGTCCTCCAAGGCACAGTATGAGGGCATAATAGCACCAAAACTGGCGGTTAGGGCAGAGCTTCACTGCGCGCAGTCAATGTGCAACCTAGTTGAGTGCTGGGTGACCAAGGTGTTCAGCAGCGTGCCGGGCGTGGACAGTCCCATCCTGGAAGTGCTGGTCAAAATGGGTCAGGTGCACGAAGATCAACGGCTCTGGCTTGGCCCTGATGAGGTGAAGTTTCGTTAACTCTGATTCGTTAAATTAGCTCTGCATGCTGTAAGACTACAATATATCTGCCAGATTTCTTGGAAAAAGTATTTAGTTTTTGCTTTTTTTCTCATTAGAAAAGGAATATGTACTTATCAACAGTACAGTCTTTCTTTGCCTTCTTCATGTCACGTTTTAACCGGCCTTAACGCTTGAGCATTAAACTTGTCTTCTGTCATGATCCAATTCTTTGGCTGCACATTGCGGTGTCTGGTATTTAAAGGCTTTTTGCAATCATTTCAGCCGGAATGTTATCTTCTACTATTGTCCCTTAGGGAATAATGTTTCATTAGGGGTTCCATTAACGTATGCATTAGGTCGATTTTCTTCGAAACAGTGGTGGAGACGTCCGGAGTTGGCATTGGAAGGATTTCTGGAGACGGAGCGACTGAAAGTTCCTTTTAGAGTTATTTTCACATCAGCCTAAAAACTTTTCTGAGCTTCCAAAACGAATTCATTTAGTGCAGTTTGAGTACTGGTTGGATTCGCCCCTTATTCGCCAGTTCCTTATTTTTTAGGGATGGGCATGCTACAGCTAGGTGGTAAATTCATCGTCATAGGCTGCAGTGTGTTTAAAATTCTAGATTAAGTAGGGAACATTACTTAAGACAAATTACGTTTCGTTTAAAAGCGAAGTTGTCTGAGTTAGTGATGTGATTCGTTTACGGAAGCACTTTTTTGATCTTAGAAAAAAACCAATCTGTGCTTTCGAGTTCCCCAAAGATTTCCCCAGGCTTAACGTGAGCCCACTTGACCGCATTACACGTTTCTCCTTAACGCCATGTTCGTGTGCACTTTTCGGTGAAAAGGACACTGCTACCATTTTCGAGTGGTGCGTCCTTCATTATCAAGAGCCGGAACTATTCCTGCTCTAGCGCGTTGCATGACAGATCTCTTCTGCTTATTTCTGACATTTTCGGCACGAATCGGTCATTCAAAGCTATGCAGGCCAGACAGTAAGGTTTCACTCCGCAACATTTTCGTGGTGTTAACATTTCCACGTTCTGCTGATGATGAGAAGACGCCATTGTCGTTTCTCCTTTCAGGAGGGCCTCTTTCATCAGATTCGTGTGATAGAACTGCGCCATAATCGGCACCCACATCACGTTCTCTACAAAGATCAGCTGGGCTCCCTTCTGGCTGTTCCTGAGACCCCAGATGGGACTTACTTCCCCTTACCCCGTAAGGGCATGGTCATGGTGAGCGCAGAACCCACCGTCGGCTGTAGCGTCGCGGATCCCTCAATCGGTGTTTGTTGGTCGTTCTGTATCTCCAATCTAATCTGGCTGGCCCCTAGCACTGGTGGTACCTGCCTGCAGCGCAATTCCACAGTTGGAGTCCATGCCGGCAATGTCCTACAGTATGCTCGTGTACTTGAAACCACTTTCTCCTGCGACCAACTGACTCGCGCCATCGACTGCCTTGGGGTTGATTCAAATTCTGTGGTATGGCTCACTCAATACCGTCTTTAATCCAGTTAAAATACCCTTCTCCTGATTTCTGTAGATGATCCTTTTGAATTACCCAGTCTATCACATTGATTGCTTACCTTCATAGTTGCAGCTTTTTGTGTAAGTACCAGATTACTCGAGGTGTCATTGAATAAACTGCTCATCAAAATTTCACACTAGATAATCACGTTGCGCGTAAATCACTTTGACCAGGGAAAGTACTTTTTCTTATAAAGTTGTTATTTTCTCCCTCGATTCAAAAGAGGTTTTCGTGGTCATTGAGCTCTACTGATGACCATTTTCACATCGAGTGCATACGAACTCACATTACCAATATCGTCTGAGGATATCAAATATATTTAAAATGCGCCTACGTAAAACCAATCCTCTTCAGTAATAGCTTATTAAAGTGCTTTTAAGAAAATTAGTACCCGAAACTAGCATTTTGTTGCCCTGGTCACGGATCACGGGGGTTTCTTCATTTAAACGTGCCGCGTTTAGGGCGATGCCTTTGCTCTTTTCGGGTCACTATCTTCAATGCCGTTTGGCCTTTATCCATGATACGTGTTATACCAATTCGCGAGTAACTGTTCCAAACATGTAGGTGAAAAACTAATTGGATGTTATCCACGATGATCGCAGTGTTTCCCAAAGTGTTTTGTCAACTGAAAGTCCTTGACTCGTTGTATTCGCTGTCAGTTTTATGACGGTAAATTCACGAGTTATAAATTTTGATCTAGCCCCAACTAGAGCCTCGTTTACACTATAGCAATGCATCTGCTAGTTGCTTCATCTAATTCTTCTAAGGTATTATCATTAGTTCGTTGAGCATAAGTGTTCCCAGCACTGTGGCATAGCTGGTTTCTTACGTAAAGAATGCCATTCATGAGGTGGACCATCACCGTCTCATCCTTTTCAGATTCTGCGACTGGATTCATCGCATAAAGTAGTCGTCAGCTTTATCCGACAACCCGAGTTTCTTGAATTGGGTCGTCAAGTGGTCATTTCAGTTAACAACGTGGCTAGGGCCGTAGGCACAGTAGCTGCCTTCAAGCGCATCATCACCGCTTTCTCCAACCCTCCACCACAATCATTTCGGTCTCCTTCCCCGACAGTCTCTGAGTCCACTTTTTCTACCACCGCTGCCGCTGCTTCGTCGTCATCGCCATGGCACACTGTGTCCAACTCTCCCTCCGATTCCTCCTACGAGGCCCTTCTCAGCCAAATTGGCATCGATCCCCAGGGCTCCCACACCAACTTTATCGATGAGCCTCCAATTCCTCCAGAGCTGGAAGCTTTTGAGAACCTCTCTAGCCTCACCCAGCGCAACAAGCGACGCCAACGCAACGCTAAACGGCGACGGAAGGCGGCAGCACGTCTTGCACTGATGGCGGCATCTGCATCGGAGGTGACTTCATCTACAAGCACTTGGAATAGCAACTCCAATGGATCTGTGTCTCTCTTGATGGAACAGGGTGAAAAGGAAATGAAAAGTGAAGAGGTCAAGATGGATACCTCTCAAGGACTGATTAATTTCGCCACCATCGCCAATGCTTCCACTTGTAACGCACCTTCCCAGCGCAGCCGAAAACGAAAACGCAGACATAAACGTTAACTTTAGAACAAATCCAAGACTGTTCAATTTCACCCCCCCCCCCCCCTAGAGATGTCTCTTATTTCTCTTACGACCTAAGATATTACAGATACTATTAGTTTACGGTGAATTGCTTATCACTGCACATCTTCCTTGCTTTTTCTGAATAAAGTATTTTGGTTAAAAACAGCAACTGGAATCAATAAGGCAATTAAATGACCTAACGCAGCCCTTTTACAACATACTAAATACTTGTCGCAAACTTATTTGATAAATTTGTGCGTTGGATTCGTCATCATTGTATTCAATCATTCTCAATGAGATAAAAGCCTGTGAATTCCATTTCCATAAGATGTTCAGTCTCTAGAGATAGGAAATTCGACCGTATATTTGATTTCCACTTTCCCAATGTGGTTGATGTCAAGCATGGCTGATATCGAGAGGCTGCGGAAAAGTGTCAAGTTGAGTTTGGTACGAGAATGTACGGTCGTGTGCTATTCTGAAGGAAATGGTCCCTTCTGTGGTGGTGCTATTCAATCCAGTGGGTAAATCTATAACGCCCAAGTGGATCCCCTATCATCCCTACTTGCATTTTCCTGAGGCTCTTTTTAGATAAAAGGATGGGATCAGTACCATAAATTGAAGTCCATTCCATCAAAATTTATAATAAGCATGCTCGAAACCAGTTTGATTCTACGTCAACACCTTACTTTGTTCAATTGGAGTCAAAATTTTCAGCATTGATTCCTTACCCGATATTTGAGGCAACTTAAAATGTAGTAATACACTGAGGTATGTCTATTTCCGATTTAAATTGACAGGGGCAAAATTATGATAAGTACCGGAGTTCCGAAAAAACTACACACCTAATGGCGACCCCATTTTTTTGCTTTATCAGCTGTTGTGATTAGTTATATGATATTCCAGCTAACCGGTTGTTTTGACTCCCAAATGCTACAAAGAAATCGAGTAAATCGTTCACTGTCAAATCAGAAAACACGTGAAATGATCCCAAAGTGCAAAGCATCTACTGGAGAGCGATTCGGGTAAATTTTCGCCCCGCTGTTCAGAAAATTTGAGGTAAGATCCTACATAACCGAGTCCTATATTTATTGACAAGTCCAGTGAAGAACATGTATTACTAACATTCGGGAAAGCCTGAAGGCTACTAGCATGCCCCAAAAGCCCCAGCCTTGGGCGAACGTACAATTCACCTAGGCTCAAAGGCCCACGTATTGAAACAAATTAGCAAATCACGAAGTATTACTAAAATAGGCGATGTTGAGACGAACTTTCAGCGAATTTAAGAGCATTGGTCGAGAGATAGGCATGGATACACTGGGTAATTGCGTTTTGATGAACTAGACATCCTGATCATGATGTTACCTAGAGCGTTGCCGTCGAAGTCATTAGGTGTGCCAATGGCACGATCAAGCCACACAATCACATCCATTTCGATCATGGAAGTAATCACAAGCACGAGAACAGGCAATTTACACAGCTAAGCACTAGACTTATTTAACTCCAAATCTGTTCAACTATACGCACGACAGCACCCACGATGGCAATAAATCCCATTTAATCCTATGCGAAAGTCTCTAATCAAAAGATAGCTTAAAAGAATATCGCATTGCACGACCGATGTGGCAAACTACTGGACAGATCTACTAGTTTTGTTGACAGATCGTTGTGCTTATCTTTGCAGTAGCAACGACTTGATTGACGGGACCGATGGCACTACCGAAGAGCACACCTAAGTTGACAACTAGACTCGTGCTTCATAGATTTTGAACTGTTCATCACATTCTGAAATAAGGCCGAATCTAAGCAAACCTGGTTTTGAAATGTATCTGTTTAGAAAATCGTAAGAGAATGAACTCATGGGTCCGATTTAAGGCTAGGACACATGGTAATATATCGTCAAGGCCTATCCAGATAACTAGAAATAGAGAACGCTAAGGAAACTCAGATGCAATGAGACCGAAAGTTTAATGTAATACAAAACACCACTGTTGAAGCATTGATAAGTGTACAATTCGGAGTTGCAGCTTTATATGAAAAGGGGAAGAAAGTCACGATAAAGACTAATTTTTGGAGGCGTCTGATTGACTTACGCCGTGAAGCTCGTCTGCAAGGGCGAGTAGTTGTTTTAGCTGATATTCGGAAAACATATCGAGGTCTTCTTCCCTGAGGTGGGTTCCGTATTCGGCCTTGTGTTCCAATCCTGCTTCGTCCCCCACTTTCATGGCAGATCGAATTTGCTTATTTAAATCCACGAGGTACCGCTTTTGGGATAATAACGGTACGCTTAATTAATACGATTATCAACAAAACGAGAGCTGAACACTAAACATGCCCCATTATGACAATCGTCTAACTTATTCTGTGCTCGACCCACAGGGACTATCTTTTATGCTAGGTTTAGCGAAGCTGGTGCTACTTGGGCTGTAAGAACATCCAACGGGATAAATTAGTAATAACTTGGTTGGTATCATGAAAAAGCTGTGTTTGCATAATTTATTATGATCCACAAACGCTTGACAAATAGCAACTTTATCAGCCTAGACAACTAGGAGTTTGATGATCACTCAAAATTGGGCTGGATAACCAGAAAATCATGACTCAAAACTTGGCATTAAATAAGGGGCAAAAATTGATAGGACAAAACTGTAGACATACTGTCCACTCCATCATAAAGGGGCCAACGTAGGAAGAATCACAATTTTTGTGTCTTTTAAATTCCTCTCTAACATATCGATCTCCAAGTTCTCGAAGTTCCGGTGGAAGAGCCTTATGTGTTCGAAGTATCATCTTATACAAAAGACGAACCCGCTGTGGGTGCGTCATTTGATCAAGTGCGGACTTCATTTTGTAAGAGAAACAATGAAAGCCTTATAAACAGACTCGAAAAACGCAAGTAAAAGGCCCAAAAGAAGCGGACAAACTTGCGCCGAATCAAGCAGCGGCTCCCAGTGCCATTAACCTGTACAAAGCCGTTAATGTATAAAATTAGTCTAATTAAGAAAATCACATTCAAGCACTTGACTATGTTAGAAAATTTAAATAATTACATGCAAAAGTAAAGAAAAAAAGCAGGAATCTGGTTAGTAGGCAAAGCATTTAATCGTTGTCATAAAAGCTAAAACTGTCGAAGAAATCTACCTTTGCTGGTTATTTACATTACACTAGAACCTCCAATTATCTTACGGTTTTAAAATGTTGGAAGCATTTTGGGCAAAGTGATTATAAGCCACTTTTCAGCTTACTTGAAAAGCGTTGCAATTGCACTTACTCTAAGAGATTGGGTTCGCAAATGCTAATTTGACAAGGTATTGTGTAATACGATAGCGGCTTATCCCTCGGTTCTGGTGAGGCACCACTTTTGTACTTTGAATTGGCCCCCTTGTACCTCGCTGGGTGGGCTGGCCTTTTGGGCCATGCCAATAGCCCAGACACCTTCTCCGTGCTGAATATATATATTCTGCCCGAGTATGTTGTCTTCTCTTGTCTTCAGGGAGTCTTGGGACGCTACAATTGCTTTAACTTTTTGCGGCGAACCCCTAGTTCGTGTTCTCTCTACCCTTTATGACCTTTAAATAAATAGTCTAACTTAATCGGGGCATGTCTTTTATTTAAGGTAAAAAGACTCAGTACAGGTTTATGGCCGTCTCGATATTGAACTCTTCTCCACTCCGGAAAATTTAACAACGTCTTTGCGCGATTCAAATCGGCCGCCTAGTTCTTTCCCAAGAGGTATATCTGTAATAAATAAACATTACAGTTTGTTTAACTTCCTGTCGGATTGCATTAGCGTTTAGACCTTTGCAGACAATGCTCCAACTCCGCCGCTTCTACACCAGGCCGTGTCAGGAGCCCAAACTTTTGCTTACGTCAGTAATATAGACTAGGCCATAACGCTATGAATAGCAATGCGTAGAGTGTTTGTATGGTTGCCAACGTTTAAAAAGGACCATCTTGTATTTCAACTGCTTTAACTTACTGAGTATACTGTCGTCCAGACTCTGTTGATACTCTTTATCTCTTCGGTGGCGTGTACTCTTTCTTTTTTAGAGAAGACTCCAGACGCAACAACGATTATAACTTAATAAACGCTTAACATACTTTTTAAAAGCTAACTTAAAGATTCTGGCTAATGCTTCGATTTAAAAGAGACAGAGCTCGTTTTTTGAACGCACACCAATAAAGTCTAAGGCCGTTGATATTTTAAATGCGCTAAATGAAATAATTTAATTAAATACAGTTAAATTTGAATGTTTTAATGTTAGTTTTTACATGTTTTACGACATTAGTTAATGTCTTATTGCACGTTTGTTTACACTAACATAAAGGTCGAGCTCAACGACTGATTCCCCCGCACTTTATGCGTTCTTACTAGCGCTGGGGTTGCGCAGTTATTCTGTGGGTGTCCGGCCAGTATTATTATTTAAATGCTATGTACTGTTAAGCACCTTTTAATGCATTAAGTGGGTTTTAGTTTGTAATAAATTGAAATTCCTGGTTCTGGCAGAGGTTTTGTATTGTGTAACGTCGCTGCCCCAATATTCTATGAACTCAATCTTTCTTTGCCCTTTTATTAAACTTTTCGACCGTCTTTTGCCTTTTTTATTTTCATATTTAACTAAGTTTTAATTTTTTTATCAATAAAATGCAAACTATAATATTTTGTTTTCTAGCAATGGATGATAAGCCAAACGATCGACGCTCATTTGAAAACGCTTTGTCACCATTATCGTCAAGCTCTTTTTTTAACGGCTCTTCATCGATTCCGATCTTCCATAGTTCTCTTGCAAATAGTACTCCCTCGTTGCCATTACCGTTGAACGGTGAAAATTTTAGAAGTGCAAGTGGTGGTAAGTATTTTACCAATGTCCTAAAATTTTGTGCTTGTACTTTCAAACAAAACAGTATCGCAATAACTTTGTATTTGTGGAAGTTTGGGACCCGCTCCGAGTCAAAGGCGTTCCAATCGTCTAAATACACACCAACTATTCGAATTTCATAGCTGTCGCGCCTTTGGCTCAAATATAGCATGTTTTATTGCGTAGTAATGTAATTTAGCGTTGTAATCGCTGGATATTTGGAGTGGGGTTCCCGAGTCTCTTTTTCTTAGTTCAAAACGAGGCTGATTACAGTTGTAACATTTGCTTTTATTAGATTTTGAGTTCCTACTTCAGTATGCAACGCCCTCTTTTGCATACAGTAAAAATCATTTTTAAGCTCGTTAGTTTTTTTAGCCCCTAAAACCCCTAAGTATGGTTTTTGTTCTACAAAGTTTGAAACAATTGGCCACTTATGTCGATGCTAGCAAAAACCTTTAAACTAATTATTAATAGGCAAATATTAAATCCCAAAGAATTATAGGAATTCGCTACTTCGTCTATATATCATTTGAAGTTTAAAGTGGTGCAAAAATGCTTTCGGGCGTCTAGCTTAAGCACTTTTTGCAATGACCTTTGTTTTGTCTATTGTTAATAATAACGAAAACTCCCTATTGTATTTAATTCCCATTTTAAGTAGATTTTTTCACCCAAATTTACAAAAGTTGTGGGTGGACCACAACTAAATAAACCAAGGACCGAAGGAATCCTCCATAATGATCCTCGGTAATAAGAACTTAGCACCACCTCCTTTTTCTAAATTGCAGGCTTTTACCCTTTTTATATTTTGTTTAACACCTCTGATCATCCAGATCTGTTTCTTGTTTCAAAAGCTAGCTCAAAATTAAGTTTTAGCAGCATAAACAGCTTTGCATTTATATCGCTAAATGGTCTTAGCTCGATTAGGAGCTGAGCTACGTTGTGATTATTGGGAATGAAATGTTGCGGACTTTCTGTCACCATGATGTTATTGCTTCTGTGCAATTTTACATTGAATTATGTTCTAGCTCGAATTTTTTGCCCAGATCAACTTGCAACGACATCATCCTCATCGATGACAGGCGGTTCTACTTCTCCTGGCATCATGAGCTTTCAAACTGAACAAAAATTCTCTAAGGTTGGTTTACAGAACAGATTGCTTCGTTATTCCTTGCGTAATTCTGATCATCAATAATAATACATTACAAATTGTAGTGACTTGCCCCCAGGTTAAAACCGTATGAGCTCGGGAATTTGCTAGTTCCCTTGGGGTCTTTCTTCCGAATCAGTGGATTTGCGAAGCACTGATTGGTTCACTCTTCTGCATCTCATTATGAAGGCATTTATTTGGGGAGGTGGGGGCATATGGCGGATAGGAATTGTGTGTTAAGTGGATTTTGTTTGGAGAGGATTTTTTGCGCTTCTCCTTCAGAATGCTGCAAATGAGATAGGAGTACTGTCTCTAGACAAACAATTGTGCGCATACCTGGCATGCCCTGAAGATACCGCCTCACGCTTATTTTTGCGTCATTTGCCTCGATGAATTCGTAAGGAAAACAAAAGATGGCGAAAGCTACTACATGCGCAAATTGAAAATTATTCAGAAGTGTGGTACAGTCAGTTTTTAGATATCGTATTGAGGGTGTTTTGTAAACACCTAAATGGGTCAAAATATGAGGTAAAAAATGTAGTGCGTTCTGTTGTCGAAATATATGGGTGCCGAACTAACGATTCCTTACAAAGACATGGTTATTTGTTATTTTTATAATTATAACGAGTCTTAATGCTTTTGTCCAGTCATTCGCCTCCCTCATCGGCAGAGACATGTATCCCATTTTTTTAGAGAATTACTTCCTGAGTTTAATTATATACCAGGACTAGAACTGGCTAGTTTTCTTTATTTAGTTTTGTTGATACAAGCACAAGATGGATCCAAATGGGTGCGACCACAAAAATGGGCATTGGATACTCGACACAGTAGAAAAGTCATTCTTGTCAGTGGCACTACTAGATGTTGTTAAATAACATTCTCAAAACACTCATGTATGATTCGTGTAAATTTCTCAAATTGTGCTACTTTCGCTATACACCTTGTAATTTTGCTGTACTATTAGTCAGTCATGAAACTCGGCCACCTTTTCCAACATTAACTTCAGTTCTTTGTTATACAATTGTATCATAATTGTAAAAAATCAAGGTGTAATAAAAGTCAATACTCCGGAGTCCTACTTTGACTTAGTGGCGATTTTACAATTTGGCTAAGTGAACTGTTTTAGGGGTTTTTTCAGGTCATCACTAAAATGGATATGTAGTCAAGCATTTTGGTAAGGCCTTTTATGTGTAATTTTACGAGTTTAGTCAGTTTGAAGAACTGAACGATAATTTTATAGTCAGGCAATTCGGTATAAATCATTTAATACTTCTAAGGTTGGTAAAGATGTGAAAAGTTAAACTCTATTGCACTCTTCTATCCCCAAAGCATACAACCTAACTCGAGATTGTACTCCTTAAGATTTTTCCTATGCTTATATTTGTCCTCATTTGGACCTCATTTGCATCAAGAAACTACTTCCTAACTACAAGATCCCACTGGTACGATGTGATGCAACTGCTAATCCCACGAATCGAAAGTTTATTAATCCAAAGAAGCTTCTTATGTTTCATTGGCACTTGTCAAACATTATGTTTTGAATGTCATTGGATGTTTAGGAATGAGAAGGATTCCGTTTTTTTTGTTAACATCAGGTGTCAAACCGATGGTTTCAGCTCTGTGAATTTGCCGATTGTTTAGGATGCATAAAATTGTGGATTGTGCGCAAACACACACAGGCCTGTGCTGATCACCTCACCATATCTCGTTCTCACATGGATAAACATCATATTGAATCGGTTTTACCATATTTCTTTTACACGACAAACCATGCAACGCATGTATGTGCTACCAATTGCGGTACTAACTGTAATTATAATCTTATTCCTGGAGAGTTTGATTCACTTCGTCTGTTTTATCGCGAATCGTTAGAATATTAACCTTCATTTCATCATGTTCTCATAAATTATTCTAATGATTGTATCCTGTTTTAAAAAGCAATACGGGTCTTGGTTTTGGCCCCTTGGCAGACCTTTAGCATTTTGATGAGTATGTGAAGGAGTGGAATTTGAGATCAAATAATCCCTTTAATCTAGCAAAAGCAACTAATATGCTCTCTTCCAGTGGTATCTTATCAATGCTTTTCGTCCTGCCAAGGACGTATAGCTTCACTGTGCTGCACTGGCTGATGATACATCTAATCAAATTTTGGATTACTACTTTTTGTTGTGAAGCCGAAATTGGCTTTTGATCAGTTTTAGATCGGAGCGAAGTGGAAAGTCAGATGTTACCTCTTCATATCAGAAGTTGGATTGTTCGTAAAGGCCCCAAACACACCGCATTTTTTTTTATCTGTTTGTTTATGCGTTCAAATGGTGATGTTAGCCTATTCATTGCTATATTTCCTACAATTTGTAATGGTTAGTGGTTATCAGCTGCTTTTCTCTATTATTAATTCCAGCTTCATATCTTTTTCGGGCGTTTAAAATCTTCACAGCTCGGACACTTACTTCGGAATGATTGTCTGTATTTCCTCTCCCATTCATGCAAGGGAAATATAGAATCCTCAACAGATCGACACTTAATATTATTGCTGCCTTTTTCTACCTGGAAAATTTACTAAAAAATCAGGGTACTGTAAAATTTTGTTTCTTTCGATCCAACTGCAAGGATCGGTGTTATTTATTTTTCAATGCCTGAAACAAGGCTTTGGTTCACGATCAAAATACCGATGCGCTGTAAACTTAATAAAGTAAATATAACTTAAAAAATTAGGTGTCTACCTGATCTAATGTGGTTCTTCAGGGGGACGTAGTGAAGACGCCAAACGGAGTACGAAAGAAGTTTAACGGAAAACAGTGGCGACGTCTCTGCTCTAAAGAAGGCTGCACGAAGGAATCGCAAAGACGCGGATTTTGTTCGCGTCATTTATCCATGAAGGTAAGTCTTCCAGCTCACACTCACCTAACCTGAGTTGAATACTTTTGTTTGGCAGCTTAATCTATGACTTATCAGCAATAAGTAACCCAATAAATGCAATTTGTTTTCACTTGCTGTTTGAGCACCTGAAGTGCGAAAGTAAAAGCCTATACTTGGGATAATTCAAAATAGGCTGTATTTCTTAGCTCTTCGGAATCATTAATTCAAACATTATTGGAGTGCGCATAATTTATCCTAATAAATTGACGAAATGGAATCGTCAGCACAAACTGAAATTATGTTTTATTCTTTCATTCCTTATTTTGGATCACCTTCTCGTTTAACAGTAGCATATAGTTTTCTCTTTTGTACAGGGCAAAGAGATGCGAGCCTTCAGTTATGCGGCTGCAACAGCAGCTGCGACAAAAATGTTTGCAATGAGCAACACCCGACCACAACAGCAGTCCTCACAGCCTCTCTGCGATCTGATCTACAAATCCGCCACAAACTACAGCGTTTCTTCAGGGCCTATTTCCAACCATGGCAAAGGTGTGTTATTTAGGGGTTTCCAGCATCTATCAGGCTATACCTGTATTAATCAATTTGTGTTGCAAAGCACACTTCTGTGTAACAGTTCGTGTTGTAATAATGACATGCAGTTGACCATTGATTGTGTTGAATGCAATTAGAGTAGCTCCTCCTCGTATCAACCTTGACAACTATGTGTCAGCTTACGCGAATGACTGGTATAAATATCAATAAAATTGGGAAAAATTTTAAATAGAACTATAGTATTAAGCCGATACTGTTAGTGGGAATTCATGGGTCTCATAGAGACGTTTTGAACACGTACCCCAAAATGATCGTTTTGATATCAGATGCATGACTGAACTCCCGTTATTTGTACACAAGTTAGCCTTTAGTGTCAAACTCCTTTTGAAAACAAATAAACTTGTTTCTTGAGTTCAACAAATCATTTCCTACTTTTTCTTAAAAATCAATGCTTTTCAATTAAAATTGTCATGCGCTGAGCTGTTCCGTTTCTCAAATCAAATTTTGTAAAACTAACTTTTGTCTTTTTACCTTTTATTGCTTTTGATGTTTAGTAATATTTTCCAGTAATGGACGTCAAATTTTACAATATGAATGCCCCAAAATGGAAACGTTATGAAAATTGTTTCCCTTGATTCCGCAGAAACGACTTTTTGAACAGGTTTACAAATACTTTATTATGTTGTAGTACCTACACACGAAGCAATTAAAAAATGCCTTAATGAAATTTAATTTCGATTATTGATACCCTTTATTTTAGACAGCACCTATAGCATTGCATACCTTATGTGGCCATTTCCAACTATATTTTCATGATATTTACAACACATTAGTAAGCCTCATTGCATTCCATTCCACACAGCTCCTTCTTCGTCTGTTAATTCGTCGCTGCCAACGCCATTGGATCTTCTGCCTGTTCTCTCACCGGCATGCGCCTGGCGACCCTCACCACCAAGTGAGGGCTCTTACTTTAATTCCACCCCACCTCTTCATACTCCTCCGAGCACGAACATACCGCACTGGACATCTTTCCCCACCCCCTTCGCCTCCTCTTCTGCCTCCCCCACCGTGCCTCCCTCCGCCTCAGCTTTTACGTCACATGTGTCGTCTCACATCCTCACCGCCTTCCCTGGCAAGACCGGCGACAGTGCCACCGCCACTTCCTCTACCCCAGTCTCCGCCTCCACCTCCGCCCCCGTCACCACCAGCTCCTTCTTCTCCAGTGGTGGTGGTGGTGCTGGAGATCTAGCCATTCAGCCCATAACCGCTTGCCCTTAGTTTCACGTGTTTTCTAAACCACTCCACTTCCTCTTACTCTCACTACCCCTTTTCTCTCCCCGCTTGCGCCTGCATTTAATATTTTGTGTTTGACTGCTTGACATCATTCAAACCCTCCTCTCCCTCTTCTCCTCTTCATCTTTTTTTCTAACCCCACAAGTGCACACTACACAATGTGCTACCCCTTTTAATATGGTATTAATGCTATCACTCCAAATGATTTGGTTTGTAAAACTAAAAGTGGATTCAACAAAAAATGCTCTTAACGTTCTCATAAAGGCGCGTTGATAAATGGTACTGTTTTGAATCAAACCGGCTAAAAATCCGTCTTGTATTGGCGTTTTGCTGAACCGTCGCAAAATACTACTTGATTTTTCGGCAGTATTGCCTTTTTGGAGTATTTGAACATTGAATTAATGTGAGGAACGCGAAACTATTCCGTTAGCTGGGCCTTAAAGGATCAAAGTAAAATTTTCTTGCAGGTATGAGGTCGACGCGATGTTTAATCTGACCTTATCAGTTTCTATTCTTAGTGAAACGGATGTAGTTCAATTCACAACTTTCATCTCATATTTTTGTTTACAGGACAGCCTTAGTAAATGTCAGCACAAATACGATAAGCGTGATACGAGAACCAAAAATACTGGCGACACTTTCCGGACCGCATCAATCAGGAAAAGGACTGCTTTCGACACAATTTAGCATTTTTCAAGTGAATTAGTCGAAAAAGAATTTTTCACCGCATTATCTGCATCATCAGTGCACCGCTTGGTGAGACTTGTAAGATCCATCCACTGTTGTGGCATACTCGAATAACTGGTAAGCCTTCAAGGTGTAAACTCTTCGTTCTTTTATCTATTTGCAGATTAGTCATTTAGATTCAAATTCGGTGGCTGCTCGTTCGGGCTCCAAAGGCGTTTCGTCTACTTTATTTGTGCGTACGGATAGGTTCTTCCAAACCAATGTACCCGTAGCATTACACCACTGTGCACATTTATCAAATTTGCTTACTGTCCAACAAAAGTGCTCACTGTAAAAGTCCAGATGGAATATTGGATTTAATACATCCTACCACCAGGATGCGAGCCATAAAACAAAGTTTAATGTGGCACCAATTAGTATAAGGTAGCATCGATATAAACAAAGTTTTTGTGTTAGTTTTAAACGATAATAAGTAATTCGCATTACTGCTTTAGGCTACAGAGACAGGAATAGTGCACCACTATTATGAATTATTTCTGCAGCACCAAGAACTTCTTGTGACTCTATTTTACAGAATGAAAAAAAGTGACGCTATTAGTTGCACTTTAAAATACAAATGTCTTTTACATTTTTTCAGTTATCTTAAATCATAAAATGCACTTGCAAAACAGTTAGTCATGGTAGGTTTTATTGCGATTTGCGTTATTTTGGGACGCGAAAATGACCATTTTGCGTCTGGAACTAAAAATTTGTTAGTAAAACACTCACTGTGTTTGCGATCCTTTCAACGTGCCTAAACTGTTAACCGGAATAGTTTCTAAGGAAAATATTCTACACGATTAATATCAAGTAATTTTGTAAAAAGTCTCCCGAGTAGCATTGAAAATGAATAAATAAAAAGCTTGATTTTAGTAGAAGTCCTCATCCAGAGCGATTCCACCATGAATCAATACACTGCGCCTTTACTATTTTACCTTTTTCGAATGTGGCTTTGCATCATTTTTAAGTATCACTTACATCCCTATGTCTTTCCGAGTCCACAAACTATTAACGGTAGCCATTGTACATTGCAGGTACTTGGCTTAAACTGATTAATAATGCGTTTAATAAGCTTCCTTGTAATAGTGGCATCCCAGCTTCGATGTGTAGGTCACATTCAATGGTTTTTCCTTTTTCCAAATAAACAGTTATATCTGCTGCAGTAGCGGTCTTGCTCTTGAACATAAGCTTAAAGTATATTAATCGCTTTGAAAAAAAAGGGCATTTAATTGTAATGAAAGAGTGAGATTGTCATGAAGTGAAAAAACTACACCTTGCTTGAGTGGTTTATTTACTCGTCACGACATCACCATCACATTAATCTGAGTCAGCTGGTAGGTGTAGACAGAATGGTCAAAAGATGGTCATTATGTCTATTCAACAAAACTCAGAAACAGGCACAAGGTCAGGGACTTAACATTGATGTTGGACTTCAGATTGGTTCTATTAGGAGTTAACACAAAGGAGACCATCTCCATCAAGCAGAATAAAACAAACACCAAAGCCTCTGCTTTTGTCGGGTGTAAAAATAATATGTCGCGGTAGTAAAGCACAGTATTTTGTGACAAACGGAAATTATTCTAGACATAGTGACGCCTATGTACCGCGGATGCACTGGTGTGCGTGCGTGTGTATTTGGAATGTTTACACTATCCACCCGGTGATTACGCGCGTGCGCCAGGTCTGGAATGAAAGGAACAGTAGCGAACATCCTCAGCTTGTTTGGACCGTTTTGTAAGTAGAGATATTTTATAATTTAACATCGGGTGACTTCCGTATCCTCCGTCGTTTCGACAACACCGGGCGCATTGTTCACACGATGGAATGCATTCGAGGGAACGCTTTCCTACTTAGCAAACCGTAAATGACTGATCCATAAAGGACGCCTAATGTACTGGGCTCAATAACTTCTTGGCAAAATAAATCAGTAATCGTGTTATAGCGACCATTTTTTCACCCCGGGAATAAAAAGCCAATGTTTTGAGATTGTAATCCCCATTTTTTGCCCATTTTTTCAGCGCTCTGACAACCGTTAGGTTCTTTGAAAATATAGACGCTATTTTACTCGACTACATGACTTAATCAGTAAACTTCACTATGCGAAGAATTTCTACAGGACGTCTTGTGTGTAAAAAATATGTTAATTCCAAGTAGGGTCAATGTAGCTATTTCATCGTGGGGTTGGAGATTTCCCACAATTTATTTTCCTACCCAGTCTGCATCAAATGCACAGTCTTCCTCAGCATCAGTTGCACCAGTTGTTGTTATAAATGCTCAATGGCGTTAATTCACCCTATCTGGATTAAGGAATTTATAAATAAAAATGACATTTCCCCATTTCTTTGTCGATGTTTGCCCAATATGGCAGGTATGCAATTGTATCCATGCTACAGAAAACTTCAGGTGTATGTATATATGTTTAGATATTTACATTTGACTTCTTAGAATATTTGAAAGGTGCTACAATCAGATTTGTATTACAATGCTATTTTTTCCTACAAATTATTCCACAAACACGAGAATATATCCAAATTTTTGGCTCTTGGGAAATGTTAGTTCATTTTTAGTCAGAATTTTTGAGGAATTCGGACTGTGTAAAGGGCCTACTGTGCCTCTAAAGTTCTTTCGGATTTTCTGAACTTAGGGAAGCTTATTTGTCCAAATATCTGAAGTATTTGAATCAATTGTCAATGGCCTGTCTTATGTGTGACACTAGGGGATTTAGCTCAGGTTTAAAGGAAACTTTTGAAGCCAACCATTGGGACGTTAAGATGCTATCAATCGAAAAAAAAACAACTTTATCAATCTTCTCGGTGTCTACTGGTAAACGGCTTTTCTTCTCTTAAATTAAAGTAACTGTATAGATTACTGAAGCATACTAGCTCCTTCCAGCCACCTTACTTGAGCGCACAGCGAGTTTTCACATTTTGAATTTAAGATTGGCATACCTTTTTCAAATGAAGACGATCGAAGTGACACCAAGGTTTCTTGTTTCAAGGCATCCTGAAGCATGAACGCGCCCTTGAAATAGTTACGAATTTTGGCACAATGCCTTTTTTATAAGAAAGTGGTCCCGTGGCAAAAGTGTCTCCTTCTGTCCGTCTATGTTTTCTGGGCCTATGTACACGCGGAAAACGACGCGGCAACTCAGGACCAATGGCCAATTAAGTTTTCTCCTTTTACAGCTTACTACTTTACTCACCTTGGTAGATTCGACCAGTACTTATGAGAAAATAATAAAACTGTCAAACACCATCTTGATCTTAATTTATTCATGAAGGCCTCAAACATTTCCGTGCTAAGCCTGAGATGTATTTGGCTAAATTTAACCACGGGAACCATCTTCTTCGCAACGCATTCGTAATGCAGAATTGTGCGCATGGAAGACTGGCCTTAGAAGGATAGTTTCAAGTCATATTCATATGGCTATAAGGTATTTGCCTCCAGTATATCAAGCCGACACCTTAATTTGTGTAAAATATAAAACGCCTGTGCGAACAATGTTGTAGGTTATCCACTAAGTACCAACTACTCGCTCGAAGCGGTTCAATATGGACATTTAATCGACGATGCAACTGGGTAATATAAGCCCGACAATGCCATTTTATATGTTGATCACTTACCCTCTGTTTCAAAAATTACAGATTGTCGAATATTTGCATATATATTCCAAGTAGAAATAAATTAAGACAACAGACTTCACCAAAGTAATTTGTAATTCAACCGAAAAAGTCAAATAAGAGTAGTATTAAACGAGCTCACTCTGCTAACAGCTTATATGGATAGCATTTTAACATTCCATGTTAATAGGGTTTTTAATGAGCACCCACAGACAGCTTGATGTCATACAATCTCAAGGTCTTCGTTTTAACATGTAGTATTTCATCTGCATTGGCTTGTTCAATTCAAGGTGAAGGAACTTTCGTTCAACATGTTTTAGAAGGTCCGTCGATTTACTGGTTCGCAGAAGTTAGAAAGTGCATATTGTTTAACGGCATGCAACTTAAAATTCCATCAACCATTTTTCAGTGAACCTTTCCTTTCGAACATTTACTGATGCAAATTTTTCTCAAGTGCACGTTTTCTTCGAAATAACCCGAAAGACCCGCAGTATGTGGATGCGGCAATAAATGTTGATAGTCAAAAGACTAAATTATTACATAAGGTGGAACTCGAGTAAATCCAGAGTCATCATACCAATTTGCATTATGAACTAAACAGTCAACCAAGCCAAAAAGTTGACTGTGAACCACCAACCGTGGACTCTCTGGAGCATATTTTGACAAGCCATAAGACAACCTCTTCACTGAGGTATGAACAACTCTGTCGTCCTCATTCTCATCACTACAGATTCAGAAATTGTCAATAAGTTTAGGTGGCTGCAGCTGATTAAAAAACGAATTCTGTTCAGAGACAATAACAGGTGTTTTAGCCTATGTAACCACATCAGGAAGAGTTTAAAACATGGGAAAGCTCGTGGGTTCGGATCGCGATAGCATCGCAAAAACTGTCCCAAATTGGTCAACGAAGTAAGGTTAAGGAGTAGGCCTCAGCTCAGCTTCATCGCTCCACAATCCTTTTGCCACAACGGCATGAGGTTGATTTAGACTGGCAGAGGGCGCATAAGTAAACAAATTGTTATAAACAATCCCGCATTGAACCTCAGAGACATGTGAAAAATTATCAAATACATTAACGTCGGAGAATGAAAACTAGATGCACACTTACCTTGAGGCCATAAAACCCTAGTATACAAAATTAGAGGTCCAAACTATGCTAATTAAAGACCGTGTTTATTTCCTGCAGCCATCACTCTCACAATTACAAAATATCAGCTTGTTAAGGAATTGGATATGGTTAAAATCGAACTTCACGCAAGCTTAGCCAACGAACCCCGTCCTTTGAGGAGATGAGACGTGCGATTGATTGCATTTATTCGTCCTGCACATCTCAATTAAATTAGACATCCAAAGGCACTGAGTATTGTTTAAGGGAATTTAAAAAAAAAATTCAAGCGTTCTACAGAACACAAATGAGAATGCGTCTACACATAAGGCATATACAGGAGGAAGTTACAGGGATTAAGAGTGGGAGGGAAAGGATAAAGGTTGTGGGTCGGGCATAAGAATACTGCTTTGCTGCTTATTTCTTAATGCCAGTTAGCTAACAAACACTGACACAAAAGACAAATACAAAAATAGGAAAAACAAATGTGTGTAAGTGTAAGTGAAGGATTTGTAAGATCACTAAAGGGAGACCAATATCCTTGCCACTGTGCAGTGTCATATTACTGATAAAAATATCAGTAGAGGAGTCAGAGATACAAGATGACAGAGATCAAGGCACAGGGTGATGGATGTGTGTAGATCATTGTCAACTACAAAGCAGCCATTCGTTTTCGGCCCTGCCCTGAAAATGTTAAAAATCGCCAACGGAAAGAGTTTCAATTTTGAGGTAGCCCCATTTTTGGGAGTGATCGAGAGGATTTGGCGGATGAGGGGAAGGGAGAGAAGTGTTTACACTTTTTTGTTAGAATGAGCGCTGGACTCGGAGCTCGAATACGGTTCCTGCCGCGTTTGTTGTAAAGAAAGATCTTGAAAAAGGAGAGCAAGTAGTTATAAAAGTGACCGATTACCTGTTGTAGGTGAAACGTTAGATAGTGAGTTAGTTTGATTGTGATGATGATCAGACTGGCCACTACTTCTTTGGTTTGGTACTCGGCCGTTAGTTTGACCGTTCACCGGTGATTGAATATGAATGACTGGTGAGCTCCCAGCATCGGGACATCGTTGCGATAATCGCGAACCAGTGCGCCCATGACTTAGAAACAACGAGTGGTAATTGCGAATGTGTCGCTTACGGATGCGTTTTGTGGTGAGCTGAAAGTAGAATTGCATAGGAGTTCGCATAGGTGGTACGCTATTACCGAAATTCAGTCTCACAAGTGAACTCACATGATAGACGAGGTAGCCCAGGGCAATTGCCACGGTGAGAATCGCCGTGATGAAGAAGCTCAGGCGGACTGGATCCTCCCCGACCCAGGCCCAACCGCTCCCATTCGCCTCTAGTGGGGTATCGGCGATGCCCCCGAGGAAAGTGTAGTTCTCGTAGAGCCCTAAGCCTCCACCAATGGCAGCCCATGAAGAGCACGTGACTGTTTGAAAAGTGATGAAAGTGCGGTGATTATTTTGATCAAGTGAGAGTAGTAAAAAACAAATAAATAAATAAAAAGACCACTTCAAGTACAGGGTCAAAAATGACACCCGCAACTCTCCTCAAACCTAAATGTGCTTTGCGTTGAACGTTTCCGTGTTGAAAAAAGTGTGCCACATTTAGGAGAAGTGAACACAGGTTATGGGAAAAAGTGCCGCGACATGTGCTGTCCGAAGTAAGCGGTGAAACCATCATGAAACAGGATTGAACCCATTAAATGCATTTAAAGTTCTGATACTGAAGCAGAATAGCAATTAGATATTTTGAAGAAAGGCAGAAAGGATGCATCGAAACGCATCTGGAAAGGCAAATGGAAGGACCAACTAAAACCATACCAAATGAGAACTGTACGAAATTGTAGTTATTTAAACCGACTTAAAGGTATAAGATATCGCTAACGCACGGGATCGCCACAGTTGCTCAGAACAGTGTATGGCCACACAAAAATTCTAGCGATTTTGGCTTGTAAATTTAACAGATTAGAAAATTCGGCTTCAGATCATCACCCATATTCCGAGTTATAAAACAAAAATACTATTAGTATGGGGACTTTGGCAAGGATTTGCGCTACAATACAAAACAGTAATACCTAAGACTTGGGAAGTGCGTCTTTGTGGATTAACGAGGCCACGAGCAAAGAAAGCAGCGGTGATGGGACGCAGCGAATGCCGCTAGGAGGACCAGCAACCGGACAAACGATGGGTGACCCACTACCGACCACCTTGGTCGCGCTTCCTTCGCCTACGCCTCCTTCCTGTGTGCTTGTGTGCAAACACCTTAGTCATCGGGGGTATTGCAGCAACACGACCACTCGACATACGCCTCTGTTCTCATTCTTGCACCAATTTGCATGCCTTTCATTAATCGGAGATCTACGTGTGTAGAGCTACCGACTTATGAAGGTACCTCAAACTCCTGCGGCTTAGGCGCAGTAATGTACCACGCAAAAGTTGTTGATGGAAGAGCTTCCGACAGCACAATTGGCCCTTGGTCGAGCAAACGGGTCCAAAGGATAGCGTTCAGTAATGCTGTGTGAGGTATTACCACCAGAGTGTGAGAGCCCTGCCCTAGGCCGCACGATAAATAAACGCCAAGCCATCGAGCTAAATGTATGGCAATAATGTGCGGACCATTTCCACGTGTAAAATATACAATTTATAAAGTGCTTTGAACCACACGAATCGCCCACCACTACCAAAGTCGACTACACGGCGACCTAATGATTGCTTTCACAGTAATGAAATAAGGTCATCCCGTTGCAATATACATATGTATTATCTGATGCAATCAAGCAAGTACAACACACTTTTTTGCTTAAGATCAGTGCCCAACAAGTGTTATGGTCAACTCCTATTCTCGTGATCTTGAGCAATGCATACATCCACAGCGATTGAGCAACCAGCTGCCTGAGAGCATTTCAGAGAGGATAAATACCAATGGTGAAGTAGGATAAATGAGCTTTTTGGCGACAGCGAGGTAGTAGCTTACGCCAAATAGGAAAACTTGTCCCCAAAAATGAGGCGTGTAACCTAGGTAACGGTCTCTTCCCTTGGATTTGCATGAATGATGCGTCACCATAGCAGAGGATCAAAATGCACAAAATTTACTGAAAACAGCGGCCGTCGGTGGGATTAAAATTGTGTACAGATTACAAAATACTACATTTCATATCATTCACGTATATGCTATGAGTTCTACTTTTATAACCGAGTAAGGCCACTTATTAGAAGAGTTCACAACGCTCATAAGTATACACGGCGGCCAGTTGGAGAAAGAGCCCAGTTGTCGAGGTGACAATCGTGCAGGACGAGAGGGACGGAGGCGGTCGTCTCGTCAATGGCTCTTCTTTTCCTCGCACACACACACACACGCACACACAATCACGGCCTTGTTGGCGGCCATGGGCGGACGCTTCGGCGCTGGTCCGTGTGTGCGCGTGCGCACCAGTTAAGATAAACAAAACGGACTCGCGCGCACATACGCGAGAGAGCAAGTGTGCGCGAAACCCACGATACACGAGGATTTTGCGTGTGTGTGTGAATAAACATGTGGACACAGCGCACGAACACGCATAGGGGAGTCCGTTCTAAATGTGTGCATATGTGTAGCAGACGGATTATCAACCAATATAGATACGGCCACGCACAGATGTGCAAACTCAAGCACCTGAAATTTTGCACTTGTGTAAGCAGTTACCAGGCGGCCAAAATTTATGCTCGGACCCTCATGTGCGTAATTTTATGTGTACAACACTCCGACATGGTAAAGAAGAGACAAATTGAGACGGAGTGCTGATAGTCGGCAATGTGATTTACGAGCTCGTACACACACCTATACCCCCCTTGGCTGAGCCCAGATGGTAAAAAGACTATTTTCTTAACCAGTGCACGACATCCCTTTGTATTTTTATAAAAGAAAACAAGTCCAGCATTAACTAGAGAGAATACTTGCCTACCCTCTTGGAAACCTTCAAAAAGGTATGAAAAAGTTCGTTGTTAGCTGTTTAGAAAACTTGCTTTCAGTAGGGAGACAGAAGAGACAGCCGGAGGGCGGCTGCGAGTCGAGAATGCGAGCGACGTGACAGCAAGGGTAGCAGGTGCCTACAGGGGACTCCAGTAAGGGTTCCTGGCTGGTGTGTGTCGCCCTCATTGGCGGGGGCGGTTCCAGACAGGCGGGGAAGGTACTCAAACCACTGCTCAATCGAGGACACTCCAAACAGTCCGAGGACCCCGAACCGCGACAACGGACACACGAAGGATGGCATGGCTTGCATTTCTAGGGCCACGATAGACGTTTTTTGTTCATCACACTGTGAAGAGAAATGCAAACAATAGGCCGGTAACAAGCTTGCCACTCACCTGATCACTGTTGTCAAAGTATGTCGCCTGAGAGCAGGAGCGCACCGGTTCACACTTTCCATCACGCTTACTTAGAGCGTAGCCCTCCTCGCATCGAGTGCACTTATCCGGGGCTAAGTGGAGGGAAGCGGATGAATGACCATTCTAAGTCGTGCTGCTAATAATTTCTAAGTAGATGAAAAAATTACCAGCGCAGGATTTGCACAATGGAGGACAGGGGAGACAGATTAGTTCACCGTCTATTCGTGCTGCATAGGTCGCCTCTGGGCAGAAGTTAACACAACCATAACCAATGGGTTTATCGCTTGTAAAGATAATTAAGGGATCGAGGCGGTGTTCCCCATAGGCCAAATAAGCACCCGAAGAACACTGAAGACACGAATCCAGTTCGTCAAGGCAAGTCAAGCACATGTGGTGGCAGGTTCGAGTACAGTTTTGGCCATAGGTGCTGTTGAAAGAAGACGAATAATCAATTATAAACCCCACAAACAAACTACCGAGAGGTAGGAAATACATCGAATGGAGAAAAGTGTGAACTATATTACTCGACGACGGTATGAGCGGTTGCACACCAGCGTAGCAACTTACCACGACAGAGAATCAAAGGTGTGAGGATGTTTTCATCTTGAAGACGGGGATTCCTCAAAATCAATATCTAGCAACTTGACACACCAATCAACAAGTAGAAAGGCTGGTTACGTGTCTATAGGGCGCCATGATCACAAATTAAGAGATTCGCCCACCCATCTTTCAATATGAAAGTGAGTTAGTATTCTAAACATTACCCGTTAGTTATGACAATGGATCCTTGTAGGTACTATGCTTTTACAATTGCTAAATAGGTGTGCTTTGTGATGTAACTATAGTTCGTAGATTTTTATGAGGTTTGCACACTTCACCGACTTGATACAGGGATAATACTAACTTGCCCATTGTGCCGTTTTTGGATAGCTTTTCAAATTTGCAGTAGCAATTGAATTGAAAATATTTACAAAAAAAAATGTTATCTGACAACAAGAACTGAAGTTGCTTCCAAATTTCATACATAATTATTAGTTTTTTAGATCTCGATTAAAACTCCCAGTTCTACCTCACGAAACGCAAAACTCATTCGAAAGCAATCGCTATTGCTGTATACACATTTCTGATAAAACAGGAGTGGAGGTCAGTGAACTTTTCAATAAAAAGTATCAATCTTCCTCAACCGACTTAAATGATGACGATCAATTGCGCGATATTGTAGCAATAAGAATGAGAAGAGAGAACCGATCGACGTGTCTTATTAGCGCAAGAGCATTTCGCAGCCTGATTTGAGAGCCTTCGCTACGCATGGTCACGTGTTGCTAACACCATAAAACCCTTCAGGAGAGTCAAAAAGTATTCAAGCCCCACATCTAGTAAGTGCTTGAAAATAGCCTGATTGACAGCCAACTCCACCATTTCGGATTCAAATAAGTGATTCTAACTTTGCATACCAGATGATTATTTCAAAAAGTGCCCTGAGTGACCCTGTGGTTATTAAACAATTGGATCTATATTCTGCGAGGTATATCCTAACATTTCTAATCTTACCTGGTCTAGAGGTCAGGTAAGTCGCACTTCTTCCTAGATTTCGTTGCATCGTAGTTTATATATCATGTAATGACTCAACTAGACTATAATAGTTGAGCCAGAATGCATTTGGAGTCATGAAAGAAAAGGCAAAAAGAAGAAAGTGCACCAACCCAATAGGACAGGGAGATTTGCAGAGACCGGAGTTGCGCTCGAGACTGAGGCCTTTGTGGCATGTGTCGCAGCGCGGCACCACGAAACCCTGGAGGCGTCGAGGCGAGGGGGAGCAACTCACGCAGCCCGGCGGACAAGGCGCGCACATCCACACGATCCCAGCATCGTCCACAATTGGTGCCGTCTCCGTCTCGTAGAGACCGGACTGCCGCAGTCGAAAGGCGGGGAAGAAGCCAACTGGACAGGATTTCTCACATCTGCCCTCGTGCATGAAGCTGCAAGGCATAAGTGATACAATCCTTGCAGGCCAGTAAAACTTGAAAAGCTTCCCATTTTTGAGGTATTGCAATTAAAAGTAGTGGGGAATTATGATGGGCACGAAAGTCTTACCAGGTGCTGCTACAATTAAAACACGTAAAGAACCAAATAAAACACCAAAGTTGAACTCGGTCATCAAAATCTATTTTACCTACATCAATCTCCCAATTTAAGAAAACTTGTAAGCCCTTTATCCCTTTCACAAAAGTCTTTTATTGCAGTTAAAATAAGCGGAGGGCTTAAGTAAGTTAGACGCATAAATTAGCACGGCATCATAGAGAGTAATTGGAATCCTTTGATCCCATTATTTACAAAATATCACTAAATATGTAGAAACAATCATTAAAAGTTCATGACGGTGCCTACCATTATCATTCAATGACCGAATTCTGCATAATTAGGTTATCCACTAACAACTTGGTCAGTCAGGAATCCTCCATAATGCATCACATCATCGCAAAAGGAAGAACGCTAATCATTTCCAGAGGAAGATAATTTACGCACAAAACATAAATACCCTCCGATGGGAATGATATGACCTGAGATGTCTTGGCTCCATAGCACTTGTGTCTGAATTAAATCGGAAAAATTACGTTACCCTTTTACGCATCAAATGCACCATTATCGATACTTTTGAATTACGGCGAATAGTTGAAGCGAAAATGGGGAGCATTATGGCTTTTTTGCATCGACGACATGCCAAAAGAGCCATAACCAAGCAGTTGTTCGACGCAAATGCTGTGACACTTTATGCAATTAAATGCTAGACTGTGTTGCTGAAAGATCATGAGACCGGGCATTCTAGGAGGCTGCAGAGAGATTAAGGGGTCCGCCTTAGATCGTATAGATGGGATGGAAATCCACCCATGTTATTCAAAATCTATGTCTAGTTTTAGCCCCAGTAAATTAAGAAGACTGATGCTTGGTGTATAAGAAACCCATGCTATAGTGATAAAGTCAGAAAATTTGAAAAAAAAATGCACACCGTTGACAGGGCTGTGAAATTCTCAGGACTAGATAGCAATGTGCTCTGAACGAACAAATAGAATGTAAACCATCATACAGTTGAGCAACGGAATACAAATACAGACAGTAAATTGAAAGGCAAAATTTATGCGTAGCTGGATTCTGAATAGGCTATACAAGAAATTCCTATGATGATAAAGTAAAAATGGAATTTAAAGAGGTATTGTAAGAAATCCGCCTCGTTTATGCAGATGTGTTTATGGCCCACACTGTTGTGAAAATTGAGGACGCATAAACTTGAAGACTTAAATAAGGAGCCGAAGTAGAAATCCAAGCACGGATTAGCGACAGAATGCGTAACCAGAAACTGCGGTGTAAGATACCGGATAACGTGCTCCTTGACTTTTCCAAATTTGTCTATCTCTAGTAGAGATATATTGTGCTTATCTATCACTGGATTGCCATTTGAATCTAGTAAAATTTTAAAATAACTTTAAACGCCAGTCCTTAATTGCTACTCATGATTTATGCACTATTTATCGAGAAAGTTTTCAAAATAGAGTCTTCCTTTAACATAACTCGTAAGTGTCTATCAAAGCACTGATTAAATAAGCTATTGAGTGAAACGAATGCACGGTATTAAACAATTTTTAGGAGAGTTCCAAAAGTGATTTAAAAAACTCCCCCAAGGGAGATGACAGCAAGCCTGTGACAAATATTCGTAACCTCTAACTTGAGAAAAACTTATTAAATAGAATGTCAATATCGCATTCAAAATAACAAAGGCGAGAAGAAACCGGTTCATGTTTGGAGAAATCTGAAGGTACATACATTGCATAATATTGGAAGGTGTATTCGAAGGTTGACGTCAAATCAAATGCCCAAGGAACCACGGCTTCCAAATGATTGACGAATATCAAGTCAGTTAAAAGTCAGTGCTATGCGTAGATTTTCCTCCAAATTATAAAGTGGCCAATTTTCCATTTCCAATATTGCAGCAGTTAAGATTAATAGAAGTAACCTAAGAACCATGGCAAGCTTTTGTTAAATGATCTTTTGACAAAATACAAGCACAAGCATTAAATTGCTCCCATACAAAAAATGACAAAGGATATAAAATTCTGATGAGCAGTGCATCAAAAGCCTACCGATGCGCTGTATCGCAGTATGTACAGAGTCCGTGTTCTGAGCAGGAGTCTACGTTGCACCCAGCAACACAAGGAACACAGATATTTCCTTTTAGGAAGCTACCTGAAATAAGGAAGACCAAAGCTGCAGTTTCTCATTGTAATAGAGAAAAAGCATGGAAGATATGAGGGTGAAAGCGGTAAGACACAACAGATTTGACGTTGCATGGACAATGCTTTATTTTCAGGGACTAATCGCGTTACTAATTACTTCAGACCACCTTAACCACATCCAAAGGCTAAAAACGGTAATAGTTTTGTGAACATGTGGAATTTTTCGTTCCAACTGCTTTGACATTCTCGCGAACCGATAGTAGGAATAGGTTTAAAAACAGAAAGCCATGTCACCTCAAACTGCGACTTCCGTTGTTCTGCAGTCGTCCCATTTGTTTGTGCAAATAAAGGGCGTGTTTCATTTCGTAGATGACCGGTCATAAACAATGCACGACATATTACCCAAAATAATGCTTAAATGTCATTTATTTTTTTACTAAAATGTCACCCAAAATGGGGAAATGAATCATTGTCTCTGTATAGGTAGAGCAGTGAACTGAATCTACATTTTAGAATATTTTATAAAAACTAAATAAGTCATTTGCAATGATATTTGCCTAATGTCATTTACATACCAACATAAACTACTATCACCTAACGCTTCTTAACTTGAAATATTTACTTTAATTTTTTAAGAAAATAACCGGAGTTCACTTGCTTATATCGATAGGCATGCGAATTTATGGCTATGAAACAGTTTCCCCTGAAAATAAAAATTATAAAGCAGTTGCCGCCCAGGCATTTATGATGTGGGTGGTTTACCACAGTTAGAAAGTGGGTCTTACTTGTTTGTTATTCCATGCTAATTTATTTGAATCGATGACTGGAAGTAAAAACTAGCCAAATGCGCGGTCTTCAAACTCTGACTATAAATCGAATAATAATAGGTAATAATGGTTCGTTAATGTGGACGGATTTAAACGAAAGCAGAAAGTGTGCGGAAAATTTGGATGACATTTTTTTGCTAAGATGAATAAATTGTAATGCTGTCAAAAAATATAATTTAAAGATTCTGCGGGTTCCAGTGCAAAAAAGTAGTAACGGGGAGAGCGTGAGCACTGTTCTCAAAACTGCAGACCCAGGTTACAATGGTCGAAGCAAAGCCATTAAGCCAAGGTCCGTCTAAAAGCGATACCTACTTCAAAACCAAAGCAAAGTGATTTTCTATATTAGACAAAAAACTGCACAGTAAACGAATTTTTTGTTGGTGTCTTGTGTCGTATACGAATACTAAAAAGAATCAGAAAAAACATCGTCTCTCAAATATAAGACTCATGTAGGCGGTTGAAAAGGGAGACACCGAAGTATCTCAAATTCGTGTCTTACGCGAACTCATGCCACTACCAAAAGTAGCGCAGATTAAGAGGCTCCTCGTATAACCACTCATGGTGGGAAGCAGACGCGGGAAATTATTACTGCACAATAGGATGATTCTGTTTTAGAGCAGCAACACACCAGGAAGCAGTGAAAATATGTTGATCGAGTCACACCACTTTGGAGCGTGGACCGATATTAAGACACGATGTAGGCAATGAGCTCTGACAACTGGAGGCTGTAGAAAGAACGATGACAAAGTGTACCACAAATTCCACTAAAAAACCATTAACACTATTGAAACCGTACCGAAGCATCTGAGTTAATAAATTGAAAGTCAAGCATTTATACGCTTTGCGTAATATGTAACGAAAATGGAGAAAACCAGTTAAAAAAGTGGATAGTTTGTCGAGAAAAAACTCTAAAATAAATAGTAAAATAACATAACCCTACTTTTGTTTACTACGTATTTTTTCGCAAAGTATTCGATCTAAGTACTTTTGTGTAGTCGTGGCATCCTGATTTTCAAACAAAAAGTCACAACGGCTCATTTCTACCTAATGAGAAGTTATTTTGCGAAACAAATCAGCAGTTTTTCTGGAGTATCCTTTTTTACTGAGGCTGGACAGCGTAACTTAAATTGGGACTTTCGCCAGATGTGGCTAAACTTAACCAAAGGACCATAATTTTAAGGCATTCTTTGGAATGCAAATTTAGTGTCTTTACACAAAATGAACCCCTCTATTGACCCTGCTATCTGGTGTTTCAAGCTTTAGTACCAAATCGCTTAGATACGTAAATATAATGGGGATATGTGCACAGATGTTGTTGAAGTGATGAGTTTCCCATTCTTGAAAGCATGGTTAGTAAAATCCACAAAAGTACTACACTCCGTTCCCAAAAATGTATTACCTTTCACTATTTCCTTACATGATAAATTCTCAATGTCTATGCCGAGCCATGGAGTGATAGGATTTGAAGCCAGATAGCCATAAATATTTCATAATTATGGAAAGTGATTTAATATTTTATTTGACTTAGTGCATAACTACAAGGCCAGTTTAGTCTTCAAAGAGTATGCTTCCATGGCGTGGCCTTCAAATCGTGCCAATAACCTTCAACCCTCCCTGTATTTTAGTAATATATGTTCTTCTACATTGCTTTGACATATTTCGACTTCAGGGAAGACCCTGAGCACTACATATGCACGGCACTCAATGGAGTTTTAAAATAACTGATTTCGTTGAATAAATCCTTCTCTCGATATAAAATATGTGAAAGTAAAAATTTGCACCCGCTTGTACTGTAATATTAGTCAAAACTCGAAGTTTGTGCGCATTAATTCCGATTTATAAAACACGCTGTTGTGACCCGGAGTCTTGTAGTAAAATGTACTCTTCCTGGGCCGCATTGCTTAATTTGTCACAACACAGTGATTGGTTGAAAACACTGAAGAAATACGGTGTAAAAATTGTCGTCTTGCTGACCAATCTAGGTTCACATGCAATCCCCTAGATTCTCAAGCCCCTCACTAATTATGGGTTGGCTCACCTTTGGGACACCGATGCGGTCCCGCGGTGTCAACACGGTAATTTTTGGCGCACTCCTGACAGGCATCTGCTCCCAGTCCAGAGTACTTCTTGCAGTTTCCTACACATCTGCAAAGGAACGATTTGTTTTAAAACAAATTGGAGAAGACCATTTAAAACGATCGTCGCAACTAAGGACCGAAGCTGGTCTTTATTTTCAATCTGATCACATCAGATTGGGCACCGTCAAAATTCCCCTATAAACACCTATTTCACCCACCTCAAGTAGTTCTCCCCATCCCACAATAGCCAACTTCTACGAGCGTTCTTCCAATTATTACAAAATGCTTCGAAGCATTTGCAGTCATTTGTCTCCATAACAGTGCCGAAATTAAATCAGCATCCATGACCAAATCTAGTTTAATTATACATTTGCGCATCAGATTTTATGAAAAAACCTTCACAAACTTATCCGTATTTTGGTATTGAAGCATTCGGGATGAATTAGTTTAAACATTATGGGTACGAGTTAACACCGCAGAATTTCCCCATCATGGCTTAAATTATTCAAGTATTCTTTTCAATAACTCAGATACTTAAAATGAAGTAGTGACACATCCTACCAAAAAAATTGAGGGAAATCACAGTAAGACCTCATGAAAAAGGGTGAATCTATTTATTGACAAAAATTCATAGCAATATGGGAATTGTCAGTAGATGTTAGTAAAATTATCAACCTTAAATTAAATAACAAGAGCATCAGCTTGCACGACCAAAGGTTAAATGATTTATCTAAGCTAGCTTTTAATTACAGCAGTAAAATAAAATTCGCCAGAGGTCGTGGAGGCTTTGGGAGAGCGGCTGCAGAGGACCTTTTAAATTTTTGGAAGTTCAATGTAGCAGGAGTGGAATGAGGCGATATGGACAAATGAAATATGGTGAACATTTTTGAACACGGCATGTAATTAAACCCTTCTAGGTGCTCCTAACTCCAACAGGAGAACTATAACATTCCTTAATCAGCAACAAATGTGAAATGCAGAAAAATGGAATGAACTACAGATAGGAGGACGACTTCGTTTGCTTAGAAGCGGAAATGTTTAAGCGCTTAACCGAAACCGCTACGCCTGGACGCCTTCTGTTTGTGTTAACCAATAGCTGATTAAACGTTTCTAAGATTAAAAGCGACTTAATCCTAATAAGAGAAATCCAAAAGAACAGTTGAGTGCTTTCAAAAGAATAAAAATAACATAAATGACGACTGCGCAACAAAGTGGAAATTTCCGTTCTCCATGCAACAACTTTTCGAGCTGTAAGATCTGACTCCTCAATTCATTTATTGTCAGCTCAATTTCGGATTTATTTCAGCGAAATTTCAAACCATAAATGTTTAAATAAATAGCTTAACATAAGAATACTAGGTAGAGGTGACCCCATAACTGTTTCAGTACGCATGATCTATACTTTAAGTGACAAAAGTCCATCATGCCTGTTAGTTAAGTGCTTACTTGAGAAACATAAAGCTCTTAAGATAAACACGTCAAGTTTTAATAAATCTACACTTGAGAGTAAGTTGCGTTGACACAACTAGGATGACAAGTTAGGAATTTCGCTTGAAACTCAGCGCTTTGAATGAGATGCAAACCCTCCTAACAAGAATGGGAAAAGCAGAAGCAAATAAGTCGGATCGACTTTTGGGCTCGCTTTCTTCCAAAAACTAAATGACTCCACCTTAAGTACCAAGATAATAGGACGAAGTGGCAATAAGTAGTTGATGCACAACGGTTTGATAAAAAAGTTTGTGAAACATATGGTTCAGGCCCCGGACGAATACGCCGGTAGATAGAAAATAAAGGTTTTGGGATACATAGTCTACAGGGGTACTATCAGGACAGTAATGTTTAATATAAAACATGCGTTTTTTTTGCATATTTTCGATAGAAACCTAAGTAACACGACAAAGAGTGACTTACTGTTCACAAACTTTGCTCGTTTCATTAGCAAAGTAGCCAATGGGGCAACGAGAGACGCAGGAGCCGACAAGCAGTCGGTTACCATGGACAGCGGTGATAGAGTCGAGAAGACGAGCGATTCGGGGATTTAGAGGGACCTGAGCCTTAGTAGGGCTAAGAAAAGGGGCCAGGTAGGAGTCGCCTGAGCAGGCAGTGCAGCTGTGTGCGGAGTAGGGCCGCAGGCACTCCGCACACGCCGAGAAGCAGCGCTCACAGCGCAGCTCGCCTCTCGCCACCGCAGTCGAAGAGGACTGGGCGCGGAGATCACTCACTATTGCGCTTATCAACGCCGTCGTGCCCATCGGACATTCTGACACACATTGCCTGATATAAAAGAGAAACAACCAGACAATATTTGTGGTGAAATTATTTGCCCCAACTACACACTGCTAGCTCCCATCATGGCTATACGATCACCAATGTCGCACAAACATTTAAAGTGATGAATGCAATATGCTGACACTCAATGGAAAATAGAAGGAACGCGATTGTTGCAAAATTGGATGGTATTTACAAATTTTTTTTGCCATTTACCATTTCTGTTTGTGGATAGGCGCTTACTTTATGTTTAATTAATTTTCGCTTCGGCTAAAATGTAAACAATCGAGCATTCACCATGTCAAATCACTTGGTGATTATGTTTCATTCAGAAATGCAAGTTTTCGAGTACACCAAGATAAATAAGTGAGACATGGAATCATGGCCTGGCAGCTCATCCACTTCAAATGTCAAATATGACAATGGGTATCTCAGACCAAAGAACATCAAATAAAATGTTGCAAGATAAAATGGGCCTAGCCAAGTTGGCACGTGACGAACTGGGCTTTTGACGTACTGCTTCTCAAGTCATTATAAAAAAACCGAATTGTTTTCACAATTCAGAGAGTTTTAAAGAGGCAAAGATGCTTTCTGAATTCAAATTCTTTTTAAGCTTATCATTTGCTATGATGATGCCCGATTTTGATAAAAAATGAGTTTGCATTCAGATGGCTGGCTCGTGACGATCAAAACCCGCAAATTTATATTAAAGTTGGTGAAAGTAGGTTGGGTCATTCCCTTCAATTGCTGCGATAAAGTGCATCACGAGATGCAGTCGACTAGTCCAAAAAGTCAGTAAAGCAGGATATACATGTACATAAAGGTATGAAGAAGGTTTTGGGTCACATCACTTACTATTTTGTTTGCAAATTTCCAATAGAAGCTTGAACAAAACGTAAAATAATTAAACAATAATCATATATATGTTTAGGTATGTCGTTCGTAGCATCCGATTCGCATGAAATGGATAATGCTAACTCAATGCTCCGACTTGGGCGCGCTTTGTGGTTCTTGCAATCTGGACTACTAAATGTGTGGTAATTCTTACTCTTGGTTCTCTGCACAAAATGTACATTCCCTTTTACCACAAGCAGTTCAAAAGTTCTGAAGAAGGTTTCACTCATCTTTTGCGAAACAGGGGCAAAGTATATCGCGAAATTTTATCTTAATTTCATACACTCTGGCCATGGGAAAAAGCTTCATTTCTACACTAAACGTGATGAGATTTTATAGGCGTCCATCTTCACTTCCTTCAAATTTAAGCGAGATGTCTAGGAAATCCTGAGAAACACTAATCAGCATTATCATTATTGAGCCACCAAAGCCACTGGACAGTGCTTTCAACCATGGTTTACAAAATCATCGCTTCCGTTCTTATGTTCGTTTTGATAATTAACTAGAAAATGATGTCAAAAATATGCACCATAGTTTGTGTTTTGGAGAAATTCTGCCGCGTAAAAATTTTGGTATAACAAAAGGAGTATTTGAAAAGATAAGAATTACGCTTTAAAACAATAAAAAGTTTCATGCAGAGGTAACGTTTTATATTTCTGAATAGCATGCTTAAATGCGCGACTGATAGTTTTCGACCTTTAGGGAACAAATTCCGAAGTACTATGGCAAAAACTTTTTCCTCACTACAAATTCAGGATTTCGTTGATAAAGCAGCTACTAGACAGTAACTACTGCAGAATTTTTAGAGAAAACGATGGAGGTCGGAACTTTCTCCTCCTGTTAAAAAAAGGTAAGTCCAGGTGTGATCACATTTTAAAAAACCATTCAGCAAACGTACCAAAAAAGCGAAGCGTTAAATGAGGGATTCCAGCAACAATATTATAAACACAATTAAAACCACCAAACGGTTAGCATTGAATTTCTCAACTTGTTTACAATATTGCCAAGATACTGCAGCACTTCAGTGGATACACGAATAAATGCACACAAAGGATATCAAATGAAAAGATCTTTAGCCACAGAAATTGTCTAAAATCAAACAACGACTAGAAATGAGTACTACTCTACAAATGAATTTCTTACAATTGCATGATGAATAAAATTGTATAGAAAAGTTATCTTTTTATGTTCAATGAGTGTGCATCAAAAAGCTCAAAAAATAACTTTGCAAAGCGAGCAGAAGCTTTCAACAACATGTCATCAATCTATTTATCAGTGAGTAATATACATTACTTTATGCGGATAAATTTAGGAGCTAACCCGCTTTCAGTGACGAAGTTTTTGCAGCCCTTCAAACACTGGTTTGCAGAAGGACCCCAGCACTCATTTGTGGCGCATTGGCTGTGACACTAAAGAGGAGATACGCAAGAGCAACGAAAAAATGTACTCTTAAAAAAGCGCACTCAGTTTCAAAAAATTACAAAAACGGAACGTTATTCTGAGCATGCATTGAGCATAATTCGTAGCAAAATTCTAAAGGGAATACGATAAATTTTAAACTTCAAAATTTGAGACTGGTACACTTTAAAATATTCACTGCTTCATAATGACTCTCAGCCACAACGGAAGCACTTCCGGCGTGTTCCAGAACCACTAGCTGGAAAAATGCGGTGGCCGCAGTGGTTGACCTGTATCCAGCCTTAAATGGGTTGTATGGTCTTAATTAAATGACTGGAGAGCAGAGCAAGCCAGTATATATCTAGGCAATGAAGGAATTCGGTTTGTAAGAAAATTAACTGAGTTTTCGAAAGTAGTGGCCTTCATTAGGTACACCGTTTCCCATGTACTTCATTCTTTTTGTAAACAGGCCTTTAATTCAGGGCTGCACTGAGGATAACATATGATGGGACGAAACAGAAATCGCATGAAAAATAGCCACATTGAAAGTGCAAAAGTGCCTTCTTTTACCATACCGAATATAATGTATGATAATAAACAGGATAAAAATCGAGCAGTCTTAAACATGCTGATGGCGAATTGACAAAGTGAAAATAAGAATTAAATTTGCTATTAAAATGTTTTGGGTTTAGTTCATCGTATATGAAAGACAATTAGGAAAATCGTATATACGCACTGCTTATGGTAAACATATTTGTAAATATACATAACAGAACGGGGCCGAGAGATTCCTAATGGAAGGGACACGTTCATTAACCATTCATAAACAAGTAACAAGTAAATACCGTATATCCGGTAGGCGACATCTCGTCGTCAGAAACAACATACTGAGCGAATCGGTCAAACCATGGCTAAATATAAAAAATAGACTGATCGGTTAGTGTATATTCCACGCTACTTTGTAGTAGTTGCATCTTCATCTACAAAATTAACTAGGACTCAGTTATTACATGAGACAATTGAAGGTCGTGCTTATACTAACTCCTAATTTAAGGGTATGATATCCAGTATATTAATTTCATGCAAGATCCGCACCTCAACATAAAATGTGTACCGAGAGACATTTCAATGTGACCTGGTATCATCCCACAAAGTACATGCAAGCGCCTACGACATTTGTGCTAGTAAAGTTGTTGTTTTGCACCACAATTCCTTGGCACAAGGCAAAGTTATTTAGCCACTTTGCGAACAAAAGTTCCTGAAAATTATAAATAAGTGCAGTGGTTCTTTCATTCCGAGAATTTACTTTGGTTCTGAAGCCCATAGTTCCCTTTCCTAAGCTGCTAGAAGGACGTCTTGCAAGTAACTAGTGAGTTGAGGTTTCACTGCAGAATTTCTAACTTTACAATTCATATTTCAAATTACCAGACCAAGACTCCACATATAAGTAAACAGGAATTGCGCCCAGTTAACACAATGAATTTCGCTTACATAATAACGAATAACCACTAACCAAGCAATGTACTTATTCCAAAATCATAAGAACAGACTCATGAAAAAGGATGACGCATTATTCAAAAAAACGTAAATCTGTATTCTCACGTGTTTGCACAAATTTATCAACTTCCAACTCATATGAAATTGAAGCTCCTTCTTACTTAAATTTCAAGAAAAAAGCGTCCATAATAAAACACGAACCTTGGGGGGTTGCCTTTCTTTGCTGGGAGGTTTAAGTCGAATCGGAAATGATTCTGTCCCATAGGCAACCATGTGAACAGAGTCCCACTGGCCAGCTGATTTTTCGAAGGCCTCTTGCTGTTTCTTCCACGAGGATAATAGTTTGAACCCCTCCATATTGTCGATAATTATCTTCCATTCGCCTGCGGAGGGCTCCCCCCAGAACTGAACGCTCATCAAAGGCCAACGGTCAATTCCGTCAAATTTGGAAAATGCGTCAAACAGTCGAACAGGCATCAATTCTGATACAGTACCTAAAGTAGGAATAAATTAAATTAATGAGAGCACTGTGATAGGTGCATAAATTACGTTATAGATTACATTCAATGGACTGATTAGTTTTGAATTGATTACTTTCGACCACAGAACTCCTTTCTCGACTTCAAACAATTTGTAGACAAAGTGAGTGCAGCCTCAAAAACTGCCACAAGTGAGAACATCTGCAAAGGCTTCGCCTCCACCTCAATTTCTAATTTGAAATAAGGTGATTTTGGAAAAAAATTTGCACCCCACAGTGGAATGAATGTCAATTGGAGCCTTGGTTAATTTTTGGACGAAAGTTATTTACAAAAAGCTAGAATTGACACCCTAGATTCGAGTAATCAAATGGGCCACTGTAAAGTGCTGTCGCGTGTGCGATGCGAAGACAACAAAGATACCCGACATCGCGACAAACCTCGGTCTCCATTTTCTAGGTTCAATAACAATGGAATTTCTAAATAAAGCAACTGTCTGGTGAAAAATGGGTGGACACTCCTTCACAAGCGCAGTTATGGATGAAAAATTTTTGTCATAAAATTCGACAATATATTGCTAACTAAAATAAAGCCGTGTTCGATTGACGGCAAAAGGGATACCTATCACGAATCCCCCCTTAAATGACTTATTGCCCTGAATTTTAAAGTTTTTTATACCATCGTATATTTGCGAGTCGTATTGTATGTTCTCACTTAAATATTACATATTCGGTATAAAATCCAATATTTGTGGGAACATGAGGAATAGCGTCCGAGCCTAAACAAATGTAGACCCAAATAAAATTCTAACAGATGGAATCCCGGTATGTCTCGTTCACTTTTCTTAAATGATGCGACAGATTGTATCGTTACATTTGCAAAGCTCACCGTCAACATCCCTAGTGGAAAAACCCAACCACCTATTCGTTGTCATTGTAGAGGAGAGAAAATCGAAATGAAACTGGCGAACAGTGGCCAGCGATTGCCATAAGCGATTAGCTAGAATAAAAAACCTCCCTATTTAGAAAAGGCAGAAGGATCCATCTGACCATGCGGCGCACACCATAGGGCGTCCCGTAGCGTGTTTGTGACGATTGACGCCAAACTGTTGATTGATTGGGGACCCTTTTTTTCTCATCCAGTTGTTAACACAGGCTAGAACGGATTTGGGTTGGGTGTCATCTCAAGGAAGCCCTAATTGAGAATCCATGGTTTGTAACCTAGTACCTCTGAGCGGTCCATAATCCTATTTCTGATAACAGTGCTGGTACAATGAAATTCATAAGCTGAATAACGCCGGACAAAAATACTCCAATTTTTTTAAAAAAAGACTCCAAAGGTACGACCCAGATGCTATAAAAGAATGTGGAATAGGTACCTTGGGATAAACAGCTGTGTAATCACCGTTAAAACACAATATATTGGTTTCACTCAAAATATGGAATGGATCTCTTGGTCAAGAAAAGATCGCTACCATAGGATTGAGGTCCTTGAACTGCGCTAGAAAGGGGTAATGGCCTCGATCACATTTACCACGATGCCGTTAAAACGATTCCATTTGACCAAAACCTTCAGTCGATAGGCGCTGTTTTGGAGACGTTAATATTTTATAAAAGACAGACGTGAGCAGCAGAAAGTAAACTTCCATGGTCTAGGGTGTAGAGGTAGAAGTAAAGTGGAATGCACCAATAGAAATTAGTGGCTTTGATAGCAGCATCAGTGAAATCAAGGTCAAATGGCTTCATAAAAATGTCTACAGGATCGCAAATATCACGAAATGACCTACTAAGCACAAATCAGTGACTATTTAATGAAAAAATGATGGATAAGCTAGTAAACTCTTCCTAGCAGATAACAAAACAACACCTCAGTACAACATTAATTGGCTAAGTCACTTTGTATAGACTTATGAATTATTTCCTTTAAGAAATTGGAAAAAATATCGCTCTTGCTCTTATTATTACTGCGTATAAGTCTTGACCTCGGCGAAATGCTTAGGCAGAGTGGGTTTGCCTACTCATCGAAATTCACCACGAAGAGGAGTTCAAGTTTGAAAGCCACAGTTCTGGTGAATTAAAAACGCTTAACAATAGCATCAGAGAACTGCGCAAATTAAACGAGATCATATTAATACCGCCTACAAATCCTTTCATGCAAAGAAGTCGTTTGAGTCATTATCTCTCTCGGGTTTCAAAAGGGATGAAACACATCAGATCTCCAAGTGTGTTTTTCACGATATTTACCCAGAAAAACAAGCCTCGAGATAGCTATTGTAAAATTAAAAACAGCTTGAAAGCTAGGATTAGGATTGTTTGAAGGGGTAGGATTAAACTAATTTAATAATGCATTATTTTCTAATGAATTCTATGAAGTGAATAACTGAAGTGCATTGGACTGTAATTACTTGTACAATAACTTGTCGTACATATAGAATCCTCTTAACCACAACTCAAATGCGAGCATTACATATGCATCGGTTAAACGAAATTAAGTGCTCCAGTAGCAAAGGATATTTCACCGGTCCCATAAAAAGCCGGGAAATTTTCCTGTCGAATGCTGTATTTAAGATACCCCGCCATACCTCAAGTTTTCAAATCCATAAAAAGGAGGCATTTGAGTGTGTGATTAAATTGAAGGCATTTCCATTTTAACTGACATCGACTCAATTGTCTCTGAGACTATTTTCATAAATCTTCGACTGGCATGATTACGTAAACACGATTTTAAAATAATTTTCTGTGGTCATATATCAAGTTAATGGCAAGATAATGCAAAACCTCTATCAATTTGGTGCATTTTCAGTCGCAAAAGCTGAATTACTGACTATGCCTGAGAGCAATGGAAAACGAGGCACAAAATTAACTCTATCATCATATAGAAACCGGAATGTTTGCCAAAAAATAATCTCTTTGAGGTGGTAAACTTGCGCTTAAACACGTATGAATACACAACCAGTTCGATTTATAGGCACCTTATCGGTGTTTCCATGCCTCACATTTCGAGTACCAGCACTATTTTCAGAAGACACTGGATGAGGTCAAAAGTTGGAGGACATTTTTGGCGCTTGAGAAGTAACACACAGGCAAAGTAGACAACCATTAACAATACGAAGAGCTTCTAAAATGAAGTGCTCCTGATTAATTACAGGAAGGAAGGCAAGGGATGCTTGCAAAAGACAATGAAGACAGTTAGCATGAAACTCATAGGCGTATCTACAAAGCGAAAAGCCTTATATACTAGTGCTTATCCATTGAAGATATGACGATCGAAATATTTTTCTCCTGAGAATAAAAATAGACCTCAGCATTGAAAGTGATAGGCATTGAGATTTTTGGAGGTAGATGTCGTTGTGCGAAGAGAAGGTGAAGATCGTCTCGGGAATGCTGACAATCAACGCTTTAGTTACTCCCCATGGACATCATCATGTCGGCTCTACTATCGATACTGAATAGGACTAATGCATGCATAAAAACAAACAGGAGACTCTCAATATCCAAAAAAGCAGCATTTAGACTAGGAGGCAACACAAATTATGTAATTGCTCGTAAATGGTTTCTCATTTGGATAGGAAAAAGGGTGAATCTCCCACATGGAATCTGTAGATTATAAAAAATATTCCAAACGCATATTCCCGAAAAGATTGCAAAATGGAGGCATGAAGGTATTTAAATTTATGACTGCAATTCCAACCAAATAGTCATTTATCGTGAGATTCCAACAAATTAATGGTAAACGTATTCGAAAAGAAAACCCGTGACCAATTCCGTATCAAACAAACAAGACCTAAAATACAAATTTGAGGATTTGAAATTAAATAAGTTGAAACAGTATATTGACCCACCGTTTATATTTAGCATGGCTCTACCCAAATATCCATAAATTTTTAATTTTCTTCAATTGTTCTTAAATGTCATTTCGTCTAAAAGCGACGCATACGCAAAATCTAGAGTTTTATGAAAAATACACAAAGATTTATATTCGAGCGTTGAAAGTAAGTTGAAGTCAAAAATGCGTAAAAGGGAGGTGCGAGCAAACCCAAATGAATACCGAAATCTATTGAGGGGAAGGCAGTCACAATGAACTCTGAACGCACAATCCAAAATGAACATAGCTTGGGCACTTTTTTACAAATCGAACATTCTGAGGCAAATTTTTCATCATTTAGCCATTACCTGACACATTCAGGAAACCATACTTTATATGAGGAAGCAGTAAATGTTCGAAAATAAGTGTGGAGCCTATGGCATAAATATACACAAGTTAAAATTTGGTTAAACATTATACCGATAGAAGATTGTCAAGTCAAGGGCATGATCAAAATAAATTATTTTTAAAAACACGAAAAACCAACAAAATTATGTGTTCATTTGCGATTTTTCTGATAAATTGACTGAACTGAAGTTGCGCTGTCGGGACAACCACGTTCATTGTGGTAAAGCACTACTCACTCGTCTAATTCATTTGGTACCACGAAAAAGTGTGTAATTTTTACGCTATCAAAACCATAGATTTAACTTTAAGCAAAGTCGGTCACCAATACCCTAATTAAAGTTCTAGTTGCTTCGGTAATTAATACTACACTTATGGATCAGACATGCACTACAGGATAGAAAAAAGTGAATGGTGTCCACATAGTCTCGTCAAAGCAATTGGCGAGCCCGCGCGGAGATTTATGGTGAATTAATCGGGGAACACCAAGTTTCAACTACTGAATAATTTATAGATCACTGCAACAGGCTCTAGTCAGCATGCAATGCGCCGCTGCTAGTGTCACACAACTTCAGTACAATTTCTCCTTTTGAGCCAATACTTGACAGTCCACACGATTTAGCGAAGGAGTTTAACAGCTCAGACGGAAAGGCATGTAATTGAATAGGCCGACGCTACCACCACCACCACCACACTGCAGCCGATGGATTGTAGTATGTTAAACTCCTCAGATATGATAGTCATCATTAGGAAAAGTGTCCTCATTGCACAGCGTGGTGATAGCATATTTGCAGTACAATGCTAATGCTCAAAATCGAATGAGAATAAGTGCTGGTAAGGTTTCAGCCAAATTGTCCTAGAGTTGCAGCACCACGTTCACACCGAAGCAAGGCATTAACAAAAATGTCGGAATAAAAATCATACTTCTAATTCAAAAGTTGGAGAAAAAAATAAAATGAATAAATCATTTGTACGATTCCGATTGACCCAAAGCGGACTAAGAAATCTATGAACGTAAATCTATGGCGTTATCAGGGCAAGTAATCTGACCCCGAAAACGCATTTAAATACTGTAGTAATGTAATATCAATATGGTGGAAAATTAGCGCCTTCCTGTCATCCAAGTATATATTTGGTGGTAAGTGAGCTCTTCACGAAAAATCCGGAAGCATTAGTGAATAAAACACTAGTTTTACAAAGCCAAAGCAACGACAAGGCCTTCGTGAGCATTCAGAACTAGTCCTGTTTAAGCACTTAATACGGCCGTTATCAACTGGAACTTACCCGAGTGCCTCAGCAGACAATACCCCTTTCACAGACCTTATTAGGGGGACAAAAGCAAATTAAAACAATGGATCCTTTAACGAACCTTGAAAAATACATACTTGTCTTCTAAACACTACATTAAGCATTTCACTTACACACTTTTTGGAATAACTGCCACCTTGATTTTATGATCACACCTCTGATTCCCAAGGGATCTGTATATGCAGAGGCTACTCCTTTAAAAAAGGATTGACCAAGTCGATAGTCAATAAGAGGATATGAAAGGCGTGGAGTAGGACAGTGTGTTTACATAAATCGCAAGCATTAGATTTGTTTAAAAATGTGAAATCATTTCGCACAGACAAAAGGGAAACTACAAGTGTACAAGTAAAACGGAATTTAGGAGAGTGCAAGACTACTTGGAAACAGGGAGAAGTCGCCTTTAATAAAAATGATAAATTAAACGAACCGGAGGGTGAAACCACGCGCACACGAACGAGACCACGATGGTCGTAGCGGACGGTCATGAAGACTTGAATGTGTTCCACAAAGGCGATTGGTTCGCCCTCCTCGTTGATTCTTCCATTGGAACTGTCAGCAGCCAAGAAGGGTCGGCAGCCGGTGAAATTGAAGGTATACGTCTCCGAGAATAAAACTGACAGATCCCTGGCAGAAAGTAAACGAATCCTGCTCTAAGTAACCTGAACATCTATTTTCAGGTGGGAAATTTAGAGTGCCAAGCATATTTGTTTTGTGGCATAAGTCCGGAAAGATTTCCAAAAGCGTAGGCATCAATTGAGATATTTAGACTACTAAAATCAGCAGTCCGTGAGGGATCAGCCATAAAATCAACAGTTTTCAAAAACTTACAGCGAAATAAGTTCATATAAGGTCACTTTAGATGTAAGTAGGGAAACCATTTAACGTCAGTGTAGGCTTGAACATTTTAAACAAGGTGAGGGAACAGAGTCTGCAACACCTGAACCCAAATGTATAAACGAAAAAATGGGAAAATTAGAAGGCTGCAACTTTTCAGGACGGGCAGGAAAGAGCTGGATTCACCTTCAACCAAAGCTACTGCTTATTCGGGTTGTAATTAAACGGATGAGCATTCTATACCCCCATGTCATTCAGTAATCGAAAGGCAGATACAATCATGGAAGAAGGGCAGGAATGAACGGAAGGAGGGAGGAATCACCTGGATAGCTGCTTCACGTTTGTGGTGCAGCGGTGATGTGGCGGGAGTGTTCGCCAGAGTTCACTCAATCGCACAGCTTTCCCTGCGTCCATTAAACCAAATCCATAATAATTGCTGTCTGAAAAAGGGAAAAGCAGAGGTCTGCGCTACAAAATGTATATTATCATAAAATTACTCAATATATTCTTTGATAACCAGAAATGAAAATAGACACTACATTATACCATTTTGGTAAACCCAGAGTCCATTTGCATATATATTTGTTAAACACGGGTCCGAACAAGGGACGTTATTATTAAGCCGAATGTTTGACAAATTTATATTCGATACCAGAGGCCTTAACTGGTGATGTGATGGAAATCGCCATGAGTGCACGTAAGAATAAGGCGCGGTCGCCATTTGAACTTCAAACGAAGCCAACCGGATTAGAATGAAGACGTTGTTTGGGCTGTGGGATTTTGCAGACCCCGTAGTGATACAAAGAATTGCATCACAAATTTGGCCTTCTCTTGCCACCTAAACACCAAGGTGGATGACTGACCCAGAAAGTGGAAACGTGTATCCAGACGTGCGTCAGCAGTCACTAAACCTAGCCTTGGGGTGCTAGAAACTGGATGCATGCACGCCAAACAAGAAAGTGTGAACGAATTTCAGCCACATCTCTCTCTCTGAGCGCGAAAATGGGCACTGCTTACGTGGGTGGTATGGGCTTACTGCTTAGTGAAATGTCTACGAACGCAAAAGCGGCAAATCAAGCGTTCAACCATTATTTGATGCATAGCATTTTTAAAACCATCTTTAACTAAGAGATGAAAGGTTGACTGGGACGGTAATTACCCATTCCCCCAAAAACAATATGCCACAATTAGTTGTTATTGGCTGTCTACTGGATTTAGTTGCCGCTTTTTAAGGTGATGTTATTCATGCCCTGCAATAGAACTACGTCGAAATAAAAGCAAGCTTAAAGGGAAAACGCACCATTAAAACCGTAACTGTGTATTTAACATTAAGAGATAATCCCAGAAAAGTATTTATTGAGAAAGCGGATGGTTACACAGATCGTCTACTTCGACAACAACAGGCAAGGTGTCAAGTGGCGTGACCCTGCTTAGAATGCACAAACCGAAATAAAATTAGCTTAGAATCACTTTTCATTTTCCCACATTAAACAAGGATTAGTGCCATTAGATACAGCAGCAGGAAATTTCATTCATATGAATAAAATTACAAGAAACCTGTATGAACTTGTTACTACAAAAAAATACAATCTGGTTTAAAGTGCATAAAGTCACAAGTAGGTAATAAATAGGGATGTTTGACCTTTCAAAGTAACGGGTGCGTGTGCCGTTGGTAGACCTGTGATGCTAGGCTGAGTCGACATTATCGAATGTAGTTTCTTAAGTACATAATATTGAGGCGGGAAAATGTGTGCAGAAGGGCGAAATAATAGCGCATAACGTAAGCGCTCCAAAAAGAAGGAAAGGGATTTGGCTAAAATGATTGTTTATTTAGAACGCAACCTTTTACTGTTCATTCGAAAGAGACTCAACGCAAGTGGCATTCCTTTAAAAGTGGCAAGTAAACCATCGCTAAAATAATATAGTTTCTGGGTTTTTAATAGTGTGGATTTTCAGCAAAAAAGAAACACCTTAAGAATAACAGTCCGAATAACCATGCTCATAAGCCAAAATTCCCATCGTCTTTCTACCATCGGTTAAATATGATAAATTAGGTTTGAGCACTAAAACTGTTTCAATATGGTACATCTACAGATGTGCATAAACCTCAGTAAAAAAAAGCTACTTCTTAAAAATTCGAGCTAGGGACTAAGGCATACACCTAGTGTCGTTGGGTGGATTCATTTGCACAGTGTGAAGGAGTGTTTAGCAAGAACTTCAAAATACTGACAAACAGCAATATGCTTGAAACACCCAGCTAAAACTTTAAAATGGCACAAAAAAAACTGCAAACCAGTGGCGGTCTCAGTCCCACAGGCCTTAACTAAGAGGTGATACCACTAACCGAAACCACAACATGCACAGCGACGACCCAATACCAAAGACGAAAAAGGAATAAAACAAAGGCAAAAAGATCATGATTATGAGGATAGTATAGCAGCGAAGTCCAGTGTCCACAAAAAGGCAACACACCCTCTTATGTCCTCCTGTCTATAATTGCTTATTCACACACACACGCACACACACACACACACAGATAGGCTAGACACAAACACGCAGGCACACGTGATTCATTCTTAATAAAAAACCTTAACATGGCAAGCAAGAGAGCCGAACACTATTCCCACTACGTGTCCAATACAGAATAATAGTCTCCCTTTACCCTAACACTGTACAAAAAAGCTACACGTCAAGGCTTTTCATCCCGTAAATAGTTAGTGCCTGTTTTTGAGCCAAAATAATCATACATACATGCCCTGCTAATTTTGCTGAAGTTCAACAAACAGAGTCTCGCACTGTAAGAAAAGAAACGCGGCTGCTCTTTGGGAGAAAAAGTAAAGCTGAGGATATACGAGAAGTAATTTCTCAAATTTAAGTGCGTTTTTGCGTCAGTCGTGAAGGCACTAAAATGTTAATGAAAGTGCTGAAGCTGAACAAAATGATTTCGTGAGAAAAGTAAAAGAGACGCCAAGACTTTGACAACTTTGACCCAATTTGAGAATGCAACGGACGTCTACAGACAGACTCACCTCCCCCTCCATCATGTTTTAGGCAAATGAACCCAATAGAAAACAAAATTTAACTCTGCTAGGTAGTTGCAAACGTACATTCTTACGTCTAAAAGAAAAATTGTAATAACGCTAAGTGATAGGATCTTGTAATAGTAACAGAAAATAAATAGTAGTTCATTCAAAAATAATGTCAACTTAACCCTCTCATACTTACTAAACCTGACTAACGATGACATTTGGTATCCAAGGCATACTTTTCGGTTACATAAAAGTGTGCTAATGGTGTAACTTTAATATTTCTAGCGTTTTTCATTCTTATTTACAACGGTTACTTTATCGAGATAGAAAATAAGCGCAAGTAGTGGTTGGATAATACCGTGAGTCCCAGCATCCAATCACAGGCAAAGTGAACTCAAATGCGATATTAGCAATAAGATTCCACACACGCATTGGAACCAGAGATTTAAAAAGTTTTTTCAGAGATCGGAAAAGCAAAACAAGGAACAAGCCTTGACAAGTCACCTACATATCTATTCAAATGAAGTCATGGCGAAAAACCTGTCTAATACGAGTTTACCACATTCAGGGAATGATACGAATGCATAATCTTTAGAAATCAAAAAAGGTTCATTTCAAAACAAATTTGGAATTTTCGAGCAGATTAAGTGACAATAAAACTTAATTATCCACCAGCTAAAAGTAAAATATCTATTTGGTGATGATTAAATATATCGACTTCGAGAAAGCGGAAATTTAATTCATCTTATTTTGTAAAAAAACGACTGACTTTAATATGAAGGTACTGATAATTACTGAGACAGTAGCGTATTCCATAAATCAGAGACCTGAAAGGCCATAAAGTTACTAGCATATTTTGAGTCTAAAAGTTGAGCACACTTACAAAGGTACCCAACCCCATTCTTTGTGAAATCGCCGTCTTTGAATGGCTTTGTGTTGGCTGTCAGGACAGTCAAGTACTGTACATCCCTCCAGGTCAGCTTTGGACTAAAGTAAGCAGATTATTTAAAAAATAGTTTCATTACATTATTTATAAATAAATTTCTCCACTCAATCACACAGGGTTTTGGATTTGAATAAACATGGCTCAGAGTCCTCTATTGTTACAATAAATCCATATTACGTAAAATTTGGTACCTCTACCTATTAATGAACGAATTTGCAATCAGGGTTTTGCTGCTTGATGGCGTAGGATTAAGAAGGACCCAATGGCTTCTAAACATGGTAAGTGGGAAATCAGTGACCACATTACACAGATTCACGAACTTAACCACAATTTAGACATGCTTGCAAGGACAGTACATTACGCATGAGAGGATAGTGAAGCACAGCCGAGCTAAGGCGAAAAATCAACATGAGCAGATGAAATGTGGATGGCCAAAAACTGTAATACTACGAATCACTAGCCACATGATTAAAAAAAGCATTAAACAAGCCGAAATCGACTTCCGTTTTACTACTCGCAGCGGGAATGTTAAGATGTAACAACCATAAAAGGCTGTCAAGCCGAACTAAAATCGAGTAACGAACCAAAACGCTAGATTAGAACTAAATACATTCCTTGCGATACAGTCTTGATAAGATTAAACCCAGAGATGTAAAATAGGGTAGGCAAGTTAGATTCGGGAACTCGAGATCTTATCGGCGCAGATTAACAATAGCCCGATATGCATACTTCGAGCCGGGCAGATTGCAAAGTGACTTTCCACACAACGCGGACACAACAGACACAGGAAAACCCCTGACGCAATGAAGAACTCTCATTCAAGCGTCATGCTCTGTCAGTCTCAATGAATAAGTAACGCCCAAACTGGGAGGGAAAGGTATCATCTAAATTATCTATTCAAAGGTTTCCACGGTTTCATCAAAGATGTATGGGATATAACCGTCACACAATGGGGTAATCGCCGCCAGCTTTGAAGTAAAAAAATGCGGTGTGAAAAAACCGAAAACGAAAAGTAGCCTTCTCACAAGAAGATAGCCAAGGGTGCAAAAATAAAAAACTCAAGGATGTTGCAGGAACCAGGCGGGCAGGCAGGCCGAAGGAGGTGGAAACGCACTTGGCCTCGAGCATTAGGGCGATGATACCGACTGCTAGAGGTGCGCTGGCGGAAGTGCCGGTGTGAGAATTTGTGCAGCCGTGGTTCAAATCGGTAGTCACCTAAAAGGAAAAAATCATCCCGACCTTAACACAAACTGACCGAAAGGCAACCTGCTAGTGTGCTAAATTCACAACCCGCAGTCATTTCACACGTGAGGGGAAAGAAAGAGGTTCGAGTAATTCAAAAGCCATTCTATGCGGTTGATGATTCCGGTGGCAAATAATGATATAAAAGATAGCAGTTAGTGGGACTCCATTTTCACAGTGAATTAACTTGAATAATAGAAAGGAAGTCTTGGTTACAAAAGTTGCACAACACTGCATCAGAGCAGAGAGGTAAGGTTGTTTCAACAAAAATCAAAGAAAATTCTTGACGGAAACCCAATGGAACAAAAGGTTAGCAGATATTATATAAGAAATATGATGGTCTGTTATGCACTATCCATCAAGAGCACAAATTGTTTTGAGAGTTAGGACTATGAGATAAATGCGGAAATTGACATCAAAAATAGCAACTCAGCTACCCATTCAAAAAGAAAGTCTCCTCGGGCGTGGTGAACAAGGATGTCCCAAAATAGTACGATACGTTAGCTAGTTTGTCAAACAATGCAGTATGTGCAGCCACGTTGTCATCAACTTCGCAAAATTCATGCACATACTTATAAGAAATGCCAAAACGTAGGCACATTTAATCATAAAATCCCATTGGTATCGCCTTGATGGGCACGGGATAGACCGCATCAAATACTCAGTTGCTCCGTCACTAGGGCACTGCATTGCACTAAACAGGACTTTTTCATTTAATACATCAATGTGTCAGCATTTCCCTGTACCAGCCTTATCAACCAGGCTTCATGCACTTAATGGGCCCCATTTATCACACGTGTTTATCGCCACAACCGATAACGATCGTAGAGGTGGTTCATTCTACAATCTAAGTTTCTACACGGGATGGCGATACTTGTTTGCGCGTGTAACCCTGTCAACCTTCCGATACGCATTTGAAAAAGGTAAAAACACACGTCTGAACACCTGAGGGCAGTGAAATAGGGGTGGGTGCAGGGGAAAAATTAAATACTTACGTCCTGATATTTGTACCAACACATTTAACTATAACAGATCCAAGTGTGTATGTGGATACTAACGTAGAGACTAGAAGTTGTGTGATGTGAAAAACTGTGGGATGAACACTAGTGTCACTCGCAGAAAATTCACCCTTTATAAAACATTTGTTGAAGTTTTAGTTGAAATAAATACAGAAAAATTGGGGATGGCATAGAACACTTACAATTCCAGATTCACCAGGACCTCCACTGCTGTAGGTTGAAACCAGTATGGCCGCACACTTCTCCAGGTACCAGGGCTGTGTATTGTGCTCAGTGACACTGCTCACTGCCAGAGTGTAGATGCTGCTTACATAGCCATCAGCGGCGCAAGAGTCACCCCGTCGTCCACCGTTTCCTGATGCCCACACAAACACGTTTCCCAGACCGTTACGACCCTTAAATTTGACCAACAAGAGTAAATGATAGCATAACAAATTTTATGGTGCGCTTTCCACCAAAACTGAATCGGGTAATCTTTTAGGATCGTAACATGGTAAAATTTTGCGAAAGTGGTGAGAGCTCGACCCAGAGCAGCACTGCTTTGAACAGCCGAATTCATTCATCACCTGCAATACACTTCTGCCACCGTAAATACGATCGCTACGATAATACCTGAACAACCATATGGATGCCATTACGCTCGAAAGACAAGAATGTTTTACTTAAATTGCGTGAGCAAGGTGGGCTGGTAATCGCATTTTTCCCAACAATATAACATACTAATAATAATGGTAATAATGATCGGCAGTACACTTTAACAGCTCAGTCAATTTGAAGGAAGCGTTGGTATATCATAGAACTAAAATAAATGGTCAACATGCAAGTGGACCACGTTAAATGAAAAAGTAAGTGGCGAGAATTCGCCAACACCACCACCAACAACAACCAGTAATGACTGGTGCTCGATGTCTGCCGAAGAAAAATTATAAAACAAACCTTTAAAAAATATTCAGAGATTTGAAAAGGAATGTGATAGAAGTTCACCGCTGTAGGAACAGACGAACCTGATCCTAACCTTATTCAAATACTTTATTTTGTTCAAATATTTCCTTCACGCCCAGATTGCACGAAGAAAATCGAAAGGCTACTCGAACCTGTAGAATTTGATGTGCTTTCACGTATTGCCAGAATCAGGACAGTTCTTATAAGCTGTAGAAATTACCTGGTAGATGGTATGTACGACGAGAAGTAAAGTGCGCCAAAGAACCGGCGTAAGAGGTGACACTGAAGACGACTTGTGAAATGAAATATTAATGTCACCAGTGTTGATTATTGTCAAAATCACTTTCAAGCTTGCCAAAAAGGTTGCTTCTGTTAGACAAGCAAATACTTTAAACCCATTGCAAGCAATTATATAGAAACCAGCAGAATAATCGAGATGAATTGGAGTAAACGAAGTGATTGCTGTGTTGCAGGCTAATGAACTAAAGGAAAGGGGTATCTAGCCCTGAGGTGATGCCTAACTAGAAACAAGAAGGTTTGGCGAAAAGAAGAATCCAGGAGTAATCACTAAGTTTGAATTTTGCGTGAAAGTGCAAAAAGACAACCCCTTTCGGTAAGAGAGTGAGTAGATGTTCAGGTCGTTTGAAGTTCCATCACCAGTGGATTAACATACATCTGCTGACGCGTTATTGCAATGTCCGCGTTTCAAACAAAGGCCGTTGCACCAAATTGCGTACTCTGCGCCTGTTGACGGCCCGCGTGTGCACCCTTGTGTACATGCGTGGTATGGCCGTAGGACGTGTGGACGAATAAGCTGGAGGTCACCTTCGCCCACTATCTTAACCCAGTGGTGGCAATTCATGCGCTCCTCAAATTTACTCATAAATGGGGCCTCTAACTAATGAACGATGTCCTTGCCAGTCTTGACGATGCGAGATTCAACATACAATACAAATGCACATTTTTCTGAACTAGAATAAGCCCATTTCTGTCTCCCCTCTTGCAACAAGTGGTCCCAACACCTTGACTGTATCACTCAAATTAGATTAATACTGAATAATGGGAACGCTCTAATGAGCAATAATAATGAGTCCGGTAGCTCGGATGACAAATAATTAATAATGCCTTCCTCTTACCAATCCCACTGACCAAGTACACAGAAAACTTCACTTTTGTCATTAAAGTTTATCCTTATTAGGCGTGCGGATGGGTGGCCTAGACGTTTCTTACTTTTTAGTACTGCCAAGTTTCTAGCTCCTGCCATGGAAGGAGGGTGGATGTGCTGTCATTATGTCAAGAGTATCCTCAAAATCAACTTAAAATAGGAATCAAAGACTCTTCACCCGAATGAATCGACTCCGGCTTCTGAGGACCTCAAAAAGTACTCACTTATTCAATGACTTTAAGAAATGCTTCAGAGAAGTAACAGCGTTTTTCTCACGATCAATGACCGTTCTTCTTCAAGATCCAGGGGGAAATTTTAAGTGATGACCCGCTGGAGGTATAACCGACATGAGAGTTGTGGTGCCTATACGCTTCCCAAGAGCCAGACCAGTGTAGATAATTTTTCGTCTCCTCCTCGACATATGTTTGGTTTCCTTCCCGATAATATTTTTAAAACGATAACTTTTACACTTATTTTGTGATTAATAACTAGAATATTATCCAGCACAATACCTTATGCCAAAGCCTAGAGATGACACTTCGCATGGAGGATCTTGAATACTTCATTCAAATAAATTCTAGCATTGACCGAATGTGACTATTCGTATTTGTTCAATCCCTACTTAAGTTGAGACCATTTAACGCGCAAAGCTAAAACATTTTCTGTTAGAACAGATTTAGCCTTAATGGTTGCGACCAGTTAGTAGCCAGTGGTATTTCAGCCGGTCCGCCTTGAAGACTCAATTATTCTTAAACAAATATGCTCAAGTGTTGCATGCTGTGCAAAGCATGTTTGATATCCACGCGAAAACACGGAACTTTAGAGGACGGAGGTTCCTGCCAAATTGCCAGAAATTAGAAAAGGGCAAAAGACGCAAGCTTTAATAATAAGGCCAACGGTCGCATGCAATTTGCACTAAATGGGCTCTACAGGGTATAAGAACCTAGATAGATGAGAGCCCAGTACATTGTTTACTTTTAACGGTAAAATATCGTACTATCTCTCTCAAATAAAAAATATTAACGGTTTTGTCCCCCCGATATTACGCAACACTTATTTTGGGCTTTACACTTGGAATAAGTGACCTCAGAGGGCTTCATACAACCATTACAATTACGCGCTCCATATAGGCACCAAATTCGGAGGCAAGACTGTGGTTTCTCGCTAAAATAATCATATTTAGGAGAGGTGGAAACGACTGTAAGGGATTCGAACCTGATCAAGATTAATGATGAACAAACTGCTTGTGTTAACAGGGATGAGTGTGAGATTGGCGTTAAAATATATTAAGGGAATGAAAATAACAACTTGAGGCTATGTAAAACGACTTAAAAGGGGCTTCATTCTTGTCAAAAGATTGAAAGCGTGTCTGTAAAAAGGCAATTGAATGCCATTTAAATAACCGATTGGTTAAAATGGATAAGGAAACATACGACCGCATCATGTAGTTGACAAAATTATATCCCAAAATCGGAATACCCTTTTGTGTTCGTGAGCCGACTAAAATCAAAGTTGTGCATCTTGTGCAGGGTCAAGGTCACAAAGTTACCAATCTTCTTATCATGAAGGTACAACAGATGTGTGAAAATGCACCCACAATGAGGCTGATTCTTAGGCACATGGGTAGCAGTAGGTACATTGCTGGAGTGAATAGAGCCGGGAATGGTTTGATGAAACACAAAACCCATCAGGTATTCTTTAAAACGCCTTTCACACCCAAGCGCCCCATCATGAAGCAGTGCACTTTTGACAAGGTCTATACAACCTCTGAACCAGAATTCAGTCGTCTTATTCACCTGTCACTGTTTCGATCGGAAATAATCACAAACACTATATGAAAATAGCACTAGTTCGAAATAGCACGACCTTAGTTTGTCCTGAGGCATGACTTGAACTAGGACCTGCCAACAATTTACGCAAGCGTATGCTTCCGTTTCTGCGTTTAAAGGGACTTTGAGCATTATCATCGAGTGCCTTATTATTAAACGTAATGAATAATACGCCATCAAATGAAAGATGTGGTACTTGCAAATATCGGGTATTTATAATGCACAAAAAACAACAGCAGCACTTCGGGTACGTTAAAATCAAACAAATTCTGCCAAATGTTTTTGGCAACGGCATTACCGTAGCACGATTCTTCGTGCTTTATATTCATTCATGTGATCTAATGGGGGATGCAAATATTTTTAAGCTTGGAATATGCCTTTTATTACTATTCTTGTAAATCAATAGATAATATGAATACAAAAAGGCTTCATACAAACATCCTGAAAGACATAATTAAAGTCGTAGAGATCATGCCAAAATGTAAATTACGAAACGAAATCGGACAGTAGAGCTCAAAACCCGTATTTTGTAAAAGAATTTCGGCACCATCTGATTCAATCAGCAAATAAAGTTGAATACAATCTAATAGCCATGCTAGCACATACTGTAGTGGCACCTTTGTGAAAGGCTTCGGAGGCCATTCGACCAGGACCCTCGTAGATTTGGCCCGTGTCATCCGGTCCCCAACTGCCTGAGTAAATATCAATGTAGTTCTGGTTGAAATTCAGCGACTCGGCCTCTACGCGATCCGTTATGGTTCCATCCAACATCCGAATTCCTAAAACAATAGAAAGAAAAATTTTCAAGAATATAATGTGAGGACAGCTAATTTTATGCATATTTACTTCTAGCAATATCCATTGTATTTATTCTAAAGCAGTGAAATTATAATTCTATGACAATATATATGGAAAAAATAGGTGGAAATAGTAAAAGCCGCCCGAAAATGGTACAAATAAAGCTTCACAGACCTGCATTTTCGAATATATTTGGAACAATGGGTCTAACAAATCCAATCAAGCTAATCAAAAAATCCATTTAAAACATCATAGAGAGACATAAAAAACACCAAGCTTAGGATTGAACGCATACTTCAAGACCAAATGAATATTTTACGCATTGCCCGAAATGAGTCCATTTTTCAATTGTATGCATACATATGGTGTGGTGTGTATTTATCGCTGCTGATGAAGAACAGGGGCCCCACTGAATCCGTCACTCGCCGCCAAGTGTTTAGTTGAAAAATGAACCCATTTAACTGTTTGGTAGTAGCATTAAAAAGTAACGAGGAGGCCGAATCAAAACATTTTAACCTACGACCAAGTTAATTTGTTAAGTCTTTGAAGCAGTCGAGCAGTAAAGTGGGTAAAGTCGTTAACTTGAGCAGATATAAATTTGACCACCAGACTTCATCTTAAATGTGAACGCACGCCATTGCTACGAATGTTTGGATGGTAAATCAATGGAGTGACGCGCCGCCGAAAAATAATTTGGGTTATGGTATATTGTCGGCTATTTGTGCGCAAGATGGCCCAAATGATTTGGCTTTATTCACGAATGACACAAAAACTGGAATACATCTCGAACATCACGGTCAAAAACAGTTGTTAGTAAGATATCTCGAAGATACTAGACCAATTCCACACAACGCACGCATCATAACGGAGCCATTGATATACCTTTAACTAAAACGTCAATAGATTACACGGTGCGATAGTATTTACATGCTTTTTTCAAAGTGTACTAAGATTCAAGTGGGTAGGTCGCCTACGATCTCAGGGCGAATGAAGTTGGAGCAAGGGAGGAGGTACGATGAAGACAAAAAAACGAGGACCCCTTGAAAAGGCGTAAAGACCACACAGGAACGCCGAGTTGCTAATACCAGTACATAAGGCAAGTTTTGGCAGGCAAGCGTTAATGAGTGCCTAGCACCAATGGATCATATGTAACAACTAAGCTACTACCATATGCTCGATTTCAACAAATAAAGTATTGAATTATGGTCAAATTATTTGTTGGTACTATTCTTATTTGTGGGCGAAAATTATAAGAAAAGCCCAGATATCCATTACACAAGTCAAGATTAGAATACATAACGAGACAAAAAACGACTTATTTAAAACGGTTTTTGACGTTTCGCCCAGAAAGAGGATGTTCTGTTGTTCTGAGCTGGAAAGTGTTCATTCAGAAATCCCATTTACTTTAGCCAAGCAGAGGGTAAAGTTTGCCGATAAATGCAAGGCTGTAAAAACGTCAACATGAATTACAATTTAAGCGATCAAAATCGTCAACTAACTCGGATTCAACAAGCGGGTACCCAATGGATGATCATTTATTTTCATGCCCTATTTGCTGAACCACTTAAATTACACATTGTATAAAGCCACCACATTTTCTACCAGCACATTTCAAGCCGTTTATTATCATGGGACGGTTTTATCACATAATCTGTACCAATAATAACCACCGGAGTGTTTCGCCAGGGTTAAAGGCAAAGCTTTGCATGACATACAGCTTGAACAAACGCTACAAAATTGGTTTGTGTTTGGATAAATGTAAGCAAAACTAATAATAAGATTTAATGACAGATCTGTTCAACTGCACTTTAGTAAGATTTGCTGTGGCGCGCGCCTACCAATAAGACTGGGAGAATTAACATCCCCGCAAAATTTCCGTAAATGTCCATTTTAGATAAATAAAAAAATCATCCTTAGAAGTGCAAACGACCACTTTATGTAAACCATTTAAAGTGTTCAACTAACCATGGTGTCTATGGGTAACTGTGTTAGTGCGAGATTTACATTCCACCACCAATACAGCTTCCTCAATTTGCACATTTTCAGGATACTGAAGCGACAGGGAGTTTAGAATACGACTCTGATATAAGTTATGTCAATACATTTATTAAATCTTGATTTTACCAACTTCACTAAAATTTATAGAGACCGAAATGTTAGATTACGTGGGAAAGGGTCACAGCTTCGCCAGACATAGCAAGAGAGTGTGATTGGAGTAATGGTAGAAGGTGGAGTTCACTTCCCAAGTTGTAGCCGTCAATACACAATTTCGAAAACTGCACAGAAAGATTTCACCGCTCAAACGGTGTTTCTAAGGCAAAAAGTTACAAACTTTCAAAAAAACAATCGTGTCAGATGACATACACACATGTAAACAACGTATGAGAGGCGAGACTACTTACCACCTATAAGGACGTTGAAAGCGACCCCAACAATGCATACTGAGTTGTTTCCCACAGCGGCAACTTGGCCTGCGCACCTTGTTCCATGTCTAGGAAGAGGGAATATATCTACCTTCGTTTGCTCGAATTATATTTCTGAATTTGTGCGTTACGAAATGCACAAAAAAAAGGTTTACAGTGACTGCGTCAATAGCAGTCGTGAGAAAGCCATCCAGTGAAGACACGTTTCAACAAAGTAGAAAAAAATGCTCCAACTACTTATTCAAAATGTATTTAGTAGGTGACAAGAAACCATATTTCACAGCCTGAGAAGTGCAAATAGTGTAAACACGAATTGGTTCTCGCAAATTTTTAGGAAGTAGTCATATGATAGATTCTTAAATTTCCGGGAAGTTCGTCAATTAAGAAGAACCACTTCATGATTTTCAAAAACGGCTTAACATCCTATTGCGCGTACTACTTTGGACAGAGTTGGTCGGAGTGGTTGGTAGCCAGGTGTCCATATCCCCAACCATTGCTTCACCCAGTAAGTGCCAGTGCTCCAAAATGATGCGCAAGCGTACCATTGACCAAACCATGTGCAGTCTTGACTCTTACACCACAACATGCCGTAAAATACCTTATATGTACTTTTCGGTATTTAAGTAAAATCGCCAATGCCGAAAAGTTTAGCCCACACAACATTTATTTCTAACATTTGGTTTGAAATGACGTGCGTCCAGCACATATTTAGGCTGCAGTGCAAGATAGTGTTATTTGGACACAAGGAGTATATATGCTGTAATCGAGCTGATTGAGACGAAATCTTGAGTGTACAACAAAACAAGCTAAAGTTCAAAAGATATGATGAGCCTACTTGAAAAACAATTCCTTACAGAATATGAAGAGTACCTATATGCAGTGATTTTTTCTCATGAGCAACATGAAGCAATTTAAACGCATGCAAAACGAATAAAAGTCTTACAATCATTTGTTCAGGATGGAAAAAAAATGAGAGGCCAATACCGCATGGTGATGAGATCAGCTTGAATCATATTGAGGGTACAAAGCAGACATACATGGAGATTCCAAAAACCATTCACTTGAAATGGGCACAAGAAAGAAGTAATTCGCTTTAACACTTTTAACTTTTTAATACTCATCCATGCTAAATATGCAAACTTTGAGGAGACAATCAATTGTAGTTACAAAATGATATAACTTTTCTCATAAAGCGCTAACTTGCAATTGCATTCAAGATGAAGAATAGCAGAAAAGATGAAGCTCGCAGATGGATTTAACACGAAAGTTAGGTCGAGTTTTCTGATATAGAGGCTCGTGGCAAAGGTAACAATGCTAACAGATGCAAAATTACTGAACTGGAGAGTGACTCAGACTTTACAATCAAAACGTGACAAAGAAGAGCGTATGTACTTGTTGCATACTACGTGAACCGAGTGAATTGTTTTCAAGAGACTTCAATATTTTTAAGTGCTTAGACACTCCCAGACGATTTGACAGGCAGTTTTATTGGTCAAAGTAGATAGAAAAAATTGTCCCCATAAGAGATAATTCTTGTAACATCGTTGTTGAGTGGATATAGAAGAGGCCAAGCATAGAAAGTTGTAGCAAGCATAAAATTCCGGCTTACTTATTATCAGGGTTCGTGGTGTTTGGCATGGGATCTCGATCACCATTATTAACATCCCAACTAGCCTGTTCGGCCTAGAAGAGAGAAAGTATTAAACTTCTTTATGTTCATTGAGAGGGAGACTAATTAACTAGTGACTAGTAAGCCATAAAAACAACACCTAATTATTATCAAACAATAAGAATTCAACAAGATTTCCAAGAGAACAGTAAATAATGTAATTACAACTAAACAAACAGGCCAAAGTCTATTACAATAGCTCAAAAGAAAACTTTCAAGCAGTTAAAAAGCCAGAACAAAAAAGTAGGAAAATACAGTTACATAATTTGCTGAAAGGTCAGGATGTGTGTGATCCAAACCATCATCCATTATGGTTACAACAACTCCTTTTCCAGAATAACCCAGTTGCCATGCCTCCTGCACATTCAAGTCAACCTCATCGCTATACTTATTAGACGCCCGGTTCTCGAAAACAAAAAAGTTTCCATACAGTTGGATGATTATTTTGGAGGTCTTGTAAAATGAGTAAATGGTAATAATAAATTGTCCTCTGACTTTACACTCAAATTGGATTTCAAGTAATACTCAACATTCAAAAATTACATACCAGGTACCACATATCCGGATATTTTAAATCGTTCCACGTAAACACATCCCGTTTAGTTCTAATAAGCTGCTTTTGTTGTTCGATTAGAACTACTTCCGCATTTCTCTTAGTTCTGAGAAGGTATTTAGTGGCATTTTCAAACGACTTCTCGGGCAGCTTTGCCAAATAAGTATAGTCATGGCCGTGAATCTAAGAAGTATAAACAACACTTAAAATCCGTACCTTTCGAATAAACTTAAATCCCATTGATTCGATGATATGCCGTGCGTTACCTTCTACGGCAATTTCGATTACAAATTCATTAACAAGTTTTGAATCAGCAGAAAGGCACTTAATTAACAGGTGGAGTGTCATCAGTGTAAACGCCCAACATGCCGTCATTGCGCCTCGAATAATCTAAAGAAATATTGAAATAACACACAAAAGTGGGCCGATATTTAGCGATGCACACCGCAGTGGAGGAGGTTCCATTATATCGAAAGAAATATGTTAAGGATCTATGCACATTAGTCCAACTACCTGCTTTAAGGAGAAAATACAAAAAGGAAAAGTTTAGGCAGAGGGCAAACAGGCATATTACGTCAAAATAGGACCTATAGCGAACAAAATAAAAAGAGCGAAAACCGGTTAGATAGAGTAACTATTGAGGCCAGAAAATAAAAGCCTCAAAAAGCACCACCACAAAATTGGGCTTTGTAACTTGTTCCAAGTAAAAAAATAGCACAAGACTACTAATAAAATCACATCTACCGATTAAAAGTAGGAGCAAAATCACAAGCGCAAATTCAAAACAGGGCATTTTCTGAACGGTTATTAGGTTACTACGAGTAACCAATTTTTAAAAGCAGAGGGGTGAAGACCGCGGTATACCTCTGACAATCCCCCTCAGTTGTCGGCATGTGCTGCTTTAATATTACCGCAAAGCCGCAGAAGAAAACGCCGATTAAAAACACGCGCCTGCGGGTTTAAAGGTTAACACAGACAAATAGAAGAGATTAACAATTCCTGTGTTTCATGTATAAAACAAGCTAGCTAACGACTTGCCATCCACCAGTAGAGGACTGTAAATGGTTCTTTGATTAAAGGCATCGAAAAAGAGACCTCCTTGATAACTTTAAATTACTACGTAGGCACGCAAAACCAATTATACCGCAATCTTTAGGCATGTGCCGATGCCCCTACAATTGAAGAGATAATCTAGCGCAAAACCGGTAACAGCAATGCTTGCCTCTCAAAACCTCAATACCTCTCATTCTAGCACATTTAACTTGAAAGCCTTCGGGATTAACGCTTTTTGGTTATTTGGTTGTCTCATGACGCTTAAGAAAGCATTCATTTTTCAGAATTGATGTTGCGAAATTGTTTAATGTATATTTAAAACATAATGTCACAAGGGTCATATGTCACTTTGGTGATTTTTTAAGAATACGGACAACATGTGCGTAAGAAACACTGCTAATATTTAGTCAGGACCCCGATTATGAAGTTGACCCAACTTTCTGGACTATGTTTTAATTTCTAGGAGTGAGCTTTTGCTAGTATAAACGCGTTGTTAGTACACTACATCGCCATTTAGATCATGTAAGTGTGCAAATATGAGACCATTTGAAGCTGCGCGATAGTTAGAACTAATAAGCTGACACCCTATTTTTGTGCGCATAAATACATACAAAATTAAGAGACAGGTTAAGGGAAATGAGATCAATCAGATACATTGTACTGTAATACGATAGTGGTTTATCCCTCGGTTCTGGTAAGGCGCCCTCTTGTACCTTGCTGGGTGGGCTGGCCTTTTGGGCCATGCCAATAGCCCAGACACCTTCCCCGTGCTGAATATATATATTCTGCTAGAGTATCGTGTCTTCTTTTGTCTTTAGGGAGTCTCGGGACGCTGCAGTACTACACCACAAATTTTAGAACGAGGCTAGTAGATCTCCTCTCCCCTGACCCTTATGCTCTTAGAGCACCCAGGTTAATTTGGTTTTGTCATGGTTATTGGGTAAGGTAAAGGGGGATAATGAGTAAAAGTTCAGGAAGGTTTAGACAAGGAACCTTTCTCCAGATTGCGGGACGTTGCCTGCTCCTCAGTCTCGAGGTTCGATTCGATCCTCCCCTAAAAGCACATTTAAACAACACATGTATTACGAAACTCCACTATCTCTTCCCTTATCCAACTGCATTGGTGGAATTTCCTTTTATTATCTTTACCGCACGATTAAACGCGCTGGTTCTGAAGGTCAGTGCAGAGTTGCACCAATTTAGGATGGTAAGTGTTTCTTGCACCACTCTGATTCCGCTGACACTTCTTTGATTTTTAAATGCAGGACGGAGTTGTGCCTTTTGAATACTTGGAACAGTATTTAGGCATGCATTTACTTACATGTCCGAGCGGTAATTGCTTAAAACATATTTGGAACTCATTTTATCGGCTATTTGCATCAATGTAGGAACTAGGGTATCAACTTGAACATTAACCTACCCAACTTTAGTGTTATTTTTGCTGATTTGGAGACTCACAAAACTTGACTCAGTTGCAAAATCTGCCTAACCATGAAGGCAGGTATTGCCCAGCAGTGCTTCCAAATAATTCCGAAGGAGATTTCATATGATAACATACGGTGATATTTATCGGGAGAATCGAGTGACTCGAGTAATTATTACTTCTGTGACTTAATTTGGTATGCTGTTATGAGTAATTAGCACTACCATCTTATTGCTTTTGCGTAGTTGCCGAAAGCATTTTCCTCGGTATATAGTTATCTTCCGCTTTAAATCCGCAACTATGTTTGTACCTTGTTATCTGTTTAGTGCATATTTGTTATTAGAATGCCAGGTCAACTGTAACTCTGAGACAGCACAAGTGTGTACTTGTGTTCCATTTAAATGCTGCATAGGAACCTATAAATTTGGCGCAGAAAACGCCATAGAACTTAAATTTTTCGGACTCAGGCAATTTGGATTCGTGGAATGCTCACATTATTTGTCCCGAAATTATTTGTATTTCCGTGCGCAACTCGATTTTTCATCTCTACTCCTATGTTTTAGTCATCGGAGTCGATTTTTCGTCCGGACAGCTTTCTTTCATCTCTAGCCAAGGACCTTTTCCGTGCATGTCGCGGTGACGAAATCTTGTCTTCTAGTGACAGGAATTGCCCTTGTGTTACTTGTGATGGATTCCTTGTAATGGATAACGTTGCATTTCATCTTAAAGATTTCGTCGAAAAAGGGGATTATCATTCCGCGGTTCAATCCATTGCCCACACTATGCGTCGCTGCGAGGAGAACTTCTACATTGACGCCTTTCAGTTTAATGCGTACTCTCTAAGTTGGCTCAATATGCCCTTGCATTTTGCCAGACTTCGAAATATTGTTTCAAGTAGCAACCACATCGATCGATTCGTATCCACTCTGCAACTCATATCGATGCTCGATTTTTCTATATTACACCTCCTTGCGGACGAGAGCGGTCGAACTCCTGCTAATCTTACTGCAGCTTTAGATGATCCCCGCTTGACTTCTTTTATTAACGCTCCAACACGTTCAATTCTCAAAATTTTATTCGGACCTGTGACTTCTCTTAATCTACACAACCTCTTTTGGCATGGATTTGTTTCCCCTATCGACTTCAAAAATGAGGTTCCTGTGTGTTTGCTATACTTTCTCTTTGCTCTAGTTCTGTCGATAGATGAACAACTACTGAGTACTTTTAATAAACCTGCGGTTGCTGACTCCAAACTCCCTGAATGCTTTAAGTCATTCTCCACAGAACTGTTACCCAATGACAATTATTCACCATTTCTCCGGGAACCTGAAAATTTAAATCCCGTTTTCTTGAGACCCTTTATCGACTTGTTTATGACGCGCCGGTATTTTGACGCAACCTGCCTCGGAGTGCTCTGTATTGCCTCGGTGCTTCGAAATGAATTTTGTCGGGTGGTAAACTGGCCCGAGGGTGTACTCGCCTCTGAAAATAGGGTTTTTCTAACTTTGGATGGTATACTTAAAATGCGGCTACAAAAGTCTACTCTGGGACCCATTCACTTGGAGGAGTGGAAGAATTTCGGGCAGTGTATTGGACCCATCAATTTGCTTCTCCTTGGTGGTGTGTTTTGCGCAGAGGAAGGACCTCTCCTAAGGCGTCGGCTGGCTCACGGTGAACTCTTTGAAACGTCTGTATCCGATTGCGTCATTTGGGAAGGCGTTGCGCGACGTTTAAAGTTTTGTATTTTTCTGCTACTTAACCATATGAGAGGGGGTAATACAGCCTTGGTCATCCGTGATCTCGACGTTAGGCCAGACACATTCAGTCTGCTTGCTCGTTATGCGGTAGCCGCATGTGGATTGTGGTCCGCTTGGGCCTCTTTTTTCCGAGTGTTTGCAGAATTGGATCAAGTGCAGCAACCGCGAAAACTCCTTTTGCATAGGGCTCAACTTTGGTTTCCGGGGCTACCTGAAAGGAGTGATATTTCACTTCATTCAGTAGAGGATGCTGTAAGCATTAATAATCCCACGCCTAATATTGATTTGATAAAATAGCCGATCGGGAGATAAGTCCTGAAAATGATTCGAAAATCCGAGAATATATATATCGTGTTATTTGTTTTGCGAAAACTTGAGCAAATTGTCTATATACTCGGTAACATGAATCTTACAAGACACTAGGGCATTCACTCTAGCCTATGCCAATTCCGTCAATTCTAATTGAAGCTATTTATAATCCAGATGGGTTCATTGCCGAGTACGATCTCCTTCAATTCGATTTACCATGCAATTGCAGGCAACTTGTCTGCGATATCTTAGTTTATGACCATCCTACTTTGTTCTTCAGTAATAGTGATGCCAGACAAGCACTACTCCTAAGTAACCACTAATTTAATCCAGCTTAGTGCCATTCCCAGCTTTTTCCAATTCAGTGGTATCGACAGAACTGATAATTCACAATTTACTTTCCTTTAAAAATTCATTTTGCAGGTTATGATACTCCAACATGTTGATAAGGTGCGGTTTAATTTAACCACTAAACATGTTTTACTGTAAATTGTTTCTGAGACTCTGCACCGTAAAATTATTTCTGTCTGATTTTAAGTATTTTTTTCACTTTCTAGAGTGAGTTCTTACCTACAGTGGATATGTCTCGGTTGTGGCTGTGGAAAGCCCACTACGTATGTGGTCGTAATGCCCGCCATCACAATGGCAACCACAGTCCTTTCAAGATTGTCCAGCAACTTGTCAGAATAATGCAAAACTTGGAGACCTGTTCAAAGCTCGCTTTCGACCAGTACTCTATCTTCAGCTCGGTGAGTTTTTCAACTTGAACATTTTACATGCAAGGGAGAATCGACATGTGTGACTACGACAAAAGATTAACTTAGGCATGCCTCGAGCATTCACCACTTAATTTCACACATTTAGTCCTATTTACTCATACCCGTATCCACTCCTTGGCAAACAGTCATCACGGAATATGTTGATGCCCTGTTAGAACGCTTTACTTCGCCTAAAATCATTTGGTTTTTATAATAGAACTTTGATAAAGCAGCCTTAATTACGCTCGTTCTGCATTGAACTTCACATAACGTTTGCTATCAAACAACCATTGTTTGTTGGCTAAACGGCCATTTTTAAGAGCAATTATCCGCGAAACTTTCGTGACTAACTTTTATTCAATTCGCAATCATTTGTTTGCACCTCCACTACACTGTACATTAGCTAGATCCACTTATTTGCATCCAGTCAGATGACCAATACAGGGTCAAGTCTTGGTTTAGCTATTTCGGTAACTTTTTTTTTAGTTTTCTAGCAGGTGTGAGAAAGAGATAGACAGTGCTAGTAGGTTCTGCCAAGTCGTTGTGCCACAATTACTGGCCGTGCTTTCCATTCTTGTGCTCTGCTGCTGCCATAAGGCAGGAATATGGAACACCTGGTTTGCGGGTTGTTTCATCGCCAATGACTCCGATACAATCGACCTTCCCGATTTGCCAAAAAACAGCTACGTACTTCTAAACACGTTTTCCATCCTTGCGGCCAAGCTAACTTCGGTGCTGGGAGCTGCAAATAATAAAAGTTTTGAAAATACCTTGCTGAAATTTATGATTCCACTCCCGTAGCTGAGGCATAACACAATCATTTATGCTACTTTTTAACAGCAAGATGCCTTTTACGTTGAAAACCACCATACCATTTCTTGTGTTTTCAGCCCATCATTGATTCATTTCTCAAAGTTAACATATTCTATTAGTCGCAATTTGTTGACTTGGCTTTCTCAGTGAAGCTGCCCGGTTATTGCACCACTTTAACAGATGCTAAAATAGACATAACTGTAGCGTCCCGAGACTTCCCAATACCGAGGGATAAACCACCATCGTATCACATAGCTTCCCTCCTCTTTTGAGCGTCGTTCCCGGCGCTCCCGCAGATCAATCTCCCGCGTCAGCCATTACAACGTAGTTAGTGCTGTAAAGAAACACCCGCGATCCGACCGTGCCAGTCAACAAACTAGCGTGCAACTGAGGAGATACTTGACCTCAACGTCACTGAGCCCTCTTGGCAACTTAACTGGATCTGGAGTTTCGTCCGGTTCGAAAAGTTGATTCAGGAATGGGGAATTGTGCTGGCCATTATGCCTGTCCATAGGTAGATGTAGGAACACTGGTAGGTCCATGGGGGGTTTCAGGTCTACTCCTCCTCGCCCCGTTGTTCCCACTTTAGAGGGTAGGGGAATTCTGTAACAAAACTTCTGGACGGTTCACGGCTAGTGTTGCTTCAGTTGTTAATAGCTTTTCCGCAGAACACGAAACTGGGATAGATGCCGAAGAGAGACGTCAACTTCAACCCATCTATTAGGAGTCATCACCATTCTCCCATCCGGAGCACATGTACTTCTTCCGCTCCACTAAGGTTTATCACGCAGAAGTGAAAATCAGGATAGATGTCCTATAGGATCGGGTTCGCTTCCCGCTGCCACCAATGTAGCGTCCCAAGACTTCCCTGAAGACAAAAGAAGACACTATTCGGGCAGAATACATATTCAGCGCAGAGGTGCTTGGGCTATTGGTATGGCCTGAAGGCCAGCGTGCCCAGTGAGGTACAAGAGGGCAAATTCAAAAGTGGAGCCTCGCGAGTACTGAGGGATAAACCACCATCGCATTACGCAACAACTAAATCCCCAGTTCCGAGGCAGCAAGGGCCAGCATGCCCATTCGGACTGTGACGATAGTCGCTGGTGCGCGGTCCCGATGTACCCCTCAGTCCATTTGGAAGTTATTGCGCTTACGTCTAACTCATCATCGGTATTGCCCAAGTGTGTCCTTAGTATTTGGGTGACTAACTCTGGAAGCTATCATGTGGAGCGAGACTCATCGGTCTCCGCTTCCCTGTTCCTGGTGTTCTTAGACAAGCCCGGTTGACTCATTTTGGACATATTTATTAAAGATGAGCAGATGGGGAGGAAAAGTGCAACGTTTAAGAAGCAGGGGAACCGCAGCCACTGGGCGCAGGAGAGGACGGTCCAGTCACGCGATTCGAGCCTTCCACTTGCCTCCTCCCTGAACGGTACATTAAAACAACATAAGTATTACAATCAGTTGATATCTAGTGGAAACGCTAGAAGGAGAGTTGGGAGTGGGCTAGCTCGTATATTCGCAAAGGGTGAGGGATAGTGGAATACCATTCTAATTGTGCGTGCACTTAGGCTGTGATGGACCATAGGTAATTTAAGTTAAAGTGCAGATTTAGATCCGCCTTCCCAAACCAGCTCCATAAGGAAAGATTGCATTTGTCGCTAAAAAAATTTTGTTTTGAAAGATAACTTAAGGCATTGTTTCCAGTTTATTCACATTCAAATTTCATTTAAGTCTGTATTTATGCCATATCCTTGTTTTTTCAGCAAAGGTGAGAACAGAAGCTCAGTATGCCATAACCGGCCTTAAAAATCAGGTAGTGTTCGTGCATTTTGTAAAAAATCCTAATAGTCATCACGAGCGTTAACTTATGGTATTGAGAGATATTTTTGTTTGTATTTGTCACTTTGAGAAATAACTGTACACGCATTGCCACTTGGACAGTTTTGGTTGTGTGGTATGCCCGTGCCGAAGAAGAAGAGTAAGAATACTTCCTATTTCTCGCATGATTTTATCATTGCGAATCATGGAGATATCGTAAGCGTCATCGCCATGATTTTTATTGGTGGTATGCTATTCCCGGTAAGAAATATACCCATTTGTATTTCATAATATGGATAATTTGGTTTTCATGCGCATACCGACTGAACATGTTTTCATCTTAAGGGTCCTTCACGAGCAGCTTCCCTGTTTGTAGCAATGCAGCATAATGCAAGCAACGAAAGTATGTACCCCGCAAATTATCCTCATAGCTTGTAATATAGGGGTTGACAGCATGTCGGATGTCCTCTACACAACAGGACGGTATGATCTACTGGCTGTTTTCTTTTATACACTGATTTGTATAATTGTACATGCCGTTATACAAGAATACATATTGGATGTAAGTTGTAATCAAGCTTGCATGTTTCTTAGAAAATGTCCAAAAAGCTCCACCTTCCTCGATTCATGCAATCCAAGTTCAATGAATCTGGCCAGCTCCTCTTCTTTTACGTATTTTCTGTCTATTGGGCTGTTTACGCTCTTATAAATGAGCGCTTTTTGACGAGCTTAGATGGACTCTGGTCGGGTTACCCTCATGCTGTCATGCCTTTTTGGATTAAAGTATTCTTCATTGTGCAGGTTTTTTGGTTGTTTTTTTGTCGATAGTTCTTCTAGATAAGTTACTGGGTGCACAACTTTCCAGAACTTTATTTCCAGAAGGTTAAAAAAAGTGAAATGACAAATCGGGTATTTTATTCTTCACTCTTCCTTATTGGCGTTTCTGCAGGATATTTCATGAAGTAATTTATGGATTTCATGTACACTTTTAGCTTTTCCAAACTTACGATGATTCTGGTTATCTTGCATTACGTAACTGATTCATTCTTCCACTTTTCACGTCTAATGAAACTCTATGGCCATGTGGCAGCTGTCAACTTCGGGTAAGTGCGCTTCCAGTTTTCCTATTTATGTGTGTAGGTTTGCGGTGTATAATGGACTATACATCGTTTCTCGCATTATGTGTTCTGTGCTAGCCTTCCTCACGTTCTAGTAAGACACTGTCCGTTAATCTTCGAATCTAGTTACGGTTTACCTCAGCATAGCATCCCGACCATGAATATTGTCAGTGGAAATTTTAACACCTGGATTATCCGGTAATTCTATTTAGCATGTACAGATTTTTGCGTTTGTGTCCACCAACTTCTTATGTGCGTTTGCCCTTTATGTAAATGTTCAAATGTGGTGTTAATGATTGTTGTAGGTTGAACTGTATGATGTTCGTACTGCTTACCCAAGCTCACATGGTGTGGACTTTCATCAACTACCACTTCACCAAAATGCGTGAAAGGAAAGCTCAACAACATACAAATAGTGTGTACATTACGAACAACGATCTACAAAAACGCAAAGAAAAGCAGCAAAAGAAGGGTAACTTCCGCTTTATGAAGGGGACCCCGTTTGTACTACCACAGGCTTTACTTTCTGTGATTTCTATTTTCAGCCAAACAAGAGGATGCAAGGGAATCCCTTGAATACAGCAATAACGGCGTCAAGCAAAAGAAGCAAAAGGCACAATAATTCCTACTCTGGTGACTTGAAAAGATTGTTCCCTGAATTGACGCACACTGTTACTCCTTCCAGCAGTGTCTTCATCTAATTTGTTTTTTACCTTCATGCTGCCGGACCCTGATCCCTCTAAAATGACGTTTCGGGCCCGCTTTAATTCTCTTTGTGGACTGGATCTCTCCATGTACATGTCCTCCCTTTTGGTCAGGTTGGCCTTATTCGGTACGCCTAAGAATTCCTCAACCTCTTTCCCAGTCATGTCTGCAGTCACTCTTACTACCTTCACTCCCTCACGTGACTGACCCGTTTAAGTTTGAATATACTACTTGTGTATTTATATGCGTTAACCTTTTGCTATGGAAGATTCAATTTAATCGCAATTTCGAAATTCACTTTTCGTGTCTTCTCTTGGAGCACTAATATTGAGCCGTCAGAGTATCGCAGCTAACCATTTCAGGTGACTATTGGTTCGCAGCTTCTCGCGCAGCGAGGGACAATCGTTCCCAGAACGCGGTCCTGCTGATACTTGCGCCAAAAAACGGAACAATCTCTTGGATCAATAGCTAGTCCTAATGTGTGGCCCTTTGATATCGGAACAGGTTTCAAAGGATCTCAAGTTTTGGCGAAATTAACGCGACAAGAGCATGAGGTAGTCGGTACGGAGCATACGTAAAAAGTGTATTCAATTTGAATAGATGCGATATACAAGTAGGCAGAGAGGATAGGTAGCTTCCCACTAACAACACTTCAGTTGAAGCACCAAAATATCCAAGGCTAACGAAAACATGTTATACGTGTCCACGATTCAGGAATTTCTTCACGCGGAAAATGCGAACGATCCAGTTCTCGGTGGTGAATGCTTCCTCCAATGTCTCCAATTCAAAGTCCTTATTCCCAATTACAGCATTTCGAACGCGGTCATAACCGGGAGGATGGTCTATAGTGGAAAAAACAACGATAAATAGAAAATCATGAAATGCTCACAAGCACTAGTGTAAATTTACTTCACTGACACCAGCGCTGCGGTACCCAGGTCGCATATATATCGCCACTAGTAAAAAAACATCACTAATGTTTACAAGAAAAGAAAAAATGTAGTTGCAATTAACTGCGAGCGCTAATCGGTTAACACGAAATCGGAGTTATGCAATTAAACCATGACAGATGGTAGGATGTTTGTTTTCCGGGAATTTGCAACTAAAGCGAGTGAAACGGACAAAATGAGCCTACTAGGAGAGGTGTACTTCTCCCAAAATCGATAGTACGACATTTTGTAGAGAAGGCAGTTTAGAAAGGTAGATGACCCCTCCTTGTCAACGCGATACTCTCCAGCCTTGCTGAAGTAGTCCATTTCTTTGACATGCCGACCCTTCTCAGTGCTTCCCGCAATGCGAACCATCCACAGAAACTTATTGATATCTAGAATGGAAATACGCCATCAAGAATAAAGTTGATAACTACGAGGAATCATTAGCAATGGCTAAAAGGCAATGACTAAAGACTTAATTGTTGATGGCGCCTAGGTGGTTTCTGTTTGGTTGACAGCAAATAAGGATTTTAATCCTTTAAATAGCAATATTTTGTTGTTGTGAGGCTGGACGTTTGTATAATAATTAGGAGATAATAATTGTCGCTAGGGATGGCGTTATCATTACAATAAAGGTCGTAAAAACTCAGAGAACCAAAGCTTTACCATCAGAGGAGTACGAGGAGGCACCCCCGAAAATGACCAGAACGTAGTCCACATCTAGCTCACGAAGAATTTCGTAGGCGTCTTCCTCACTGGAGGCCATAGCCTGCCCGACACGCCCGATGTGAGTGTTATTCCACGTGTTGTTGTCCACCAGTACCGTGCGATTTGCGATGGCTGTTATCTGATAGCCATAATCCCACCACGACATTATTTTGGCATCCTTGAAAGACATAATAAATACACGACAGTCGAACTACGACAAAGACGGTGGCTATTTCAAAGAGGGTATGAGAAGTGAACATGAGAGACGCGATGTGACTGCAGCCGTAAATAACGATAACTCACAGGAGGAGTATTCTGTCGGAGCCAGTAGTACGCCTCACGATAGTCATCGAAGAGGACCGTTTCACCGTTCGACCGCTGCGCAGCCATAACGATGCTGGGTGAGGAGTAGGCATTCGAGGTGACCCAAATACAGTGCTGGCTGTAGAGTGCCAGAACTATTACAACTGCAGCAACCACAATAGAGGCAACCTAGCCCAGAAAAAAAAATTACAGTATTATGAAAATTCATGATCAAAAATGAGTCATGACCATGAGACACGTGCAAGATGGGAAGAATGCATATTTAAAAGCCAGGAATGCAAACACACAGTCTACAAGACACCATTTGGAGCCAAGTGAGTTTTGATTTGCAAATGGTGATAACTCACTTGACTTTTAAAAGGATACGTTAGATCGAGATAGTTCCCTGTGATGGAGTTTTTCGTCTGCTTGCCAAGCGATGAAAGACGTTTCTGAGATAAAGCACTGCTTAAGTTAGCACCCGCTGTGAAGCTATCACGGGGCGATGAGCCAGCGATCATGTTGGGCAGGAATGTTCGGAGGATATTGGAAACAGCCACACCCGAGAGGATGCACATAATGGGGGCCAAAACAAGCATCAACCGTACCATTACGCCCTGTAAACGCCGTAATGAGGTCTAAGTTGAGACGTGTTTCGTTACAATGAATTAACTCGATAAAATGGGAAGTGGTGTTAGTAAGTGAGCTCAATTACAAAATTTTACAATTAAGCCCAGACAAACTTCTATGAAAAAATAAATAAAAAGGTGGAAGAGGATTCATCGAGCAATAAAAGGCACTTACAGAAAAGTAGAGACTTAGTATACCATATATGATAGCAAAGATGCTTGCATCCGTCATCTTTTTGAAGCAGTAGTACAAACCGACTAAAAATTACAATGCCAAAAGCGGTAGTACCCATAAGAAGCAAAAAAAAAACACTAGAAAACATTGGAAAAAAGTGCAAAAACGGAAGTAATTTTACGAAGAAAGTGATTTGGTCACTAAAAAAAATTACCGGGAAAGAAAATAGTCATAAAGTGAAGGTCGAAGAAGTAAGAGCTCCATGTTGTCGGTTGATGTTCGGAAACGGAAGCGATAATAGGTAGGTGATTTTTGGCGTAGCTCAAATCCAAAAGAGAATAAAAACGACCCGTCCATGGAGCGATTTTTCCTACAAAAGATTATTGCCGAAATCAAATTAGGATGAATTACAAGAAGAGACCTCAAAGGTTATTGCTTTTAACGTTGCAATGTGGGAATCTGGCCAATTTATTTGTACGCAGTTGATTTCAAAGCAACAATCAAATCCGAAATAGGAAAAAGCCTCACCTGAAAAGTACAAAACTCCCACAGCAATGCAAAAAATTAAACCCAAGGTAGAGGCACCAAGACGAAGAATCTGATAAAAACGGTCCTCTGTTGTTCGCGTCCGTAAGTAGTTAGCGAAAGCGACAATCTGGCACAAACCAAAGACACCAAGAGCCTACATACAGAGTAAAATGTGTGTACAGGTAAAGTTACCCCCATATGCTCGCTTGAAAGGATGGGCAGAAAGCCGACAAAACTTATTTGCATAGACAGAAGAGTGCCAATACAATAAAACTAAATAAAGCGATTAAACAAAAAACGAAATCTACGACGGAGTAAGCGACGTAAATACGGTGAGAAAAGCGACCAGATATCATGAGAGTGAGAACATGCAAAGGTATCGTGTTGAGCAAGAACACATAACCTCCCCAAGAGGAAACCTAAAATTGCATTAAGATTTATCAAAATACCATGTAAAAGTAAGCGATTCCAGTCAAAACCGAGGAAATTATTGACCCAGTATTCACAGATTTGACCCAAAAGTAGAATGTTAAAAGCATACAGAAGATGGCGATGCCTTCATTATCATAGGAACCAGCGACAGATCGGCTGGTATATCCAGGAACGATAGAGATCATTGCTGAGGCCACAAGGGCCGATGGCAAGTCCACCGCCTCTTTAGTAAGAAGAAACGTAACGAACACGGTGAAACTAAACAAGTTAATGAAAACAAAATCAGCTAACCAGGAAAATGCGGGGGCGAGAAACACACATACATTGCGGATATCAATTGTTAAGTGAACCAGGTGAAAAAGTCGATAAAATAGAGTAGCGGTCATCATTAACCCAGGGTAGATCGTGCCACCGATAATGCGACCAAGAGGATACCACGCCATATCGTCGAACCAATTATGAAAACTATAAAATCCTTCTTCTGTCATAAATTTAGTTGTCCGGTAGTTAAAATATGGGTCAAACTCGTGTATCATTGATTCAAATCGTAACACAGAAAAGAACCTAGTTAGAATTGCTATAGAATAGAAGAATGAATTTGAGACACTACCCATAGTTCCCGACAAGCAAAGGACCAAAATCAACACTAGAGTTTGTTGTTTCTTGTGTGAAAGCATGATGGAGGCACGCACGCCAAATTAAATTCCGGGACACCGAACACAGCAACCGCAGAATACTCAATAAAAGCGCATACAATACGTCACAGGCTTTAACTGTTTTAAAAATATGCCACACAAAAAACAAAAACAATGTGCAACTAAAAGACAAAATCTTCAAAAACAATAACTTTTTTTCAATTTTGGTAAAGTGGTGGGTTGATCAAAGAGCGTAGGGGCGAAGACGTCTGAAAGTGGACGGGATTATGTAATGCTTTCGGTGCATTTTTTAACTCCCGACTTTGGAAAAGAAAATGGCTTAGGTCTCTGGTCTTGTGCATCTGCAGAATGAGCTGGACTCTGGGCCTAGGCATTAGGTCTATTTTCCTCTTCATGTAAGTCTCTGAGCGCAAAAATATAGTAAATGTGTAGGTCTCAATATTGGCAGAGGTCTACTCTTTTTCTTAGCCATTGTACCTTTGATAGATAGCTTATCTGCTGGTCATGCTATTGGTTTCAATTTCACTTTAGGAACCTCGAGTTTTAAGAGCGTGTTAACACAGACGTTTTTAGCTGCCTTGTCAGCGTTACCGCTATCTACAATTTCCCCCTTCCCCCAAGTAGTGTATGAAGGTGTGGTGTTACGTGCGAGTATATGATTCTGATAGTATAATGTAGCGTCCCGAGTCTCCCTGAAGACGAAAGAAGACACAATAATCGGGCAGAATATACATATATTCAGCACGGAGAAGGTGTCAGGGCTATTGGCATGGCCCAAAAGGCCAGCCCACCCAGCGAGGTACAAGGGAGCTGATTCAAAGTACAAAGGTGGCGCATCACCAGAACCGAGGGATGAACCACTATTGTATTAAAATAACGATCTATCAATGGGGTTTGCGAGTAGGAATACTCGTATGGCCAAATAGTCGGAGTGGTTGAAGATGTAGCAAAACAGTTACGACTACGGAAGAATGATTGGGTAGGAATGCCATTTTGTTTTTGAGGAGTGTCATCTAGTAATAAAATTCTATTTGGTAGCAAAAATCTATACCATTATACTGGGGAACGAAAGCAGTTTTCGTCGAACAAAAGGAGAGCGGCACTCACAAGGTTTATGAATTTCCCTTTTTCTCTATTTTCATTGCAAATATGCTAGGTTGATAAGTTGTCATCATGGTCAGTCTGCGTCTATTTCGTTGACCAATCAAGCTATCGAGTACTAGGTCACTCGAGCTTGGTGCCATTTGGACCTTGAATAGCTTTGGTGAGTTGGATTTTATGAAGTTTGTCGGTCTTTGCTTGTCGATAAATCCATGACACTAACTACCCCCTCTAAATTTGATCAGGGTAGCAACTACGATTTTTAAAATGTTACTTCAGACACAATCTATTTACATACCTATATTTGGTATATCTTGGCCTACAAATCGTCTGGGAAGAGAACACATTTAACTGCTAAGTTAATGCATGATTTCGGGGTCTTGGTATATGTATTTGGGTATTTTTTACTTGTGTCTAATACTTCTGAACTATTTTTCGTTAGTCAACTTTGTCCCCTATTTGAATCTGGAGCTTCAGACTCTCATTCGGCGTAGAGGTGCACCTCCGTGAAGATGTTGAATTTGACTGATATTCAAAGTACGTACTCTTTACATACAAATGTGTTAGAAATCGGTTTAGCTCTGATGACTATGGGTATTGCATTCTTTGGTCTTGGCATGATGCTTCTGTTCGATGCTGGCCTACTCGCCTTGGGAAATGTAGGTCCCAAAACATACTAATTCCACTGTTTAGATTCTTTTTATTTTTGGACTTGGCTTGTTCATTGGTGCCGATCGCATAATTCGCTTCTTCTTCCAACGGCATAAATTGAAGGGGACGTCCTTCTTTCTGGGGGGCATTTTCGCGGTTCTCCTTGGATTCCCACTCATTGGAACATTAATTGAACTTTATGGATCCTTCTGTCTCTTCGGGTGAGATTTTTGTTGCCTTTGCTATGCATTTCTGAATAAATCAGTAGTTATAAACCTTTTCCGTCCTGAGTACCACTTTTGTTCTTGTTTCAGCGGTTTTGTGCCGGTTGTTATTCAATTCCTCTACAACATCCCCGTTATCGGATGGATTCTTTATCTGCCATTTATTAACAGAGTATGCCGTCACTGATCTCATGATACTTAGGGATTTGTAGTTTCATACTTGGGTTCTCTACATTCTACTCTACTTCATTTAAAAAATTTTTAAATTGCTAACTTACGTATAACCTTTTGTTAAGCTTGTATAAAGCATCACAGCGAAAATAAGAGTCTAACTTTCGTTTTCAGGTCGTCGTAGCGCTCAGCGGTCAATCCAAGTCGATGGTATAAAGACATTTGTCTTCTTGTTGTACATAAGCGTGCTCATGCCCTACAGGTTCCGACACTGCCAACTCGGTGTGCAAAGTGGCATTCAAGTTCGTTTTAACATTCACTCTGGGTAAAATACATTGCTTAAAACGAGATGACTATTAAAATACACTGTTCTAACTAGAATGAGATTAGAAATTTGACGTACTAAAACCATTTAACGAAGCACAGACATTGATTTAGCGTTTTGGCAATGCAGTTTGTCTGGGTGTAATCGGAACACAGACGCCAGAGAAAGTGGCCGCAGTCTTGATTAATCGGTCCAAGGTGCTGATTTGGTGTCAGTTTGGTAGTGCCCATCTTTCCATTCCACAATGTATGTTTTTCCTCAGGACAAACAGCGAACTCCCTTACTTCAGCATAGTGTGGGAGGAACACGTCGCTCAATTCTCGCATTGTTAAAGATAGGCGCCGCTCCTACATGGCCTCCTGATGAATTGCGTGAGGCCACGTAATGCGTGCTTTACCAGCCATGATCAGAAGGCTCCGACGTGAGAGTGGTACAGCAACATTGGGGGGAAGATTGACCTGAGCAAAAAAGTTGTAATCATGGTAATGGGGGTGAGTACCTGTGGTGCGGATAATTGGGAGGCGGCAAAGTTCATGTATCGTCCCCATTCTTCACCAACTCAAGGGCCGAATGCGGGGGACGTGAAGGTCATGTTCGCAGCAGAAGCTAAATTCAATGAAATGAGACGCTCACCCCGTAGCCAGGTGTCGTCAACGTGGGGAACAATTGCAGCTCTTCTCTCTGGGAGGTACTCCAAGTTGCACAGTTCGACTGGATGGAGATCCTTAGATTTGACACCACTGGTACGCCTACGTTGATGAACGTGCTGAACTAGAGGACGGATATTATCCGGAAGTCCCGTAAAGTACTTGAAAGCAATGCGTTGCTTCTTGAAGTTAACCTTCAAACCGAAGTCCTATTAAGCACTTATTTGTTGTAATCAGCCTATCACAAACCTATCAAGTTGTCCAAGAGAATGTGAACAAGGTCGGAAAGTAATGACTGTTTATTTCTGCCAGATTGTGAAGGAAGTCATGGAGACTCGTCAGTCTTCTTTGTAAGGTTTATCTCCTCTTCTTCAAAGATAAAGTCATTCCGTACCGTTGCAAGATCGGAACGAAACCTCCCGTATGGTTTTCACGACCACTTTCGTTGCGTGCACTGGTATAGTATGTCATAGAGCACAAGCAACAAAATGTTAAACGCGCATACCGCCCAGAAAACTGCAGGTAGGGAAGGAGAGACTGTACATTGGGCAATTTGGTCCCCAGTTTTTCCTGTTTACACAAACTGCAAATACGAATGCCCCTATAGCCGCAAGCTTGTGGCAGAACACCCGTGGGAGTACTTTCCACAAACTTGGCACTCAACCTTCACGAGCTCACCAAAAGCTGACCTCGATATTTGCAAAAAAATCTGTACGGGCATCTAAAAAATATTTATAATAAAGTGTTCTAGGGTTTTACTATAAAATATCGCAAAATACATGGGGCAGCCTTACTCACTTACTTAAAGTTTGCCGCGTTTCAGTACATCAATGTAATTCTGATTTAGATTGCCGCGTCAGAAAATTTGAGCGCGGAATCGGTTCGGGTTAGGTGTGTCAGTTCTGGTCCTAGAAAACGTTCATTTGATTTATTTGTAGTTTGGTGCAGTGTTTGTAAGCACTCTTTGACTATGAGAAGACCTATTTTTGTCAAATTTAGTTTTTGGTAATTCCTCTTCCGATACTTGGTCTGGTGCTTTACGGACGTAGGACCAACAGTTTATGGCTTTTTCAAAGCTAATGGTGGATATTTATAGAAAGGTCTGTGATGATACTATCATGCTGTTAATTTAGGAAGGGCTCATTGTGTCATAGTTTGGGTGTCGTTGGTTCGGTATTCTGTTAGATGTGGCGTTTGTCTATAGGGCATTTTCAAGAAATAATTGTTTTTTTGAAAGTCACGGTTGTCACAATGTTACAGCATCTTCTACTTTGTGTTGGAGCCTTACCCATAATGGATACATGGATGTCAAATTTACCCGAAACCCTCACTAACGTTCCCCTCTCGATGCTAGCAATTCCTGGTGAGTTTTTTCCTCATAAAAGTATAGTCAGCTGTAGAAATCATATGTATATATATATGTTACCGAGTAGGATTTTTCTCTAAAAACTTCAATAAAATTTTTAACTAGATTCTTATTGTGGGTACTTTTGTTACTTTATTCAATTTACATTCCTACTATCACATTTATTACTGGAATTGCAACATGCGCTCATTATAATGCACTTCCAACATCTGATGCTAATTTTGACTTATTAAGCTTATTCAATGTCTCCTGGTTCAATTTGTCCTATTTTAGGCTCCCATGATTCCTGCTCTTATTGCTTAAACTGTGAATGTGAATTATCTCAAGACAACGAAGCATTCCCTGCTTTGATGCTTCTTGGAAAATTCGGTAAGTTACTCTCTGCTCGGTGGGGTCGGACTCAGGACGTCAGCTTATCGGAACAACTCGCTGCGGGAATCCGCTACTTTGACTTTCGTGTGATTCACCGTGAGGTTGATGGTCTCTTCTACTTTGTCCATGGTCAGTTTGCAAATGAAGTGTCGGCAGAATTGTCAATCATTCGCTCCTTTCTCCAAGAGCACCACAAAGAGGTTGTTCTACTGGATTTCAATCACCTTTACTGTTTTTTTAAGCCCGACTCTACTTCACTTCTTGAAAGGACCATTGTTAAGGTGAGTCACTTGTTCCATTAAGGGTATGTGCTGTCATTACCAATGTTTTACATTGTGCCACTAATGCAGGTGTTTGGCTCGATGCTGACGCCGCGGTCAGAGCATATTCCATCCCTCAATGATTTGTGGAGCGGTAATTTCCAGGTGGTTTGCTTTTTACATGTACAAACGGAGTCACCGGTCATGTGGACATGCGAGACGATCTCTTCTCCCTGGCCAAATACAGTGGTTGTGGATAAGCTCATCGCCTTTCTCAATTCGCATCCGCCGTGGGTTTTCACGATATTCCGGAATTTGGGTTTTCATAAATTTAATAAATGCCTCCTACATTTGAGCGAAAAACAGGATTTTGTCGGAAAAGTGCCAAACCGTCTCATCCCATCATTTAAATCGGTAACATCTAATTGGCTGCTTGAGCATTGTTTGGGGAGTAGGTGCGTCAGTAAATTCGTCAAGTTGGTGAGCATCGAACTAAGACGAGTTTCTAAGCGAAATATTTGCGAGGTCGGTTATTTTTAGACATACAAGATATGTTTATCACCGCTATTCTCTTCTGCTTGTTACGTTCACCAGTAACATTGCTTCGGATAACCTCTATCCACTCACCTCTGATTAAATACACGATAAATTTCAGATGTTTAATCCGGTAAGTTGAGGTTTCATCCCTTGGACGGGTGGAGATGTCAAAGTCTTTAAGTGAAACCCCACTTGCACATATGCGCGCGTCTTAAATAGGTTGCAGGGAACAAAGTCCTATTCTAATGACATGGTTGGTGTGACCATCCCAATCTACTTTTTTGTTTGCTTCCGATTCACGGAAGTCGAATTTCATTGAATGATATCTGTTCTTCTGGAGAGCTTTATTATTACTTTGAATTGGTGAAAGTTGTCGAAAATAACACGTGTTTTCCAGGTGTCTCATCTGACTAAATATACGCACAAGTTATTTTGCATCGGAAGAATGGATTTTTCGTAAGAGGTGCTAGTGAGCACTGTGTAAATATTAGTCTCATGCGTGACTGCCGTTGGTAGCGAAGAAATTATTGTCATTTGACTCTTATTGGTGCAAATGAGTATCATATTGCCGGAACTATTTTTTGATTCAAGCAATTGAATGAACTTCGCGCAGATCCCATGCTATGCTAAATTAAACATGCTTCGAAGGCAAAGCACTAACCAAGGTTGGTTCTTATTCTATTGATGTTTATTGTTTCTACGTCATCTTGGCTGTATTCTTACCTAGGCACTAGCACTTCTAATTCTTGATCTCAACGACGCCACTTTTTTGAGCTTAGGGGATATGCAGATTACATGGATGTTTAGTATGATTTTTTGCTAGCAATAATTCGTCAATACCTCATATGTTTAGCCACTTTATTACGGAGTTTCTGAAGGTAAATTGTTTTGGGGACATAGAGATCCTGAACAAAGCTACTCGGAATGGCTTAAGATTTCTTGAGAATGTATTCAAAATTTGTTAAGAGCAATTGAATTGCTATTGCAGTTGATGTTTAGTTTATTTATTGAATCAGTACCATATTTAGCTACTTATTCTAAGTTTTCACTTACAGTTCCACAATTTAAGGGAATCCTTATGCAGTCAATGCCATTATTCTGTGATATGTACTCTTAGCTTGCTTCTATAAAGACCATTTATCGTATTTCCAGTCAATAACGCCTTTAAGGATAAAAAAGAAGTGTTGCAACTTCTCAGGAAAATATGATGACCCGAATAAAGTTTTTGTCGCCTACCGCATCCTTTCTGCGATTTGTAAGACAATAATTCTATGTTCCTATTTTAGCGCAGGCGTTGACAAATTCCATGTAACGCAGGGAGTCCTGACTCCAGACTCGGACTACATCCTAAACCACATGGATTCGGATCTAGCAGTATTGGCTGCGTCTGCGGGGGAGAGGGTAATCGAATGGCTTACCGAAGAAGTTGGACAACGCAACGTAGTAATGATCGATTTTGCAGTCAAAATGTTCCCTCATTTTGCAAAAGCTGTGATAAGCATGAACACCTCGAGGCAGCTTTAGTTCCTCCTGTACTTTCTACTTTTGGTTACAACGAACATTCTTTCCTTAGTGAAGTAACATTTTTTGCGTAATCTGGAAACAAGTTTCTTCTAGAGCCTTATCTTGGCGAAATATGCAAACGGGCAGAATTTCTAACAAATCGTAAACGTCGGGTCTGGGGATGTCGTTGCAGTGTAATTGCTGAAACGTGGTAGCGGACACTAGTGCAATGTCAGTGAGGCGCCGTTAGATTTTTTTCTGGGCGGTTGGGTGCTTTTATCCCTCTTAGGGAGAGCAATATTGATGTATGTCCAGTGGCACGGTGGGGAACATGGCCGTCTGAGTGTACTTCACGGGCGGGTGCGACCAGTCCATTACAAGGGGCAGGCTCGCATCATGCGCCAAGTTTGACAAGCTGTAAATCCCTTTTATGCTACGTAAGTGTAAGGTGTCGCCTCCTCGTTCCAAGGGTTCGAACGCGGAGACGGGTGGTAGGAAAGAAATTATTCGATTAGGATCATAACCACTTAAAATACGTTGCATGGGTTAAGGCTATGGTGGATTCTGAGGATCTTGTGGTACAGTGATCTAAATCGTTGTTTGTGGTGCAAAAACAATCTATATCATAGCCGAAAGCCCATTTGATTATTATAAATTGTTGATTTGTTTAGAGTATTTGAAATAATCAATGAACAGAGGAGTAAATAAAAAAATTTTTTAAAATAATCCCACTGTTTGACCTTAAGGCATATTTCTTAGCGAGATTAAATTTCAGGTCATTCCATCTATTTTACTCTTTTCCAAAGCTAACAATCACTGTTAACATCTTGAGCTACCAGCGTTGCATGCTTAGACAACATGCGTAGGTATGTCACCACTCATGACTTTACTGTAATAAATGAGATAAAGAAATCTAAAGGCGTGTAAAAGTGCCACACTTCATTTACTTTCTGTAAGCGTGTGCATGATTTAATGTATGGCCTTGAAAGGCATGATACACGCGTTGAAAGCATGTTGGCGTCTAGCACTACTTCTGAATGTGCACTGAACGAAAACTTTATGCTTAAAAGCGATGCAGCATTCATTAAAGTTCAGGACACTCCCACAATTTGGCTAGGCTTACTACCTCCAGATTCAAATTGGGTTATTTATGGACGTGCAAAATTCACTCTACTCCACAATAGCAGTGTCCAAGTTTTCGGAGCTCATATTAAAAATGCTTCCTCTCTGACGTTGGACGTATATTCTCCATCCACACATGCTCCTATTGATGTAAAAATACCTTCGGATCGTGGTAGTCTTTCGAGCGCCTCATTGCCTATTTTGGTCTCCGAGATTGCAGATGTCACCAAACTTTCATCAGAACACTTATGGGATAGATTGAATAATCTAACCACACACTCAGTTGATTTGCTTCGTGTTTCAGCTGCCGTTTTGCTTCAACCTCTCTCGTGCCCTGTCATCGACTCGATTACCCAAATGCGATGCTTTAAAAAGTTGTTTTTCCCCCCAAATTGGGGTTATGTTTCTGAGAAGCTTGCTATTCGCGGTGACACATATTCTTTCGAATTGGCATTTGTTGATGAGGGTTTTATTGAATCCTCGGAAATGAGTCATTTTTTTGAGAAGATCATTTCATTGAACAGTAAGTCGCCATAATTCCGTGCTTACACTTTCAGATGCCAGGAGTCCAAAAATTCTTGTCTGCGGTCCTGCTAATTCTGGGAAGTCGACCCTTATAAGACGTCTTATCAATCGTTTGTTATCCTCAGGTGGCACAGAGGCAGTTGCAGTTCTAGACTTTGACCCCGGTCAGTCTGAGTTCACGCCCTCTGGTATGTTGAGTCTCACCCTGGTTAGAAACTTTGTTCTTGGACCACCGTTTTCCCATCCACTGCATGGACTATTTCGGCCAATCAGGCAAGTTGCGTTCCTCTTTTCCGAATCTTTCAGTAATCGTGCTTTTGCATAACTGGCATGGTTTTCACCGTCGCCTAGCTCCATCCGTTGAATTAATTGTTGACTTCAGATGCTCACATCACGATTCAGAACCCAGATTTAACCCATTTATATTCATCCCCTACAGGCAATGTTTTTATGGGGGAACCTCACCTTCGGTTAACCCTAGTTTCTATGTCGAATGTCTGCGATATGTTTTCGAGGATTTTAAAGAGTGCATTGAAGCTCCGTATCCTGTTATAATTAATACGATGGGTTGGACACAGGGTAAGTTACTAATACCACATTACCTCATCACACGATACTGCTTTTTGACAAATTAAAGGACTTGGACTCACATTGCTCACGGAGCAGGTCGTATTGACCAAACCGGATGTAATCGTCCAATTGTACCAGACTGGCCCTAGGGGCAATCCCCGTTTAAATTTGCCCGTTCTTGCACCGGAGTTCTTAAGAAATGCAAAGGGATGGTACTATGTAGTGAGTTATGATGTTTTTCTCTTATCACATTTGAAAAATTCGTCTTTGAATTTTTGCGATGTAACCCTACTCAGTACCGTGTTTTCTCGTCCCGTTATTTCAACTTTTTTTCCAATTTCGCCGAATTTGTTGGCGTTTAATCGACGAATGTTATCGGAATATTTTGATGTGCCTCGCTAGTATTTTACTACCTATCGTTTAGACTTCTGTTGTGTAAACGGAATTCACTAATATTTGAGTCCTTGAAACTTATTGGAAGATTGAAAATATTTCTTTTTGTATTTCTCCTGTTCATAATCCCAAGTAGGAAATCACTGTTCACCTTTAAAGCAACCATAATCATGACCATGTTTCCATGGAACACTTATTTTTACGGTTTGTAATTTGTTAAGGACCTATCGATGGAGGTATTTGATCACGAAGTCATTCTCATTCCATCAAAAAGTCGCTGGTAAGTCCTCACTACGCCTTCGTAGCACTTCACCAGGATTTTATCAAAACATATAGATACGAAGCTCATGCTTTACTAGTTACAATTCTGTCAGCAAGGTTTGAAAGTGTGAGTTTTTCTCTTTTAGCGGCCCCGGAGGCTTCACATCCTCTCAGGATCAGCGTGATCTGACACTGCTTGGTCATCTTCTGTCTGACCTCGTGGGTGCAGAGACGAGTTTGCCCGGCTCGGGTCTCTGCGGTCGCGGCGAGCTGCCACTGGGCCACCCAACCGCCCACCTACTCGATTGTGTGCCCTATACCATGCCTTTGGCTGTCTCTTCTGGAACACCCGAGGTCGCACGGTCTCTGGCCGTCCACCTTCTTCATCAACCCACCGGCGACACAGATGCTGCCCTCTACTGTCTGCCAACCCTGGCGAACTGTCTCAATGCCACTCTTGTTGCGCTCTGCGCGGTTCCTCAGGAAACAGTAGGCATTCTCATTTTGTTTTACGGTCTACTTACTTTCGTTGTCGATTGTGCTCCCATTGATAAAGATAATTTTATCGGCTTGACATACTGAACTTATTCAGGGAATGCACAACTTGGATAATGTTTTGTCTCGCTTACTAAGCATTTGCAGCCTTAAAATCCATTGTGGATGGTAATTTTGTCTCAAGTGGCTTTAAATGCAGTTTTCAAGTACCATTGTGCGAATCAGAAAGGACGGTAAGTTTGATTTGCTGGCCGCTAAAATACGGCTGACATTTGACGTGAATTACCAGTTTTCTACAGGTTAGAAATGCAGACTTAGGGCTGCTTTTTATCTGCACTAGGTTATCATGCTTTATTCCTTAGGGCTTTTGCGTTAGCACTGAAATCTCCGCATTATATCTGTAGATCATTCCTCCTACTGAACCGGGTGGATTAACTTTACTCTCCCATGTACCACCCTGCGAGTGTCTCGGCCTTGGTGAGTCTCCTCTTTTTCTTAGATCGCCACAGAATGGCCACGTTGGATGGGTCTAAAACCCATAAATCGCCTTGATTCAAAATTTTGGAATCTGCGTTTTCGAACTTGCACTCCGATTGGCCAACTCCGCGCCAAATTCACTTTATAAGCATTACTGCACTTGTTACATTTTAGGAACAGCCCTAAGTACATGAAAACCGTAACCATTTTTTTTACTTAAACTAAGGTAGTAGAGGTTCTTTGCTTTAAAGACTTATCTTCTTCCTGCATTGGTTGGGATTACGAGTAGTCAGGAGCTTGGTAAGTCAAGCGCGGGTAGCAAGTCAGGCGTGAGTGTGATCCCGTCAATGTTCGTACTCATACATACGTTGGCATTTCAGGCTGCACCGTTAACAGAAATGGATATATTTGAGTGACGTGTCACCAAGACATTGGCTGATATCCCTCTAGTCGGAAGACCCTGTACATTTGAATGTATCACTAAAACATGGCTTCACTATAACCATTAACAACATCATTCTTCAGCTAGATGATGTTATTATTCAAATCTGTTCATAGGTTAACGTTTTTTGCCTTTGCAGCGGTTGTGAGGGCATTTGATCCTGACTTGGGTTTAGTCTACCTCACCACTGGCGTACCCTTAGAAAAACTGGCCAACGTCAACGCAATCATACGGGGCAAAGTCAACCTTCCTCAGTCCATATTTACCGAACAAGTATGTTCGTCTTTTGTTCAAAGGGGATTGCCATCCCCCTTTTCAAGATCAAAATGTGTATTGTCGTCATATTTGTAGCAAGGTTCGAAATATCGCTTTATGTGAAGAGGATAATTTTGAACAAAAAGGTAGTGAGGTTAATCCATATTTAAACAGAATAAACTATTTCCCCATTTCAACTAGTCATATCTAATATTTGTATTTAAAGTGCTCTTCGTCATATTCGCGTTCTTGAGATTTCTTGTGAACTAAGAATTTGTTGGGTCTTGGTGGTAAAATAATTGGATTAGAGGCGCATTTAGAATACGTAATAGCCTTTACTTATCACTCATGTAAACTTTACGTCCGTTCTGCTTGTGAATGCCTTAATTTGTAAAATAATTACCACTGCAACGTAGCCATACAGATCCGCTAGGAATTGATAAATGTTCAACGGCATATATTATTCGAAGGCCAGATATTATTCAAGCCTAACCACCAATATGTTATGGATTGACTTGAAAAATGCACGCAGTGCCAGATAAGTAGTGGAGTAGATCAGAGGACAGGAAATGAGTGCGCATTTTCAAATACATTCTATGTGAAAACATCAATGTTAAGTCAGCAAAGGCTCTGTTCTACTAATGCTAATAATGCGGTTAAGCGCGCGTAAGACCTCATCCGCACAGTGAAAATAATTCTCAGATGAGACCTCTAGCTGACTTCTGAGACCTATTTACAGGTACTAATAATTTAAAGATGCATGAGGTTTTTCTAAGGAGTTGATCTGTTTTTGTGAGTTGGCGCCCTAGTGTCCTGAGTCAGATAAGTGCATAGTGTGGAGGCGGAGAATACCTCTTCCTCTTTCACCACAAAAGGTTTTTTCTCTACCACTTTCCATAGCCCCTCACAACAGAGGCTCTTCTCTCCTATCCAGCGCAGCGGCGGCTGCTACCGCCCTACCTCGGAACTGCCTGCCCCACGGGCGCTGGTCGAACTGGTCTTCCCACGCGTCGCCACCATCCTCGCGTGATGCACCACTCACCAGGTTCCCTGCGGGATTCTGCACATTTTTGAGACATGTATTATTGTATGTATCAATTATATAAGCATATTTGTCCGTCTTAGTCGTTCGTTATCTGTTAATTCACTTCTGATCGTTTGTGTGTCCGTTAGGCCGCGGGTTTACATAAATGCATTATAAATATACATACCCCTCACACATTTCTTTATGTGACATCTATCGTCAATTTAAATTAGTTAATCTGCTGAATATTTTGCCACTACTTGCTTTCACCAGTCAATTAGTGAGTGTAAACACCTACCCCCTTGTTTGGTTCTACTGCGCTGCCTGCACAGTGGAGACAGGTGGTTGCCCTGGAATACGGCTTCTATTCCCTTCCCTGTCCGGTGCGTATGGCTAATTAATAATGGGTGAATTCCAAAACATGATATGTGATTCTTAGGATTGCTTCTGTCTCCAGAAAATATTAAATACCTCATTGAATTCAAAAAAGTTGAGTCAAATTCACTTTATCTTCTTTAAGTTAGAACTTTATAGGACTGCCTATTTGAGGCTACGTAATGTCGTGCTCACGGTAAATATATTTCCTTCTCTGCAAATTAAAAACTAACCACTCCTCGTTCCACTTTCATGCGATGGTATTCTTCACCTGTTTAGCTTCTGATACCACTGGTCTTTTTGCTGACTGAATTGCAGCATCGGGCGGACAGATGACATGCCTTGGTATGCTGCACAGAATGAAGTTGACGTCCTATACTCCGTTACTAACTTGAGTGTGAAGATTTCCAGAAGTGGGTTGATTTCACTACAACTAGACTATTTTTAAATTCAAAACTTGTGCCAAAATTCAATAATCTGGCTTATAATCCGTACGTTGAGTGCGGTTAAATGGATGGCAAGGTGTTTCTTCCTAGCGTTTTCCAGGCCATTACGGCATGTAGAATTGCAGGTAGAAGTGGATTTCGGTGGATAGAGACCACGGAACTGGTGATCTGGGCCTTGACCATCCTACAGGTCTGCTTTCTAGCAACCGCCTTCTCGGTGGACGAAATCTTTCATCAAGTATTCACTCTCCTCACGTTTTCGCCAATCCACGGTGGTGTTGATTTTGTGCCTCTCAACGAAACAGATGCGGGTATCACTCTGATGCTTACTGTTGGACTCTGGAAGATCCACTACAGCCGAGCCATCAACAGTCCTAGAGTGGATTCCTCTTTCCAAGTGAGTGAAGCTCATTTCACGGTTTTCAAGTCAATCTCAGATGTTTGTCTCAGCTCTGGACTACGGGCACCTTACTTCGCTGAGAGTGCAAGAATTCTCCTGGGTATTGCCATGTTGGTTTCGTTCTGTAACTTTTTCTCACCCCTCTTTTCGCGAAAGGCCTTTCTCTTTACCGTACTGGGGGGCGGGCTGGCTTGCATGACTGGCATCCTTATGATTACAATTTGGCTCCTTGAAGTGCTCAGCTGCAGCAAAGCCCTGTCACTTGGAGGTATAGCGCAAAATGCCTCGCGGGTCATCTACATGCGAACCTTGGACGTGCGCCCAGTCATCCTGACAACCAGTTTCTACCACTATCTTATCTGCGCCATTGTCTTCGTGTTTGAAACGCCGTTTCTTCTGCTTAAGATGAAAGCCTGAACTGAACCCGTGGGGCGCTATTGCCGAAACTCACTGAGTTCATAAACACCAGCCATCAACTTTTACATCATGACGTAATGTCAGGAACTTTGGACGCGAACTATTATAGTTAATGACGTTATAATATTATGACTCAAGATAGAATTGTCCCTTGATGGTGTTAACAATGGAGTAAATGTCTAAAGAGGATTCAATTTGTTAATTAAATAATGACATTGCAATTGCGCGAGTTGGTAATGATGATAGCAGGTTCTAGTTAGTGAGTGATAGGACTTTCTTCACAAGAAGGCCAATGTTATCGAAGATGTCAGCAATTGTAGCCGTGGCACACATGTAGGCAGGGGCAGTAACAACCTTGAGATTCTCGTCGACGCAAACCTCCTAGAACGAGGAAGCATATATCAGCACATTGATTCAATCGCCGATTGTGAACGTTGTAAAACGCAAATTTGGCAACAAGGCTAACGTTACAGTACGGTAAGATCGCAAATGATTGTCTAGATATGATATTGGCTCGCTGAGAAGTTGTTTTTAATCGATGGGCATCAGAAGTTAGGCAGGCCTAGTTTCCTGACCTATTCTAAAGCACTAATTACCACTACGAATAGCAAGATTGAGCCGAAGATTGGGAAGAATGTTGCTCTGGCTGTGAATAAAGTTGACCGAAATCACCGCTAAGCATGGTCACATACGTAAACTTACAGTGATTTCGCATTTTTCGTGAACGGCACCCATACTTTTGATAGCCCTAGCGGTGCCAGCGTCTGTACCGGTGGTCACGTGAACGCCGGGCAAGCAACGGGCCGCCAGCACCGGAGCAATGCAGCAGAGGCTGATAAGGTTAAAAAGTTGTGGCAGTAATAGGCAAAGCGGCCATTAGAGACTTTTGGTTGTAGATTAGTGCACTTAGTTCGAGATATAAACTGGAAACTTGATTACTAGCCATGACCCGCAAAAGCTATTTAGTGGTGAGAAATACGACGAATGCTGAGTCTGTAAGGCGCAAAGGCTTAATCTGAAGCGGAGAGATAATAACTCAGATAAAATTCCGATGTCGCGCTTTTCATTGCTAAAGTATGGACCCAATAACATCATCTTGCGTAATTTGGTTCGTTCAATATTTAACGTCGATGAATACAAGCAAATACCAAGTGCATTGGCAGTCATACCCAATCGGCTTCTTTGCGTGCACAAAGTCTTCCAGAACTCTTTTGACATCTTGAAGAACCTCGCAAGAAGCGCCAGCGGAGGCAAAATTTGAACTAGAAATGAACTAGCTAGAAGTGAATTACAGTGTGGTGGCTGCTCCAAAGCCGCCTGGAATTAACAAAGCATCAAATTTTTCAGACTTAAGCTCCGAGATAGGAGCGACTTTTCCACGGCTTATACGGGCAGATTCCACCAAGACATTTCTACTAGATTAGTGAGCCAAATCTGGGCACCTTTTTTCCGCAACTTCCGATCCGGTGGAGTGGTCTGTGACGTGATCCTGCTGAATATTTGGAGCGAAAACGAAAACATCGGCACCGGCTTT